TATTCTTACTACTCTGTTTTTTTTTGTCCTTTTTTCGTAGCTGTCAGTGAAGCAGCTGAAAACCATCCCCAGCGATTAGAGGATCATTGTATCTGCAGTTAAGCATTTGAATAGTGGTAGTAAATCTACAAAAGGGAAATTCAGGGTCGCTGTAGACGTGGCTTATAGCTGCCCAGGGGGAAGCTGGTGTCACATAGTAAATTTAGCCCCTTAGTGCCTTCTCGGTGGCCGGTCGGTGGTGTTTGAACAGAGAAATCGATATTCCTAAATTTGTTTGGATAAAGATATATGTTAGACAATTTCTGGAACAATCTTTATTTATTTATTAATTACAAAAATATTACTAAATATAGTCAGCAATTTAAAAATATATTCACGGGACTCTCCAAACGGATGGTCATTTAATTGATTATTGGTTCACTCTACTCATAGAAATACAGTCACTTTAGATAAAATAATTATCTTTTTTATTAATAAAGAACCAAAGGTTTAATTTGATTGATTTGTCATTTTTCTTTATTGATGTCTCTAAAAACAAACAAAGGGATCGGCCTTCCATAATTCCCGCCTCCATTAAGCATTATTAGCTTGGATTCAAGCATGAAGCAGCTTGGTATAATGCACTGCATGTTTTCTCTGGTTCAAACACATGCATTAGGAGGATCTAAACATGGTTTATGTATTGATGACTGAAGTCATAATCAAATCAGGGGGAGGAGTGGAGAGACACTGCCCTTAACCTCAGAGCCTCTCTGTCTCCTGCTGATGGCCGCCTTGCTGAGGGACGCGCAGCAAAGGCCTCACACTGTAATGAGGAAAAATGTATCAATTTAGCGTGGCCCGCGCCAGGATTGAGCGCTCGCTGGGTGAAGGTGCACCGGGAGAATCCTTTGTCCTAATCAAGGACAGTTTGGTGCAGGCTTGTGGTCTGACTCCAGTGTGTAGAATCAGCAGCAGTCGTCCCATAGCCCCCAGGGCCTGGAGCCTCCCTGTGCCTCCTGGTTCACCTCATCAGCCGGGTTCAGCCGGAGGTCAGGTCCTGCCCCCTGATGCTGCCTTCTCTCCAATGCCTCAACTAAAGGCTCTGAGAACAGCTCCACACTCAAGGCCTGAGCAAAGAAGAAAAAACATACTATAAGTTATCCATGATCTATGGTTAGAATGATGTACACGCAATAACAACGCTGGTCAAACGCTTTCCTGTTTTCATATCAACAGAAGATGTACTGGTAACACTTTATAATAACTGCCAGTTTGTTCTTTGCACGCAAGAAATACTTATTTCATAACTAAGTAACTACTTATTAAACAGGTTTCTCAAACTTTTCAGTCAGAGACCTTCCTAATATCTGTGACATCAACCCACGCCCCATGCTGAATTTCATTTGAATGTAATATTTTTTATTTTAAATGATACAATACGTTTTTGAATTAATTGCATAATTTGATCTAATATCACTCAAAGTATCATTATTTGTGTTAAATAACTTTGTTTCTCATGCCCTCCTTGGAGCACCGCACCCTACTTTGAGAATCACTGGGGATTAATTTATTGCCACAATTTGATAATTTGTTTGCTTACTTTCTATCACTGAATTTGTTATCCACGTGTCTAGATTTAATATTATTCAGTTTGTGGTTATTTATTTCTTTAATAGATGAAAAAAAAAAACAAAAAAAAACAAAAAAAAAACAAGACAATGTAAAAAGTGTGTTTTGTTCTTTTAAGGATTTTGGGCCACTAATGTTGCAGAATTAAAACATTTCAAGACTTTATTTTCAAGTTTTACGTGGGAAAAACTTGTTAATTAAAGGTAACATGTTATATTTTCAATTCACAACTTTTCCACACGTCCATATTTCTAACATAGTTTTACAAAAGTATAGTCATAACATTTCTGCCACTTGCTTGGTTCCCTCTTCTGCGTCTCGCTGTTGTGGAGCGGTTCACATTTCAACGTATAGCATTATCATCTCATATGGCGCCATCAGCGTCTTCTCGTGTTTTCAAAACATCGTTGTTGCATTATGGCCACAGTTAGATATAATGTCACATATTAGTCCTCCAAACCCACCATTTCCCTTCATTTTGATTCACTCTGTATCCAGGCCTTGATTGACTTTCAGCCTAACTAAAGTGGATTTTAATGAGAGAATACATTAACTCCCTCTGGTCATGCTAACATAAATCAGCCTTTTCTTGTAGGATCAACTGCTGAGCTCATAACATCACGCTGAGAGAGTGTGAATAACCAAATGAGAGATCGTGAATGTGGCAAACCGCTGGCAGCTCGAGCTCATTGTTGTGTGTCGCCGCAGACTCACTCCAGCTCTGCATCACAGCAGAGTCGCACACAGGTCGACAAGCTCTCCGTCGCGTTCATTCATCAAGATCAATTAAACGCATATCTCTGGTCAGCTCGTATCGATTATTTACTTCCATTTGGTAAGGCGGTGACTCACATGTTTTGTTTCTGATTACCAGTGGCAGCACTAAGCTCATCCTCACCTCCATTTACAAAACACACAGCGGTGCCAAGGGTTTCATTTGTCTGCTTCTCTTTGTTAGTAATTGTACACAGTTAAATAGGTTAGGCTGAAATATCAATAAATTGCTATCAAATTAATGTCAATACCAATGCTGTGGATGGCGCTAATTAAAACGCAAAAGGGATGAAAATGAAGTCAAGGCATTGCCCTGAATAATTGATAACGCAATTTATGATTTTTATGAAAGAGTGCCGTCTGTCTGTGTTTCTGATGAGGCCGTAATTAGATGCATTAATGTGTCTCAGTGAGCCAGACTCCAAACTCAAACACTGTGATGATTGTTGGGCCAAATTACACATTTTTGAATAACATTACCTCTGAATATCTATTTAAATTTGCATTGTTCTAAATAAGGTGTTATGGCCTAATTTTCATTAAAGGCAACTTTAAACTCTGGACCAATCAAAAGCGGTGTTTGTGAGATGTGGGACTCAAAGTGAACGATATAATGTGAAGTAGTGTTTCTCACCTGTCGAATGTACAAAAGGAAATTTAAATGTTTTCACAATTTTATTCCTTTTTTATCACTTCTTTGCTGTCTTTTCATTTGTCATCTACAAATTGTAAAGGAAAATTAATTGATTAATCGCTAACTACTATTTACAGACTCCAACACATGTAAGTGCTGTGAGATGTGCTTTTAAACCTCAATGCAAACATTTCTCTGTTTATTTTCTGTTATTTCATTGTTTATCTGAAATAATTATTTATTTGAATGTCCTGCAGCTTCCCTTTTTCTGAATCAAATTTAGATATAATATTCGATACAATAAATCGATTAATCAAAGGAATAATTGCTAGATTAATCAATTATTTAAAAAAAAACAATTGTTAGTTGCAGCTCTAGAGTGTAGTATTAGTAGAAGTAGTAAAACTAGATTCAGTTGGAGGCCATTAACAGGTGCAGATTTGGGGCCAATAGGTTTTTTTGTGTATATTTTTGTTTATGTCTAATGCTACGTACTTTCAGTGAAGAACAGTAAAGTGGGGTCAGGTCACTGTCGTCTTAAGAGTGAAGCGCACATGAATGCGTAATGTTTATTGACTCTAGCGGATCAGAGTGATCCTGTGTTGATTCTGTACCTCCTCATCTATTAGCTGGGCTCGACCTTTGAGATAAATGAAGAGCTGGGGAGGCAGACAGACGAGGGGATTAGAAGTGGGCCGCAACAGGGAAGCCGGCCCAGAAAAATGAAGGGACTGCCGGCGGATGGATGAGGTGGGGGAGTGTAATGGCGCTGTTTGTTATGATGTACTGAATCAGGTTCTCTTTGACAAAACAGTCCTTAGCACCTATGTATTTATAGTGTCACCTCTCAGTCCATCCACAAAGGCAGGCCAATGATATGTGAGCGTGTTACTGCACTAGGTGTCTGGGGCTCTGCTCTGCTGTGACCTGCTCATCCGTCAGGCCCACGGCTGCAGCAGCGTGGGGGTTATCTGATCACAAGCCTGATTGTGGTCAACATCAATGCGTAAATCTCAAGACTGTTTACAAAGGAAAAGCCCAATATCAACTGCTATCATTTTGTACTTTAGATTAAGACTGTTTGGACAAAACCATTCAAGCCCTGACAAAGCAATGGACTTCAAATTACAAGTACAAGAGATGGTATCAGCAAATTGTAGTGAGCATTTAGGAGCGAGGTCTTTTCTGGTTCGTGTACAAAGAGCTCCATGCTTCTCTTGTATTAGGAGATTCTTTTAGTTTAAAACAGAAGAGCTAGTTACGGCTTGACATGTTTGGTTTTTCCCAGCTCCGGTGAACAGCTTCTTTCAAAGGGATGGACTCCAGGCATTCCCCTTGTCATCAACAGTCTGAATGGGGTGTCACATTGAGTTGTGTAAATGGTCTTTAAATTGTTTCTGTGCTTTGTGCTAAAAAGCTGCCTCGCGCTCCCTCCACATTGCCCCTAATGCTCAGTGACTAATGAGCGTGGAGGAAGTCAGAGCTTTGTTTTTGACACTTGGAAAAAACAGGGTCTCTTGTAAAAATACACAGAGGAAGATGGCCCCACAGTCGACCCTCAGAGTCGTTTTAAATGGACGGAAGTAGCAAACATGAAATGATCGATTAAACTGATTCTGGTTCTTCATTATAGACAAATGTGTATAACCTGGTGTCGTGTGTCCTTTATTTTTGCTTATGTAACAGCTGCATTACTTAAGTTAATGCTCTCAAGTTGTACTCTTGTAACGATGAAGATTTGACTTTGCAAATTAGTTAGAGTTGTTTGAATTCCCGCTGGAGGGCCTCAGCCATTAAAAGAGCAATCGGAGTAGATGAATGGACTGCAATGCTCAGCACCACTGTAAATGTATTGATCCCAATTTTCTAAAGCTGGCCATGTATTTGATCCACAGTGCAGCATTTATTTCCATTGAATATATATGACTTTGATGATGTGAATTCAAATATATTGAAATTATGTTTATTTTTGTACTTAAAGGTCTTCAGGCTCTCCCCGCGGTGGCCGTCCAGGACCTCAACCCAATAATAAAGCAAGATTACTTGGAAAAGCGGCGACGAGGTACTCTCAATTGTAATCATCCCATTAGATTCTAGTACACAGTTTGACTATGAAAAACAGATTAGTTTTATATTCTTTGTTTAGACCCCGGCTTCTTTGGCTCAGAATGGCAGAAGAGATGGTGTGTCATTTCCAAAAATATATTGTTTTATTTTGGAAATGAGAAAGGTTTGCTTTCACAAAATCCTATGAAACATAACATAAGAGTTTGACCTAACTATCGTCTTCTCTTGCAGATAAGCAGCAGAAGGGAGCCTTTTATATTAATGGTTACAAGGCAGAATTAGTTACAAACCTCAGAAAAGACTCCAAGAAGAATGCTTGTTTTGAACTCACTGCTCCAGCAAGACGATCCTTTCAGGTTTGAATTGTTACAATTTATTAAACGTTCTTTTTAACAGCTTACACAGATGTTTGTTCAATGTCAACGCGCTTTGTGAATAACCCAAATGTTTTTCTGCTTTTCCCTGTCAGTTTGCAGCGAGCAGTCCTCAAGATGCCCAAGATTGGGTGGACCAAATCAATTTTATTACTAAAGGTCTTGATACTTTTTTATGACATCTCTTGCATGTCTGCCTGTCCTGAAAGAGGAATCTCCTCCATCTCTTTGCTGTTTTGTGCACTCTTATCTGGATCCAGGGCATAAGGATGCAGAAGGTCATGTTGTTTAGACAGTAAATCACTTTGAACCACATTTGTGATTAGGCCATATCAATAAAACAGGTCTGACTTTTTAAAAGTGGCACATGGTAATTTGAAATACAGTAATAAAAGTGCCAAAGATATATTTTGTAAATATGTACCTAAAGTTTCTAAGGGGCAGAAAGGTCAGAAATGAAAGGGAGGATTTTATCATGTCCCGCTCTGTAGAAAACTCTCAATCTGTCATGTGTCGAACAGGGGAATCTGCTGCTCGTTCAGCTCGTGTGCGCAGCAGCTGCAGTCTTCCTCCCCCGGCACACACTCCTCCCATAACCCACCTACCAAATTCCAACTTACAGGAAATTGATTGGTAGATGTTCTGGTTATCCTCCTCTGACCTCCTTTCTGCCGGGCCGCCGGTGCACGGCTGAGGACCTGATACCCTGTGTTTCAGTGTCCAGTCGCCTACAATGAGACAGCTCCTTCATCTGAGCACGCCGCTAAAATGGGCTCAGGTCGGCCCACTGATTTGCGGGAAGTAACAGACACTCAATAGTTTGTCTTACTTCCTATGGAGCTCCTTATAGTTGAATAAGCAGTATTTTATATTATAGAAATATTGTACGTGTAAATATGCTTTGTTCTGTGTAAATGGGTAAAGAAAAATAAAATGTGTTAAGATAGATTTGTATGCACAGATAAGGCTTTCTTTTCCCAGTGCTTCACAAAACAATGTACACAAATTTAAAAAAAATTGTATTTGACCATTTTTTTTAAACATATTTTCTATTGATGTAATAACTTTTCATTGAACATTTCAGCTATGAAAATTACTTTATATTTAATAATATTTATTTCTTTAATTTCAGACCTCCAATCTGACCAAATTCCTTGCGACGAGGACGAAGAGGATGTGGATGAGGTGGAAGAGGGCTCATATGACGATATTGAAGGAGTATTGGGTCCCGACCTTCCACATCCCAATGCACCTCCACATGGCACCCAGGCAGAGCAGGAAGACAGCGAGGGGGAAGAAATTTACCAGGAGTTGCCAGGTAGAAAAAAGAACAAAACACACACACAGAGCAGCAACAACCCATTCACAGCAACAGCTCCAAATAAATAGGAGACAATGCAGGCGGGCTGTACACCACACCCATGATACTCCGTCAGACAAATAGACAGTGCTTCCACCGCTCTGTCTTGCACACTTAAAGCCTTAGGGATTGCAGAGGCAGAGGTATATTTGTGATGATCTCTGCTGGCTGTGAAATTTGTGTTGCCAGGTTCCTCCCTATCACCTCCACCACTTGCGGACTGATAACTCATTGTAAATCAAGTAACACTAATAAGCTTGTCAGAGCAAAGGCGGCTCTGGTAGAATCAAGCAGTGCAACAAGAGTGAGATTTTCCATGAAGCAAAAGCCTTTACATCGACGTCCCTTTGTTAGAGATTTGAACATATTACTGTCTCGTTGAAATCTGTAAGAGGGTTGTTTGTGCAGTTGCTTAGTCATAGATGTCCAATTAGCTAATGTTGCCATGGCACTGAAACTGAAGTCAATTTTTCAATACACAAAAGTAGGATTTGGCTAAAATTGCCTAGCAACAGTGAATTAGTTGAAAGAAAGAGAAAAAAAAATTACCAAAAAATTGGCTCAAAATAAAGTGGCTTCTAATGTCCCATAATTAACTAATATTGCAGTTTGATTGAAAATCTTCAGACCCCGGGAAAGTACAAGCCCTGTCAAAAAGTAGGATAGTCCCGTTAGTCAGCGTAGCTACCAAAAAGGACAAAAGGGGTGATCTGATCTTTTCAGGGCCATCGTCCATCACTCGCTCTATTAAATAAGATACATCAAGATTTAGTTTCACTGTGTGAGTACATTACCTTTGCCAAAATCACTAGTGAGAGGGGAATCAGTCTTAAAACTGTCATGCCGGCGTTCAAAGCCATCTGGGAAGAGGTACAGATCCTGACCACAGATGGCATATCGAATAACAGGCTCTTTCGTTCACTTTCTCACCCCTTCACTTATCAATCATTAGCACCTCACTTTGCTAACAAGCATCTTCACATTAGGAAAATACTATAAACTAAATTACACACATAAATTGTAAATCTACGGCAGCAGCTGAATGGGCTACGGATGACAATTGGCCTGCCGCGTTTACACCATGGTTCCATATTAGATCAAATAAAAGCACAATATATATATTTATATTTCTGCTTCTGATCTGTTCTCTTGTGTGTATTTCTCCAATCAATATTTGAGCGGTTTAAATTGGTGAATGAGACTTGTCCATTGATTTTTGTAGTTCATGATATAATCTATATCGCTGAATTTATAACAGCCTCTTGTTAGATATAGTTTATTTGGTTGCACAAACAATATGTATTATGAAATAGCCATACATCTTTTTTTATATTTAATCTCCAGAAGATCGTGATCTTAGAGTTTAATTTAAAGCTGGCGTAGCTAACTTTCAAATACAAAAAAATGGAGCTAGGTAAAAAAAAAAAAAATAATCCATGAAACTAGATTGAATCTTTCCGTGGTTTTCACATAAGTGTATTTTTTTGCCTTTAGATTAGCTTCACATCCGCTCTCAGCCCAAAGCGTGAGCAGTGAGTGAGCTCAAGGCTCCTTCTTACAAGCAAAAAATAATAATCACAATAATGCATCTTTATTTTGTATACAAACAATATTTACAAAGCGCTGCACATTCAGTCATATAAACAGTCATGATAATACAAAGTCAAAATAATTAGCTAGAGTAGTAGATACAGGAAGACAAAGCAGACAGAGGAAACACAAGAAGAAAGACAAGATGAAGCATACAGTAAAATACAACTTGTGATTAATAATAATAATGTTTTTTAATCAGTGAGTCTGATTTGTTCACAAAATGTTACTTCTACAAGACTCTTTCTTTCGGAACAAACAAAACGTATAATTTATTCTTAAAAAGCTTATCGACTGTTATTTTTGGTCATAACCATGCAGACTTATTGACCATAATGAAAAGTTTCCCCTACAGCCGGTGCACGCACGACCCCTAACGTGCATGTAGTTATAAATGTGCGACATGTATCCTGCTGCGGGCGGCGTGTGCGCGTGTGCCTTTCTCTGTTCCTGGAAGTGGAGGCGCAGGTTGTGCTGGAAGGTGGATAGTGTTGCTGGGTTGTGGCACGGCTGTCAGTGTGGTAGTGTTAAGGATGGATGTGGGAGACAGAGGCCAGGCATATCACAGTGTCACCTCTCAGACCACCGGGAGCCACGCCCCGAAGTCAATGACACGTCCAGTCCACCGCCCCCCGCACACTTTCCCGCAGTGTTACCACCCACTACGTCCTAAAGGAGCAATTTCGGTTTGTTTTTTTAAATGCATTTTACAGTGATTTACCACGAAAGGCAATGCAGGAATACACACAGAAGAAAAGGAAAAAACAATATCATAGTTTGGAATTATACTGTATATCCGGGCAATATTTGTACGTTTTTGCATATCGGCCATAGAGCTGAGGAATGGGACATCACCTGACAATAAAAACGCAATGCCTTGAAGCTTCAGAAAATACAGATATTTGATTTGAGTAGATTATTTGATTAAGGACTGACAGGAAGCCTTGCAACAACAAAAAGTAAATAGAAGTTTAAAAGGCAGGCGTGCTACTTGGATGTGTCCTTTAGGTGCTCTTCAGTTCAGATATAAAATGAAAAACATCTGAAAGACTGAGGCCTCTCAAAACAGGCATTAATTAAAAGTCTTTGTCTAGAACATGAAGCTTTGTTTGAACATTTTAAAGTACTTAACCTTATGTATTTATTTCAGGCAAACACAGGAGCGTCACAGTTGCTATTATCATAAAAACATACCTATAACAAAATAATAAAATAAAAAAAATGCCTGAAAGGGAGTGGGAAGAAGAGTAAGTATCATTAGCTTTAGGCCATCATTGTAAAATTCTAAACTTTTTGGAAATAGGCCTGTGGAATTCTGCTTCTTTTTGAAATTATATTATTTATTTAATTATATTTGGTCAATTTGAACAAAAAATAAATTGGTTAATTGTTTTTTCAGATATCTTTTAAAAATAATTATACTTCTTTGGCACTGATTCTGCACCGCATCTCGTTCCGGGGAAATGGTATTACGGTCCTAACGATCGGAATCAGATTTATTCCGCAAAGCTATCACAGTCACAGTCACACACAAACAGCCAAATAATTCGTCTCAGTATCAACTCAGCAGGGACACAACAAGAGCTTTCTCATCCTCTGAGTTAAAAGTCTTAAAAGTGAAAGGTGCTAGTGCCGTGTAAAAGAAAATACTACCTCTCTGATTCAAACTACTTTATTTATCCCATCAGGGGCAAATAATAATAGTAAATCGACATAATGATATAATAACAATATAAATACCACCCAATGCTACGGTCCAATGAATTCAAAATCTTGATAGGAAAATAAATATGTATTTGTATGTTCTGCCTGTGTTGTAAAAGGACTGAAAGAATCTAGGTTTGTGCGGCTCAGTGGATAGCGCTGCAGAATATAGCAGAAAAGGGAGAATTTTTCACCCGATTTCTTTTACACTGTGATTCCCATAAACTTCTATTATTGAAATTCTCCATGATATTACAATAACTTTGCAACGTTGCATCTGATTCTTTGCAGACGATTTCATAGACCCTTCAGACAACAATTCCCTGGGTAAGCCTTGCTAATACTCTACATATATGCAGTAGTTCTTATGCCAATGTACACCGCAACTGTCCGTACTTATTCACTGTACTCTCTTTTCTAGATCGGTCCACAGATTACGATAACTACTTCCAAGGCTTATGGGACTGTGAGGGCGATGAACCGGACGAGCTCACTTTCCAAAGAGGAGACGTCATCTACATTCTTAGCAAGGTCAGCATCAAAACCCCAGCAGAAATAACCCAACACATTTACTAATATCAACTTTGAACTTGGATGTGTTTACAAAAAAAAAAACAGTCTTTAGCCGTTAGCAGTTGCACTTTGACCCATGTTGACACAATTACACAAATTCTAGTGACGCACAATTGTCACATTTGCAATTATTTAAGGGTTAAACAACATCTTGTCTAGTAATCACTTCACCCTCATTTGCTTCCCCCGAACATGCTGATTTCCAAGTGTCTAAATTTCTCCGTTAGTGAGTGCTTGTGTCCTGATGCAGCAGTGGTGCGCCGGCAGTGGCATTGTCTATTTCCCAGGCCACTAGGGTGAAGTGCTATTGAAGCGCTGTGTAATGGCGCTGTTGTTCATTATAGAGCCTCTATCACTGGGGTTAATTGAGTAGGCAGCCAAGCGAGGTTCTTCCTTCCTGTTTGACATAAACTGCAGGTGAAGCCATCTTGCATCTCAGCCGCTTTCTATAAATCCATTTCCCCTCGTGTTTTATGGCCATTGTGTAGTTACATGCAGAGTATCCACCAGTGAAGAGCCACCCTACTGGAAATCAATGTCCTGTAATTTGGACACTTTCACTCTGTTGCATGCAGGCACTTGTTTCTCAGCTGCTGCTATTGGTTGGTTTGAAATTGAATCATAACGAGCTGTGTTTAGCCTAAATTATCTGAAGAATGAGAAGAGAATGAGATTACAGTTTCAGCTATTTTGCAGTAATTACACGTTGGGAATGGTGAAATTGTGATGATAGTTTTTCATTATGTATTATTTGTTTTTGAGATATTAGTCTCCATGGGTCAAAAGGATAGTGTTTCAAATCTATCCAAACCATGATACTGATTTTGCTATCTCTATTTTGATACTATGATACTAGTGCATAATGCTATTTATGATAATACTATGTAAAATAAGTCTGAAAACGTATTCCCATTTTCTTATGTATCAAGCTCATGGTCTTGCTCTGGTCATAGCAGCCTGCGTCATCCGTCATTCAAGTAAATAAAATACAGTTGGTGTGAAATAGTGGTTCACGAGACCATCTTGAATACATAAAGACGAAAGTTTTGCATCTGTCACCGTTAATGGTATTCTATGGATCTCAATTATTTTTCTTGTTTTTTGACAAAGCTTTGATGAAATGTAGTCAACACAACTTTTTGAATGTGAAACTTAGTGAAGCAAATTAAATCAAGTGAATACAATTGTAACAGAGTTGTCTCAAGTTTATATTAACTCATGCAGTCTGCAGGCAAATATTGCAGCGTCAGAGATGAGAGAGGGAATGTCTAAACAGAAATATTTAGAGTTTAGATAGATAGCATTCTGTACAGCGACAGAGGTCCTGACATTGAGCGGCAGATCCACACATGTCTCTGCTTTACTTTAAATCCCTTTTCTCTGTAAAGATTACTGTTCACAGTTCAAGTTCGAAAGCAAGCTTAGGCAAAGTTGGAAAGGGATTGTAGCCTATTTAATGACACATATTACTCTTGTTGTGTCAAACTGTTGCCAAAAGTAATAAATATGTATAGTTAAATATTTCAAACAATAGCGCTGGCTGGCTGGCGATAGTTTAGGCTGTTGTGAAGACTCAACTCCGCCCATGCTCTATTTTCTCCATAATAACGCCACATTACCCACTTCAAAAGCATTATTTAGGTTATAGCCTGTAATCGCCTATTCATTTTAATGACCCCATTGGGAGGGCTTCCCTGTGTCGTAACTATGTTCATACAAGGCCCACTGGTGTTCAGTTTTACGGGGGATTCCGGAGAACCCTGACCTCTGTGAGTGAAATACGGGCCCTTGGCTAGAACTCAAGTCTGTCGCTTAACTGGGGACCCAGACACACAAAATGGCCGTAATAAAACCGGCGCTCATAAATTCACATGGAGGGTGGGAGGCCTGGTTGTCTGTGCTGTTATGTCAACACTGACCATAATTACAAGGTAATAAGGACACGGTCTAAGTGCTAAATCAATGGTGCTAACAAACTGTTATTTTTAAAGCTCAGATGTGATTGACTGCTGAAGTGCAGAATGGGATAGCCACAGGCCTGGTGTCATATGGCTGTGAACTGAGGAGAACATGCCGATTGTATAAAAGGCCTTCATTCGTCATTATCGATCTCTCACTTACTGTAAAGTGGGGGCATTTTTACTGTATTTGTGCGTTTTTTTCCCCTGTGTGTTTTACGGCCGGTGTGTGTCAGCTGTGTGCGCCTGTGCATATCTCTGTATCACTGACAAAGTAAATAAATTAGGAACCTCACAACTCATATGAATCCCATTAGTTCAAGTGAATTAATCTTGTAGTGTGCCCGTGCGGCTGGTTCTCACTCCTCTGCGCTCGCTCTTGATGCTCATCTGCTGATACATGGGCCACGAACACACCGTGAAATCTGTCTTGTGATTCTTGGGCTGGCATTTCATTTCTGAGAGCATTGCATTTTTCTAACACACATTACGCCTTTTTCTGACATCTTAGCATGTGGTGACAGATCTAAGGCTTGCTTTTTGCACTGTCACACTGTTTGGTGCAGCAAGAGCGTTCGGAACGAATTGTTGGAATCAGACTCAGCAGAACCTGAAATATACCAATGTGTGCAATCGTATATTTAGCCCTTATTTCAACACTACACAATCTAAAATACAACTTGGTCACAATAAGAAAATCACAATAACACAATATCCCTTATTACAGCTGTGGTTTAGATCCATTGAAATGCACCTAATTCATTTTTTAAAATTTATATTATGTTTTTTGTTGTCTTTTTCAGATGTTGCTCTTTTTAATAACTATATATGGAGAAATGCTTAATTCACAATAAACACATTATTTATGTTCAGTAGTTCAGGCTCACTAACTTAAAACTTAGCCTTCAATAAGATTATTTGTATCGTTTTGATAACTCCTAACCCCATAATTAAACTAGTATTAAACATGAATCATTCTATAATGCTTTTTATGCTTTATTAAGGTTGTAAATTGTGTTATTGCAAAGTTGATCTGATAATCTATTTGCAATCACGGCAGTTTTTAATGGTTATTTAATATTTTTGAAATATTTTCCAGAAGCACTTTACTCTTCTCTCTGTGTACATACCATAATATACATGTCAAAGACTTAAACATAAGGCTGTCCCGCATTCTTCCCCTGTAATTTATGTAAGGAGAATCAAAAGACATGGGCTCCACAGGTCAGCTGTCGCATTCCTGTAATCCCACAGGCACTCATGGAGAACGGCAGGATGGAGTGGGAAGAGATTTATGGCCCAAACCCGTCCAGGGTCCTTAAAACTCTGGCAAACCACGCTGCCATCTCCCCCTCTATCTCTCCACCTCTCTCTCCAACAGTTTGCCATCCAACCACAACTCACAGAGAGCGAGACGAGGCAGCCAATCACAGGCCACCCCTAAAGTGCATCACATCACACATGCACCATCCTCTCAAAGCCAGTTACCACTATGACAGCATGGACACCACTGACACCTTGTGGTCGTTCTGAGCAGAAAACATTCATTCCGAACTTGGGGGAAAGTGTTCTTCATTATTGGCAGCTGGTATCTGATTTGCTGACTGAGGTGAAATTGCCTGGTGAATATTACTTTATAAATCATTATACTAAATTGATATTTCTAGTTAGCTGTGTGTGTGTGTGTGTGCGTGCTCAAGGGAAAAAAGCACTAGCTGGATATCCACAGGTCGAATTGAGTGAATGGTCGAATAAAGGCAAGAGTAGGCAAACAATCAGATGGGAAAAGTCAAGCCAAAAAGGACAAAGCCGGGGCATGCCTTTATCCTATTGTGTGAACAGTGTCCCCCCTTCAGCACCATTTAAGGACCCCTGACTGCTATTGTAGCCATAGACACCAAGACGCTATAGACAGGCAAGACATCCTATTTACCACCCAAAGAAGCAGGGGGTGAGTCTGGGGTTTGGGGTCAGGCAAGAGGCAGCGGTCATCCACCGGTCAACTACAGTAGGTCATTATTCAGCCCAAGCCAATAGTCCAGAACCGCGTCCGAGCGACCCAGCCCCCAATCCATTCTGCTTAATTATTATAAATGGGGGGCGGCGTAAACAGCCATCATTACACACACAGTGGCATACACAAATCCACTTTAAATTGCTATTAAGTTAAGGAGCTATCTGTAATCCCGAGCGTGCCTTAGAAAAAGAAGCAAGTAGGTTTTTTCATTTTATTAAATCTCATTGTCCCTGAGATATTTTTAAATGTTCGTATGCTCTGTCATGTTTCCAATTTGATGCTTGTTTTAATTAAAGACCAAAATGGACACTAAGTAGCCATTGAAGTCTCTGAATGTGCCAAACTCTATCATCTTTGCTTTGAGATAGATTCTAACAATACATTCTAAAGCTCTATCTTCCCATAAACCAGTTTGTGTCCGTTTTAAGTTATTGGTAAAGCGTTATTCCAGTGAGGTGCGAAGTGAGGAGGGCTTGGCAACCTCATCGAAGGAAAGTTATAGCCGTATACAGCTTGTGTTGTTCATGTTTCTTTGTTAAAATGGCCAGGGACAGACACATTTGCAAGTGCAGTGTTGTGGATGACTATGTAGATGAGAAAAGGTAGAGGCAGGGCATGGCAAATGAAAAGCCTGGAGAACAGATGCAAAAGAGGATGCGTCTAAAAAAAAAAAACAGAAAAAAAGGCTGTTATAGCGAAGATGTGAAATAGGACGAAGTATGGAGGGGGTTGGAAATAGGGAGGATGGGGGAGGACGAGGAGGGAGAGATTGTAACACCCAGGCGGCGGGTTCAGCGGCGGGGCAATGAGAGACTTCCTGCGCTCCATCACGCCCAAGGCCTGCCTCAGTCAGCTGGTGGCCGAGGAAAGATGCCTCATGTGTCAGGCTTATTAGCACTCCCCTAGTTTGTATGCATTTGGGATCTTGTGTGATTGTTCGTCATTTGGGATTAGGACGCGGAAAACAAAAAAAAATCCGAAGTCCTGTGAATGCAGCCTGACCACTATCATTGCTATCTCTTTGCTACTATGCTGTCCTTCGCTGGTAGCCATGCAAAATTGGTCTTAGCTACACTGTTTTTAGCTATTGTTATTCTCGTGCACATTTACTACCAAATGTCTACTGATCTACACCATTTACAGAACAAAATGATAGCATAGCATCTGAAGCTATCCCAGAAACTGCAAAGATTTCAGCAAAGGATGCAACACCTGCTTAGTATCAAATTAAGTTTTCATAGATTAGATTCAATGGATTTTTATTGTTGGTTTATAACTTGGTTTCATGGTGCCATTTATGTCATTTTGTCAAACATTAAAGACAAAACAATAACATCTACATGGAGATAAGAATATTTCAGACTCCCACCAGAAACGACATAGTGCAGCTTTAAGCTAACCTTAATAATTTTCATAATTCTGCTCCTAAACTTAACCTGGCACCCATCCACATTTTACCAGGATCATTAAGTCAATTTCGAAGCACAGTAGTTTTTGCTAAAGATATTCCTCATTCTGTAATCATTCCTTTTGTTTCATCCATGTCCATCACAAAGGACAACAGAAGCAGCGTCGACACTTCATTTTCTCGAACAGAGATGCTGTATGCTGTGTTTAGACTCGACACATCCCCTGCTTGCTTTTGCACTTTGCTTGTTCCTGTGCATCCAAGCAGCCTCGCCTCACCTTCTCCTCCGCTCTGGGCTGGAAGAGCTGTCAATCTGTCCTCCAGGTCGGGGAGTGAGTGATGTGCCTATCAGAATGCCACCATTAGCCAGCCCCCTGAGTGGTAAATAAACGATCGCGCCGGTACACTGCAGGTGTTGTCATGGCAACGCGCTCCCACCAAACCGCCCCGCCCACCGCGACCGCACGCCTTTGACGAGAGGAGTCACCGGGAGGTCAGTGAGTGGAGGCGCCACAGCGGCCACACTACGGCGCTGTTTGTCCCACATAGAGCCTCTCAGATATTCACTCTGCTGTTGTTTATCATTCTACTTTAAAGCTGGGGTACCTAACTCATGTCTGACCCAGAAGAAAAAGTCTTGCAAAAGTAAAATGTTACATACTCTCAAAACCTATTTTTTATACTTGTAAGAAAGAGCCCTGTGAGTCACTATTTGTCACTTTGGGTTGAGAACAGAAGAGCTGAATGAGGGTGGTCCTCTCTTTGGCAGAGAATAAGCAGATCTAAATATGTGGCAGAGGCCAAAACATGCATGTGAAAACTAAACTAAACTATAAATATGATATAAATATGTTTTTGAGGCTTTAGTTATTTCATCTTTTGCGGTTTGAAAGTTAAGCCCCCGAGCTTTAACTATACAGCCTTCAACTTAATCTAGGTCAGTGGTTCTCAACTGGTTTGTTTGGATGATTTTCATTCAAAATATATACTTACTACACTGCAAAAAATATAGAATGAATTGTCTTGAAAAAAATGCTCTTGAATTAAGAAAGTGATATAAATTGTCCATAAGGTTTTAATTCTTACCCAAATTACTAAATTAGACTAAAACGGAATTAACCTGAAATAAAACTGAAACCTTTCCGCATTGACATTGAAATTAGTTACTTAACTAAATTATTATTCAATGCTTAAAAAAACAATCAATTGTGAAAATATACAGCATTTTCCACATAATACACATTTGCACATCAGTTTCTCAGCCTTAGAATTATTCCGGCACACATCTTACTTGCAAAATAAACATTTATTACAACGTCTCTGCATTAAGCCTACATTATTTGTTTAAAAAAATCATTTCTGTTGACGGTGGGCTCCATTTGAGATCCTCTTGTCTCTGGGAAGTACTGTAGATGCCTTTTTTAATATATGCCGAGCAACTTTAAATTTGTATTGTATGGAGCTATAGAAGACAATTCCCGACTTAAACCATTGAAGCTGAAGCCTTCCTAAAACAAATCGCAAACACAAAAGAAGAAAACAAACAGAAGGAAAAGGCCATTATGGAGTTAGCATAGTTTTTGTCATTTGGATAATTTACTTGCGCCGTCTCCTGGAATGTCCCTATTACAGCAGGTGTACTCTGGATGAACCCATTGCAAGTATGAGAAGATGGACTCTGCACGCCTGACAGAGTCCCAGCGCCATTGGCACCCACTCCGTGATGTAGCAGTCGTATTAAAATGGCGGCGCTGATAATCCAAAAGACCTTTCTGAGGGAGAATTTGAGACCGACTGCACAGATGGGCCAGGGAGATAAATAAAATTCTCTTGTCACTACGGTTGGTCGAATGGTACCGCGGAGCCCCCAAGGGAGAGCAAAACTGTTTCACTGCCTCGCTACTGATGCCTCCCCCGTCCGTATGTCTATCCTTTCTGCGATTTTCTCCAATGGGCAGATTCGCCAGCTCTGTGCAACCAGGCCTTTTCCCACTATGGTCTTATGGGGAGCATAAAAAGACAATATCGTCTCTTGGACTTGCACTCCCTTGCATTATAAGTGCGTACTTGCGCTCAGCAGAGAGGGAAAGTTTGTCAGAAAGCCACACAAAGTGAAGCATTTTCCCCAGAAGTGATTTTGGGGACAACTATGTTATCACTGTATCTCGATTTGAGTATATTTGGACTGTCATAAAATGTAATTTGTCAATGAAACAAGCACCTATTAGAAAAAGATTTGCAATAATGAAAAGTTCCTCTTGTTCGTTTGTCAAATCATATTTTAAGACAGTAAACATATTCACACATTAAGACAAATGCTGATAGTTAAAGCAAATACACTTTTTTGTTCATTTTTTTACAGTACAGGTCTGACAACTGACTATGTGTCCACCAGCTCATTCTTTTGCTGCGCTTGAACTTTGAGCGTAGACATTGTTTAGATGTATTGCTTGTCGCCCATCGCTCATAGACAAAGCTATTTTTTCGATCTTAAATCTCAAAGTCTATGGTCTGGTAGTGTGGCCTTTACCTTGCAGGTCAAAAGTATTACTGTGACATATTTGCTGACGGCTGCTCCGTTGGGCAGGTGCCTGTGTAGTTACTGTGTAGTTGTAGGTTTTATCGACTGGCTGAGTGATATCAAATGTTCACAAGGCCGATGTCCATCTGTGTGGAGTAGAAGAGAAGTGTCTGCGCTGATGGCCTCAAACTCTGATCTATTGGAGATCTCGTTAGAGCCGGGATCAGATGGTCCCATGGAGGATGATGGGGAAAAGCCACACAAAGCAAATGGTCCAAATTGTTTTGCTAATTATCCATAAAGAAAATCCATTTACACTGTACATGTCTGGTTTATATGAAATTCATGCAAAATCTGAAAATCTTAGCTCAATTACACAAATAATAATGTGTTTATTTTATATTTTTTATTGCTCTATTCATTTACATTTGACTTTCAAATGTATTTGTCTGTTTTAATTGTCTAGGCTGAATAAATATTTTTTCTTTTTGCAGCTGTTTACTTTTCTCAAACCTGGATTAGTGTGAAGATATGAGAAATTGTGTTCTGCAAGTTTGAAATGAAATTAACTAAACATAGCAGCCTTTTAGCCAAACATATATAATGATAGTAATATTATTCAAGTTATTTAACACACAATATCTATTGTTTTGATTTTTTTTAAAGAAAATAATAAATAAATATATATGTATATATAATGTATTATTTCTATTAGAAATAACTGATTGAAAATTACAGATGTAATCACTTAATAGTATAGTTATTGTAAACAAAAAGGTAGTGAATTTTGTTTCCAACTTCATATAAATTATTACATTAAAAGTTAAACAAAATGAGACCAATAGGGTTTATTGATGTCCTGTAGTCGTAACAGTAGTAGAATAAAAAATATATATATTAATTGTCAAATAAATAATATTGTTGCCATAGTTCTTTGCCTTGGTTCTCTCTGAATAAATTGACCTGGTGATATTGCAGTTTGTTTCTATTGAGCAGTAAAACATCAGCCTCACGCCGTCACAGTCTCGCTCTAACAGTGGCGTTGTGTTAATATTACCAGAAACAAAACACAAACACGCGGCTCTAAATCCTGCCCCATTGGCGTCTGCTCAGTTGCGTGTGGCCTCCCGCGGGACGCACTTGACTTTGATTTGCTTCTTTCTGTGGTTTGCAGGAGTACAACATTCACGGCTGGTGGGTCGGAGAGCTCAGGGGCGCCGTGGGCATCGTCCCCAAAGACTTCCTGCACCCTGCCTACATCCTGTGAACTCCTGCAGGTACGCGCTCTCCCTTATCCTCAGTATTATGGACCATTACTGCGGCCCCAACACGCACCAACCGGCCCCCTGGCGCCCATCCGCGTGCCATGGAAGTATTCTGAGCGCGTTGACCTGTCGTTTATGGCATCTGCTGGTGGGAAGAAGTACTGCATATCACCGTCTAAATGGTGCAATAGGCAGCGCGCCAGGATGGATACCAGCAACAAACGCGTGATTACTGCATCAAATGTGCTATTTAAGAAAGTTATTCTCACACGCAGTCAGATACAGCTTTAAAATGAAAAACTCAATTATTAATATGTGTTTTCATGCACGAGAGGCAGTGTGTGAAGCGTGAATACACGTCTCGTCAAATGGATTTCATGTTTTGCTTTTTATATTTTAACAGTTTAATACGTTCATGAGACTGTTAGGGTTTGCCAATAGCTCAGAGTTATTAACTTAGCTGTGGTAAGGTTATTTATATTGCTATGCTAATGATTTGAGGACAATTTGTGTGATGTTTTCATGTTTATCAGACACGAATATTAAATATGATTGAAACTGATGCTGTATTTTTCTAAATCATTATTTTTCACCAGCAATTATCTCAATTGTGGTCATTTTGGTATAATTAGTGCTCCCACTCAAGTCCACTAGATGGGGCAATTGCACAAGTATATGGCCATAGATCAGGCGTGATGAACTTCCACCGAACTTGATTTAAAGATGTTTTGTTTGGAAAAATTAACAATAATAATAATCACACAATATAAAACGCCACTAACATTTAACATATTTTTATTAGTCAGGATTATTTTTCTTGTCTATTGTTTGTGTCCGAGGAGACTTGAAAAGGACAAAAGATCTGATTTTCAAAACGTTTATTCAAATCTACATAATAGATTCAAAATAATGACACTAAACGATGCAGTCATCATCAGTAAACAAACAGCAACTCAGCGGCCACTGGTCCACGTTCTGTAGCTAGCTTAGGTCCTAGATCATTAGCCTGTCCGCCCGGAGGAGCGGATCCCTTTCTCAAATGGGTCTCCCTCCCTGTGGGTTTCCCTAGTTCTCCCCAAGGTTTCTCACTTTTTCCCACTGGGTTTTTTAAGAGTTGTTCCTTGTTGATGCAGGAGGGTCTTGTTGGACAGTTAGTGTCCAACAGAAAGGATTGGTGATGATCAGGACACTTTAGCATTCTACAACATGTATGGACATTTTCTTCTGTGTGTGCTTTATATTCTTCATGTGTTTTAACTGTTGATTCTCTGACCTGTGTTGGTGATTTCAATGGTTTTGTTAAGTCTCTGAGATGACTTCTGTTGTGACCTAGGGCTATACAAGAATACATTGTATTGTAATTGTATTGTATTGTAATCAAAACAACTTTATTAATCACACACACGATGAATTAAAAGTAGACCTTCCTTTTCTGTAGAACGGATAGATTAGTCCCTTTTACACAGAATAAATAAGCAGTAGTCAATATCAAAAAGTGAAGTTAGGATTTCTTTGGTCTAACTCGTTCAAAATTGTGTAGTGGAAAGTTTCAACAAAGCCTCATGATCGGGGTCAACGATGCATAAATGACATAAAAATCATTATAGAAATCATATTTAAGTCCAGGAGAGAATGAGTCTGTCTATTTCTGTGTTTAAAGTACTATTGTAATATCATGGAAATTAGTGTTTTATTTTGTCTCATTAGAACATTGCAACTAATGACAAATAAGCCAGTGCGTCTCATCTATATTTTAACAAACCGAACATTTATTGTGTGTTAATTTTCTTTCCAAAAGTGTTTAGTGACGTGAAGATTAGGTCAACAATTAACGACGAGAATTTAAAATCTATCGTCTTCATATCTCATTATCATCCGGAAACGACAATTTTATAAATCTAGTCACATGTAATGGTGGTAAACAATGGAAGTGAAAAATAATCATGTTAATTGTCAGCATAAATAATCATTGAATTTTAATGTTTTAATTGTGAAACCACCGTAAATCGCACTGTGTATGTGACAGGCCCAATGTCAACACACCAGTCTCTAAATAGATCCCCATAAAAGGTAGGTAGAGCCTCAAACCGTTTCAATTGCCGAGCCAAAATGAATACTATTGAATGTTGAGCGCCACGCAGACTTACGCGTTGGATCTAAAAGTTCACTAGCATAGGCAAAGATATCATGTTTTCAATTTTATTGAGTAATCTACGACTTTTGTCTTCTTTTCCACATATTTGTAAACTCTGTTAACCTTGCGTCATGGTAAATAAAATCCTAAAATGATAGAACGATGGATCATGTGACTGGTAAAAGGTTAAAACACGGCAAAGAGCATGGGCGTATGTAAAATAATGAGGATATTAGCGGTGATGGAGCGTGGCTTTGGCGGAGGACGACTCCATTATTCTGGCTCAGCAGAGGTGCAGCTGCCCTTGCGAGGCCTATGTGCTTTCACTGGCTCCGTTCAGCACTGGTTCAGCTAATGGGCCCTCGTTGCTGTCCTCTGAGGCATTCAAAGACACGGAGGAGGACAACATTCCCCCTATTGCTAATTTACCATCCACTGACAGCGGCACACAGCTGCTCTCCAAGACGCTAAAGTCGCTGTTTTCCGTCAAATCCACCGCAGATGTTGATTCGTTTGACTCTAGATTATCGCTCAATTCGCTGATGTTTGTGTCTGCTGTTCCCTTGACGATCTCTATCTCCTCTTGGATACTGCCCACGTTCGAAATGCTCTCTTCCTCTTCTTCTAAAGGACAACCGTTCATGTGTAGCTTAAAAATGCTGGAGGCCCCGGTTTCAGGCCAATGACCAGTGATTCCATCGGCGCTAACCTCGCTGTGGTCGTCCCCGTTTGCCTCCTGCATCACCTCAGCGTCATCAGCAATGCTTTCCTCATCGCTGACTTTTACTATACTTTCATTTGAAGAGCGTAGTGACTGTCTGTCTTCATAAACAACGTCAGTATTGGAGGTATCAACAGATTTGTCCTTCCTCTGATCCAGACATTGTACCAAATCATCTGCAAAAACCTCTAATTCAACGTCATTGTGCAGATTTTCTATTGCTTCATTATTTACTGAACTGTTTGGCTCAAATGAATTACCTTTAGGGGTTATTTCTGTGTTAAGGTTGTCCTGAATAACTACTGTTTCACAGCTTTCATTTGTCAAATCCTGGAATTTAAGGCCATTTTCAAAAACATCTTCCTCCGACTCAAGTTGGTTTTCCGAATCATGCGTTTCATTCATTCGTTCTACAGTTCGTTCACACAGATCATTTCTCAGTCCGTTGCAGTAAACGTTGCCTTTCTCTTCTGGATTTTGGACAATACAACATCCTTCTCTCTGTACAATTGTGTTTTGTTCAATTGTTGCTTCATCTGTTTCCTCAAATCCAAATCCAGAATGCAAATGCAGCTCTACCGCCGCTTCCACAACGCAGCTATGAGTCCCAGGCAGCAGCTCTTGTTCTTTACAGCTGAGACTCTCTGGACTTTCGTTGCTTCCCAAAAAGAAGCTGACATGTTTGAAGTCGTCGACCACGGCTTTGAGATGGCCGTTGGTCTGGACTGGTCTGGAGGCGTGGGAATGTACTTCAGTGGTGTCTTCGTCTTGTAAAGCGTCCGCTGGTTCAGATGCCACGGCTAACAATGGGTTGTTTTGCTGGAATGGTTGGTGAGGCACAGGGCTATGTAAAAAGAAAACAAATACAGACTGGTACTAGAACAATAATTCACAGATTACGTTCATGTGGCAGATGTGTTTTGTGCAGTCACTACAGAAGCCATGACTTGATTATCTTCATATTTATACCGTTTAATTTTCATGAATAAGCATTTTAAAACAAAGATGAGGATAATCACTCCTAAAAGCAGCACATTTCATTACACAACACTTTCTCAGGTATTTCAAACATGCAGCTTTGCCGGTTTGCTTTTCATTTCTCAGAGTGAACTATTTATGCATTTCCTGAACCTTATTGATCTTGAAAAAGGAGTTTGAGGACAGTGTCACAACTAAAGATTTTCATAGACTGAAAACCCCCATTAATAAAGTGAGCCTGATTAAATTAATGAAAAAGTTAATTAATATCACATAATATCTTGCAACAATTTTAACTGCCTACCTTTCCATGGACTCATAGGACACAGTGAGGCTCCTGTCCTGGCCGCGCTCCTCCTCTTGGGCCTGGGCATAGCCGCGGTTAGAGGAGGCGTAGGTCAGGATGGCGTCCGTGACGGTGTAGGGGGTATGGCCTTGGACACAGTCCAGGATGTGTCCCACAGGGAGCTGAGTCTGCAGGAAGAGGTGCAGCTGACTGTCCGACAGGCACACGGTCATGTGGACCACTCTGCACAGAATCACAAGAGCAGCGTGAAAACCAGGATTAAGGCAAAACAATGGGCTGGAAAATGAATTACTCATGAAGAGATGAAGCCGTCAGTTAAAAGTAATATTTGACCGGGAATTGTCAAGTGACGACATAATGCCACAACATTTTGAATCAAGAAAAATATATGAAATCACAAATAAATGAGTCTATTCTTACAAAAATATATAATTGTTCCACTAAAATGAAAAAGGATTTAAGATTAATACATGAAATGTGATAATGCAGTATGTTATATGGCATTGTATTCAATTTACCCTTTAATATTGTATAAAAAGAAAAAAGTGATACATTAAATGACATTTCCTGTTTGATAATCTGAAAAATGTGTTTTGTTTTAAAGGTTTAAGAACTAACTTGTCAAGAAAGCACTGGAGTCCTTTCCTTCTTCTCTCGAGAAAATCATCATTGCTAAAGGAGAACAGGGACTTGCCTGGGAGGGCTGGGACGGGTCTGCAATAATATGCAAATAACAAAAGAATTAGATCGATCTACGAATCGATCTGATTTACGAGAGTTTCCTAATCACAAGTTTAAATGCACTTACACCAAACCAGCATTTTTCTGCATCTTCTTCTTGAGCCACGCAAACTCACTGTAGCGTCTTCGCACACATGAAGTCTTGGCTGTGAACGCCTTACTGTTCGTCTGAAAATATTTCATATAAAACAGTTTGACAACAGTTTATTTCACAGTGTAGTTTGTTAAGTAAATAAAATGTCAAATGGTGGCAGGAAAGGCACATGATCACATGGCAGATTTGTTCCCCTGACTGACAATAGTCATTGATAACAGCACAACACGCTTTTCTCTCAAGAGATAAGAACTGTAGCTTCATTTGTGTTTTCTCATAATTAACATGAAAATATGTTTTTCCAACAATTATTCAACTCTTTCAATATGTGGTTCACGTGGCATTTTCTAAGGAGCGTGAGCCTTGATGCTGACACAGTGCTGAAGCAAACATTGTGTGTCTTGAGCAATGTCTATGTCTGGCACAAGAAAAGGCAAAAAGAACAAAAAAGGGAATCTCTCTTGAATACATCTAATAAGGATTAGTCATGCATCGAAGGTTATTTATGTGAATTGTGCAAAATATGATTTGTTACTGGCAGATGCAACAAACTTTTAAAACAATAGCAACTATTAAACCTATAGTTGTGGAAGAACATGATTAATGGTCTTTTTAATTCAAACACGTTTTCAGTAGTGTCAGAAATAATAGTTTTTATGAGATGCCATTACGCAGAATTACATTTTTTCTAATATGGGACATTTCTTCTCTGCGTCTGACCCTGCACTCGCCGTCTGTCAGGACCTGAGCTGGGGGATCATCTTTGGGTTGATGGAAAACAAAGTACCTGGACAAAACTCACCCATTCTTAAGGAGAAACATGGAAATAGCCTGATCTCACTAACCACTTATCCACTATGCAATAAAACCATTTACCCTCTTCAAACCTCAAGTGGTCAAACGGGCTTAAGATAATGCTGATGATGTGACGCCCCGGTCCCACAATGTTTGTATGAACTTACGTGCAGGAAGATTTTGTAATCGACGTATGAGTTCCATGACCCTTCATTCTGGATGCGAGGATCTTGAACCCGCACGGCAATGAACTCCTGGATTAAAAAATAGCATACACCGGTAAGCAAGGTGAGATGTTACATAGGACATGAAAGATGACAATAGCAGAACAACTTTGTTTAAATAAGCCAAGTTCAAATTAAAACATATATGTTTAGTGTTACACAAAGAAATATTTATCTGGCAATAAAAGCTACATACATCCTCTTCCTGATTACTGATCATTGTGCTGAGTGCCAGGCTGCAGGGACATCTGGAGTCGAGAGAGAAACACATTAGTTGCAGTTCTTTATGAGAAAGATAAAAAGACAACATGTGTGTTTTTCCAATTACATTTTCATTTCGATCATTAAAACCTAGTGACTGACTGGTCGTTAATTAAGTGCCAATATTGCAGTGAAAGATTAATAGAGTTGGCTAATTTCGTATGACTAATTATTAGACGTCAATAGATTTCTGGTTTGTGTCTGCATTGAAAATCAATTTACTATGGGATCACAAGACTTAATGACTGGGAGTTTTAAATACCATATTAAACACTTGAAAACCTTGACCAATTTAATTTTCATAGAATATGATCAGCAATATCCATTAACTTAGTCCATGTCTGCATCATTTTGCAGGAAATATAATATAATCCAACTTCAAACACCATAGTTTCATCCATAACAACAAAGCAATTACACGATAAACATGTGTTATATTTTCCTTTACTTTAATTTAACTTGATGAGTACAATGACACATAAATGACTACAACGCTGACATATGTCGCTCTCTGTACTTTAGTCAGCGCACACCATTTCACAGCAGCACCAGAACTGACTAGAGACCAACAACTTGAGAATGACCTACTTTTGATGTTCACGCGGGTTTCCTCGCTCTGCTCCCTTCAGACTCCTCTTGTTCTGGCCGCTTTTCTGTTTGATGTTAGAATAATAGAGGAAACAGAGCAACAATCCCTCTCGAGTTGTTTATCTCAGCTGCTAGCATGGACCATCCCCATTTCACAAGCGCCTACGTCACCGACAGGAACACGTGACCATCCGGCTGAGGCACTTCCGGTTTCGGGAGAAATCCGGAGTGCGGAATCACCATGGCAACTGTTTATTTTCTCATCGCCGTATAATTTTATGTCTCCAGCAAAGCATTAAAAGATCAATGTACACATCTAACATTTAAGCATCATTTGTTGAACGTAAGGACGTACATTTTAAATCCTTTTGAATAAAAGACAAAAGATACGTTCAAAAATTATCTTAATGTGTATATTTTCTGATTCTAGGGGAGCTTCCTCGAATCAGAAAAAATCATACTAACCAAAACTGTCAATATATATTTTTATTAACAGTCTCTGGTTACAACTTATTCAAGCATTTATTAATTTTTTTTTTCTTTTTACATGTCTGAAATGTGGGGGAATTTTCTACGTTGGTTAAAAATAATTACTCCAGTCCGTGTTTTTCTCCCGGTGTGCCACTGTAGATGTGTAAATCAAACCCTTCCACGCTTCTCAGCCTGTATCCGTATCCATGTCATTTATGAGTCTTCTCCGCGACCCGCCATCAAAGACCGTGCAGTTTTCTTCCCCTAGCAGCAGACGAAGGAAAAGAAACGACATATTTTTTTATTACAATTGGCTTTGTCTGTGAAAATTACCTTAACTCAAACTTCTCCCTAAAATTAATACTGCATTAAAAGTCTTTATTTGGGATCGGGAGAATACAAGCGTTGTATTTTGCACCCATAGGTGAGTGTACATTTACCTTGCATGCTCTCCACTACAAACGTGGTGCTTCATAGATCATTTCATCGTGCATTTACCTCTTCTAAGCGAACACATGCGTGCATTGAGGGGACGGTGCCGCTATTATTGATGATTTTTTATTCAATTAACCTCGTTGAACCACAACACGTGCATTTGATCGACAGACGTTTATATGTTGCATTGATGGGGAGAAGCATCATGGAGGAGAGTCTGGGCTCTGTCGCTGCTTGTTGGAATATTTTAACCTGGTTTTCTTAACATCTGTTGAGATCATTTGTTGCAACATGTTAACATTTATGCAGCTCTCAATCAAATACCCTCATTGACTGCTCGCCAGGTGTTGCAAACCGCTGGATCTGGTTGAAGATGGTAGTTCACCACTATTTCCACGTTGTTGCAAATCTGTGTCAATCGGTTGTGTTTTGATTTTTTTTCTAATTGATAATTCTCGCTTGCACCGCTCCAAACATGGGATCACGCCCACATTGGCTGAGAAGCAAGGTGGCGTCAACATAAACAACCGTGTTTACTAGCATTAACCAACTCCAGAGCCGTGTTGGACAAATCATAATGAGTATAAACATATATATTCCTTTTTATCTATTTACATTGAGCACCTTTTTGTTTAGCTGAACTCAAAGATGAAATAGACCACATTTCTCAATCATTCTGCACTAAATGTGCACTGCTCCTTTTCAAGATAATCCAGCCCAGCTCTTAAGGCTGTATGAATATTGCACAGATAATGCACACATGTGCGTTATATGCGTTATTGATAACACTAGTATGTTCACCTCCACATCCTCTGATCCGGACTGATGCTGCAACAAGTGCAGATGTTCCTCTGTTGTGCAAACATCAGGAACGTCTCTGAGCCCCAAGTCCTATCATGTAGCCTATAATTATAAGATAAATGCAAATGATCTCTGGATCTGCGTGGCCCTGAATTGTTGCCGATGTATGTCTTCATAAACTTCATTATCCAATACTGTTCTCTCCTCTACTACATTTGTTTCTTGCAACAATCTTGACGTTGACCAGGAAGCTGCTGGTCGCCTGATGAGTATGAGCGTGACTACAGAACCCACTAACGATGCTACCACTGTTACAGAAGGTTTCAAAATATTATTATTTTTCAACATCAATGTCATTGTTATGTATTTTGTGCAGAATCCCTATCCCTATTGTAATTTCATTCTAGAAGCGTCTTATCTTTGTAACCCAATACTTTGTTCTATGGAGGGTCTTTATCTGAAGATAGTTGCCCCAGGAATAATTACTTGTGACAAGATGATTTATGGCTGACTTCTGTCCTATTAGAAAGCAAAATGGAAACAGCTGAGAAGACTGAGACGAAACCAGAGGAGGTGGTAGCCGCAGCAGCAGCAGCAGTAGCAGCAGCAGTTCCAGCTCCAGCAGCCCCAGAGGAAGAGGAGGAAGAAGAGGAGTATGTTGTGGAGAAGGTCCTGAACCGACGAGTGGTGAAAGGGAGAGTGGAGTATCTCCTCAAATGGAAAGGTTTCTCAAAGTGAGTTGTTTAGTCATGTGTCCTTTGATTTGATATAACTTTACATTAAGAAAGGACTTAATCATACTTAAATATTCAGCCGTATGTTTACAGACACAGGCCAAAAACTGGCTCAAGGACACACAAAAAGTGACTCGTGCTTTACTAATGTTCTGACCCTCTGCTTGAGGAGGACAACTTTTCTTTGACTGCCAACCGTTTTTGATGATTTCACTGATTCTCAAGACCCACAGAATATTATTTCCTAGGACTATCTAAAATGTAAAACAGATTCTGGAAGACTGGACTGTCTACTTTGATCAGCAAAAAAAAGTTTGTTTCTAGCTATTTTTATTGTCCTGTAATCCCCAGTCAAATAGAGGGTCTCAGACAAATACGTCAATGGCAGTCAATGAGTTAAGTAAATCAACATAGGATCTTTCTACTTTTGGTATTTCCTATCTTTAATTAAATTAAAAACCTAAATTATGGGTAAATATAAATTACAATTACACCCATATGAATATTTAATGACTTTCTTTTGTTCAGTGAAGATAACACCTGGGAACCTGAAGACAACTTGGACTGTCCAGATCTCATCGCAGAGTACCTTCAGTCCCAAAAGATGGCACAGGATGGGAAACGAAAGGCAGAGGGAGATGGTGATGAAAGCAAATCAAAGAAGAAAAAAGATGATGTAAGTACGTTATCTATAGACACCAACATACTGTATACAGTAGGTGCATTAAGGTAATATATCTGAATAGGAAACACAATGATTCAACTGTAAATGTTTGTCTTGCCTAATACAGACTATGACTAAAACACCAATGCATTCTCTAGAACATAAATGTACTTGAACTTACAGTGTTTACAATGTGTCCACAAAATATATTACAGTGCATCCGGAAAGTATTCACAGCGCTTCAATTTGTTCACATTTTGTTATGTTACAGCCTTATTCCAAAATGGATTCAATTCATTCTTTTCCCCTTAAAATTCTACACATAAAACCCCATAATGAGAACGTGAAAAAAAGGGGAGATTTTTGCAAATGTATTACAAATAAATCACATGTACATAAGTATTCACAGCCTTTGCCGTGAAGCTCAGACTGAGCTCAGGTGCATCCTTCTTCTTCTTCTTCTCGTGTTGTTTTATGGCAGTTGGCAAACAACTTTTGGTGCATTACTGCCACCTTCCGGAGTGGAGTGTGGGCCAGGATGGCCCCCACAGACAACAACTAGATCCTAGCCTTAAATCCTACCTTCCAACCCAGATTTCTTCAGAAACTTAAACAATTCTTTCCTAACAACCTCTTTATCACAAACTTTCAATATATCCTTTACACAAAATCCAATTTTATGACTTCTCAGTACTCGTTTAAATGGCTCCCTATACTCTCTATATCTGGGGCACTTAATAATGGCGTGTTCCACATTTTCCCTTGTCCTGCACACATCACAATTGCCTGTCTCATGCTTCCCTATTATTCTCAATGTATCATTTAGTCCTGTATGCCCTAATCTCAACCTTGACAATATATCTTCCTCCCTTCTATTTAGCGAACCCCAATCCTTCATCTTGAGCTCTGCTTCCTTTTGTATTTCATACAAAAATCTTCCTTTTAACCCCTCTTGCCACCCTTCTTGCCACTGCTCTCTCACTTTTACTTTTATTATGCTTTTGATTTCTGCTTTACTATACCTAATTGGAAAGTCAACCTCCCTTTTTTTGCCCCTCCTTTTGCAAACATATCTGCCAACTCATTTCCCTCCACCCCTATGTGAGCTGGAACCCACACTAATGTCACCACTTTACCCTTCCTATATATTCTCTCTAAAGTGTGTCCTATCTCTACTATTATATCTGGTCTGGATCTCGAATTCATGTTTTTAATACTTACTACTGCACTACTTGAATCTGATGCTACTACACTTCTCTCTGGTCCACTTTCTTCCACCCATTCCAATGCTAATAGAATTGCTATAAGCTCACCTGTATATACTGCTAAATTGTCACTTATTCTCTTCTTTCCTACTACACCTAGTACTGGGATGACAAAAGAAACTCCAATCCTCCCATCCTCTAACTTTGACGCATCCGTAAAAACCATTACTTGCTCCCCATATTTCCCTAGATATTTCTCTACTCCCTTACTTCCACACTTTTCTCTACCTAAAAGACCCAGATCAATGCTTACCTCTTTCATATTCCAAGGAGGGATAACTGAAAGTGGCACTGTTGGACTCATGTCTAATTGAAATATCTGTGCTTCCTTCGCTTCACTCTCACAGACCCATCCAAAGCTATTCACTTGAAGTTTGAATTTCTCTTGACAGGGTCTTAACACCTCCAACCCTGGATGACCTCTGCTGTACCCTCTGAGGTTAGCCCAGTAATTGAGCATTAGCTGCCTTCTTCGTAGTTCCAATGGCATCTCTGCCATCTCAACCTGCAAGGCTGCCACTGGAGTTGACGTCATTGCACCACTGCATATCCTTAAGGCTTGGCTCTGAACCACATCTAACTTCTTAAGATTACTTTTTGTCGCAGAAGTAAACACCACACATCCATAGTCAATCACTGACCTAACAAGCGCAACATAGACCTTCTTAAGGCAGGCCCGGCTTGCTCCCCAATCCCGACCTCTCAAACATCTCATTATATTCAAAACTTTTTTGCGTTTCTCTACAATCTTTTGAATATGCCCCTTCCATGTCACTCTACTGTCAAACCATAATCCTAAATATTTAAACTCATTCACTACCTCCAATCTCTCCCCATACAGATTAATATTAACAACAGCCTTTTTCTTTCTCGTAAAACTCATTACTTTTGTTTTTGCAACAGAGAACCTAAATCCCCACTTTACAGACCACGATTCAACTTTCTGTATCGCTTCTTGAGTCTTCTCCACTATATATTTTACATTCCTTCCTCGCTTCCATACTACTCCATCATCCGCGAACAGTGACACTCCAACAGACCCTTCAACATTACAAAAAATTTCATTTATCATTATGGAGAAGAACACTGGACTCACAATACTCCCTTGTGGCGTCCCATTGTCTACCTCATACCTTGCGCTTATCTCAGATCCTACTCGTACCAAAATCTTCCTCCCTGTTAGAAACTGTCTGACCCATCCAAGCATTTCCCCTCTTATTCCCATCTGACGCAACCTTATTATAAGCCCTTCCCGCCACATCATATCGTAGGCTTTTTCCACATCAAAAAACACTGCCACCACACTCTCCTTGTTAGCCTGGGCCTTTCTTATGTCATGTTCCAATAAAACTGCTGGATCTATTGTGCTCCTGCCCTTTCTAAACCCATACTGATGGTCTTTAAGCAACCTATTTTTTTCCACAAAGTATACTAATCTCTCATTGACCATTTTCTCCATTAATTTGCAAACATGTGAGGTCAAGGCTATAGGCCTATAACTCTCGACCGCACTGGGGTCCTTACCTGGCTTACAAATTGGCACCACTACCGCTTCTTTCCACTGCTCTGGCAACGCACTCTCTGCCCAGACTTTATTATACAATTTTAACAGCTTTTCCTTACTACGATTACTAAGATTCTTTAACATACAGTAGCTAATATCGTCCCCCCCTGGGGACGTCTTCCCACATTTATTTAACGCACCATTTAGTTCAAACATTGAAAACTCCACATTGATCACATCATTATAACTCTGTGCATGCTCTAAGCCACCTGTGTGTTTTAATACTGTCCGCTCTCTTTCTCTCCTTTCCTCTATGCTTAAGTTTTCTGAGCTATGGACCTTTGCAAAATATTTAGCCAATTCTTCAGCTTTACCCTTATCCTCCATCACGATACGCTCCCCACTTTTCATCACAGGGTAGCTAAACTCCCTACCCCTACCTGCCATCTTTCTAATTGTTCCCCAAACCTGGCTCATAGAAGTCTGTCTGTCCAGCGTGTCACAGTAACCCCTCCAATAGTTCTTCTTAGCTGCCCTGATCACTCTCCTGCCAACTGCCAACTTCCTCTTATAGTCCAGATAATTCTCCCAGTTTACATTATTTGCCAAAGCCTTGAAGGCTTTATTTCTCTCACGTATGGCTACAGTGCACTCTTCTGACCACCAGGGGACGACCTTCCTTTTCCTCCTCCCCTCCTTCTTTCTTACTGTCTGTTTTGCTGCATGAACTATTGCATTACACAAGCTACTATTAAACTCATCCACAGTAATATGACCATTAACATTTATCTTCTCAGTTTCTTCTTCACAAATGGTTTTGAACTTACCCCAGTCCACCTTGTCAAAACACCATTTACCTACCCCTCCAACAGCAGCTTCTTCAAAACTAAACCCTATCTGAATGACTAGTGGAAAATGGTCACTTCCTACCGTAGTCTCCTTATCCACCTTCCATGTGCAGTTCCCAGCAATACTCTCAGACACCAGTGTTAAGTCTAACGAGGACTCCTTCCCAGTCCTCGAATCAAATCTAGTTCCACTCCCATCATTCAGACATACAAGGCTCTTTATATCCAATAATTCTTCAACCACCAGTCCATTCGCATCATTAACCCCACCCCACAATGTACTATGTGCGTTAAAATCACCACAACACACCACCTTCCCTTCCATGTGCATCATAATCTCCTGCAGACCCTCCAATGATAACCTTTTGCATGGATTATAGAAATTTACAACTATAATCTTACCTCCTCTCCCCCATACTTCTATAACTATACACTCAAGTGTTTCTCCCTTACTTACAACCCTATACTGAATCCCGCTTCTAACAAATATTGCACACCCACCACCATTTCCTCCATCCCGATCCCTTCTTACACATTCATACCCTCTAATAACAAAATCCAGTGAATCCTTAAGCCACGTCTCTTGCACACAGATAATATCCGGTTTTACTTTACTATTTTGCACATACGCCTTAAACTCCTGACCATTTGCAATTAAACTCCGAGCGTTCCACTGTATTAGATTCATTGCTTCTCAGCAATGCCTCCTCCTCCTCCCTTATTACCCACTTCCAGTCTCTTGTACACCTGCTCCCATGGTATTCCCTTCACCCCCAAGAATTTTTCGGCACCCTTCACGACAATCTTTACTTTCTCTGCTCTATGTTTAGTTTGATCAACGCAGTTAACCACATAGGCCAAAAACACAAGCCAGTCTCCCATATCCGGGCCTACACTCACCTCTCTTCTCAGCCCTACCTCTGCGGAACCTCCATTCCCCCGTGTTTGAACTGGAACCTTCTTCGCTGCCTCAGCATACGTGGTGTTATCTGCAACTTTGACTTTCTCAATTTCCACAGCCCTTTTCCTGACTTCACATCCCCCATATGAAGTGGTGTGTTGTCCCCCACAGTTACAGCACTTTATTTTGTCTTTTTCTTTACATTCTTCGATCCTATGCTCCCCTCCACACCTAGAACAGCGTTGTTTCCCTCTACACACCGCTGCTATGTGCCCATAGTGTTGGCACTTATAGCACCGGAGCGGGGGAGGAACAAACTCTCTTACCGGGAAACTCAAACACCCCACTCTGATCTTTTCAGGAAGCACCTCATCACAAAACTCCACTAAAACAGACAGACTTTGGACCCTTTGGCCCTCACTCCTTCGCATCAGCCTTGTAACTGCTTTCACCCCTGCTCCAAAGCTATTATTTAGTTTCTCAAGATCCTCGTCAAGAGGGACACCGGTTATCACCCCCCGCGCCCCCCTCCTTTCCCCGACTATCTTGCGCTCCCTAACCACCATCTTACCTATACTTCCTAACTGCATCACCTCATCCTTTTGCGCTTCAGACTTGCACACAATTAATAAACACCCATCTCTCAAAATCTTTGCTAACTCCACTTCTCCCAACTTCTTTTTTATCTCCCTGGACAGCGCCAAAATCCCGACCTTTAAAGCCTCACTTTCACTCCCGAACTTAAGTATGACCTTAGGTTTGTTTGGTTCTCGAACTACTCTCTTACGCATCACTGACCTTCCTTCATCTGGACTAGAATCATCTAAACCACGCTTTCCTCTCTGACTGCTCCTACCCCCCCTATCCCCATCCCTACGTAATGATGGAAAGTCATCAAAGTTCATCAAATCATCCTCCTCCTCTGCCTGGGAGTCCATCCCGGCCCAGTCACAAACCAGATTATGCCAAACTGCCAGTATCGATGTTCTCTTTTATTATTTATCTTAGATTCAAACTTGCGTCCGCTCTCTCGTCCTCTTCCGACCCACAGGCTGAGTCTACGACCGTCCTCCTGCAAATCTCGCGACAGCCTCAGGTGCATCCTGTTTCCACGGATCATCCTTCAGATGCTTCCACTGCTTCATTGGAGTCCACCTGTGGTACATTCAGTTGATTGGACTTGATTTGGAAAGGCACACACCTGTATATATAAGGTCCCACAGTTGACAGTGCATGTCAGAGCACAAACCAAGCATGAAGTCAAAGGAATTGTCTGTAAACCTCCGAAACATGATTGTCTCGAGGCACAAGTCTGGGGAAAAATGTCTGCTGCTCTGAAGGTCCCAATGAGCACCGTGGCCTCCATCATCCGTAAATGAAAGAAGTTTGGAACCACCAGGACTCTTCCTAGAGCTGACTGGCCATCTACTGTGCATGTGGTTTCTTAGTATTTTTATTTTTCACACATTTGCAGGAATCTCAAACTTTTTTTCATGTTGTCATTACGGGGTGTTGTGTGTAGAATTGAGGAAAAAAATAATTGAATCTATCAGAATAAGGCTGTAACATAACAATGTGGAAAAAGTGAAGCACTGTTAAAAAGTGTCTCTCAGAAATGGTAGAGCTGAATGTTTGTCCCTAATGTGTAACTTTGACTATCTTTTAATCCACTTTTCCTTGATTGCCTTTTTATCTTGTTTCAGCCTGAGAAGTTGAGAGGTTTTGCTCGAGGACTGGACCCAGAAAGAATCATTGGCGCTACAGACTCGACAGGAGAACTTATGTTCTTGATGCAATGGTGAAAAAAAACTTCAGTGAAAATAGATCTAAATCAGTTATTTTTTAGGTCTTAAGTTACATGCATAATTATAAAGAAAATAATACAATAAATAATCAAACTACTACTGACACAATAGTTGATAGAAGAACCACCAAATCAGTTGTGTCTAATGAGATAAACAATATGTTAATTATTCTAAGGTTAAAGAAATACGAAAATTATACGTATATCTTGTTAGTGCAAAGAATATTGTACAGGTGCATCTATGGAAATTTTATTACAGAATGGAACGGCACCCCTTAGCAGAAGTCTGCACTCAACAAGTGCTTTTATCGTTTAATCAAGTAAATCCGTTGAGTTGCTTTGCTTGGCTGATGTGGTTCTGGTTCTGGTCTGTTTTTAAGTCTGTATTGGACCAAAACCACATCTGATCCTGGGCTTTAGCTTAGATTTCTTCACAACATTTGTAAATTTCCTTTTGTTACATCTGTGTTATTTAGGAAAAATTCTGATGAAGCAGATCTGGTCCCAGCAAAAGAAGCAAACGTGAAGTGTCCGCAGATTGTCATTTCGTTCTACGAGGAGCGGCTGACCTGGCATTCGTACCCCACCGAAGACGAGAAAAAGGATGATAAAAACTAAAACCCAGAGGGGAAAAACAGAGGAACTGTAGTTTTGAACTTCGTTGTACTTTCAACGGAAGTTGGACTGTGACAAGCAAGACGCCATTTTGTCTGTTGACGTAGTATCATTTGGTTCTGTTTTTCCCTGTAAATACTCACGATATGCTTGACACAGGCCAAAAAGTGAATCTGCCGTGTGAGTTTTGCGTTCCCAGGTGCTTTGTTCAGGCCTCTGCAGTGTCTCGCTCCCATTGGGCCAGTGTTCATCATCTTATACCATGTTATTGTATTAGTGAGGTGACATTTCATTTCAGTTTTTATCTATGTGCCAATTTTATTCGATTCTTAATGGTCATGTGATTTGCAGGCTCAACTGTGTCCATCTCTGCCTTATTCGTAGAACTCGTTTGTCGTATGGTTATAAACTGTGCTCTCTCTACGTGATCATTAGTGTTTTCAACAACAGCCATGTCTTGCTTGTCTGTTTTGGAAAATAAAACCACTTTTTGTTATACTTTTTGCTTTCGTATGTGGTGGCTATACAGGCATTTATTTCTTAAAGCAATGAGAACCAATTTTGTGATGTTTGATTTTGGAATAGGTTAACATGGCACGCTACACTTAATCGTAAACCTAATTTCTATTTCATCAATTCTAAACAATGAACCCAAAACACGAGTGAAAGTTAAATCTGTATTAAGCTTTTGTTTCAGAAATGCATGTGTCCTAAAAGTCTTGTTTTAGTAACATTTTGTGAACAAATCAGACCATGTTTCCATCTTAATAGATCTTTTTCATACTGAGAGCTGATTGGCTGAGTGAGGGTGGTCCTCTCTTTTTCACTTTTCTATTGGAAAAGGCTGTGACAGTGGGCATGTGTGCGAAAACTAGTGATAGAAACAAACCTTTAGAAGTTACAAAAAGAACTAGGTAACTAAATCCATGTAGTTTGAAGTTAGGTACTCCGTTGTCTACAAAATAATCCTTCCTTGCTTTCAGTCCAGTTTCGGGTTCATTACCTCCATAATGTAAACTATATAAAATAAAACAAATCCTACCATGGTATAAAAGTAAAGTTTAAACAAATGTTTCAGCTAACAACCAGTTTTATTTGCCCCAAGACAAAACATGTTTCCAGAAGTTTGTGTGAGAATATATAATCTCCTTTGCCTTCTAATCTTGAGTTGGATTTTCCATAATGAGTTACAAATGGCCAAGTTCTAATTCGCTCGTCGTCCAAAGTTATGTATTTCAGACTGTAAACGGGTATAGTTTACCTAAAATGCCATTTTATCATAGAATAAAGTTATGCTCTGCTGCCAACATGAAGTGCAAAAGCAAGTGTTAATATGCCTCAATAAATCACTAAGTCACTATATTACCAAACTTTAAAACAACAAAAATAACTTAAAATCCATGTTAGTTTTGAGCTCTCAAAACTCGTTGGTTCTCGCACTTTTGGTCTTGGTTATTTTAGATCAACCTTTTCATTGAGAGAGTACTAGCCCACAATAAAATGTTTATTCACAAAATGTTAAATACAGCTCTTCCAATCAAAGTGTATTTCTGAAACAAATTAGGTCCTCCAGCTTTAATGCCAGCCTTTGATGTCTCTGCTCCAATTAAAAGTCACGACCAGAGAACAAGAGTCACAGTTGAAAATAAACACTTTATTAAATCAATAAAAACAATTTCTGATTGCCAGCAAATCTCAAAACGGGGGACTACATCCAAACAGAAAGCAGAAGGTCGAGACTCCATGACGAACTACATAAAAGAAGACAAACATGAAAATATTTACATGAGACAAGACAAAAGTGCACCAAGTAGCAGTACTGATAGTGTTACACAGAGGTGATGTTTACCGGAGTTTTCATGCCAGAGTATCACATATGAAGAAGGCAAATTCAAATCCTCGTTCAAAACAAAGACATCTATGTTGCAGAGTCTTTTCAGCCATTTGTAAATATTGTTGTCTAACTGCTATTACAGCGTCATTGGCCTATTTTAAAGGATGATGATGAGATACACATACCATTAGACAAACTTCACTCGGGACAAGTAATAGCACTTCTACTTTTGAGAGCAAAGATTCCCAAAACCTTTTTAAGTTTGATGAGATAGTGAAATCAAGGCATTCGAAACCAAAGTGGCCACACAAACACATTCTGCTAGCTTTTCAATTCACGCATTCAAAACATCGTCTCGTAGGCTCACTTTGTCAATACACACACACACAAACAACATAAATAAGCATCATATTTTAAGCCAACGTCCGGCTTTACAGCAGTTAAAAATGTTAAATTACTTAAAGTGGCTTTGAGCTGGGTTACAGTGGCGAATAGGCTCTCTATACTCCCAGTGGTACCTGTAATGTTTCAAAACGGGGCAGGACAAGACCAAAACGATATTGGCAATAATATATGGCAAATCCTTTAACAGTACATTGGAGCCTGTCACTTAAATACCTCACGTGATCACGGCTCAGTTCTTTTAAGCGAAACAGAAACAGGTGTAAGTTGCATAAAGCTGATGTGTCTAGATCTAAAACCTTGCTTAATACTACAGATTATGGAGATTCAATAAGAGCTACCTAATCATAGCTCCTTTGTGTTTAAAACAGCAGCAAAATAGTAGCAACAAACAGCAAAATGCATATAGCCAAGCCTTTTAGGGACGAATTACAGTGCTATGTGTAAATAGGAAGTTGATACATTTTCCATGTGCCTCCTTCTCTAAAAGCATCCCAAAAAGCATCCACCTGCCAAACGTGTACCAAAACCAAACCTTCAAAACTGTGGCCAGCCCATGTACAACTTCAGGCTGGTTCCGTTCCACCATCATCATTATAATACCGTCACTAAAATACCTTTCTTTCTATTTCTAGAGTGAGATGTTTAACAACTTGAGTAAACGAATAAACAACATCCTCCTGTTATGGACTTCACTTTGCCTTTGGTATCTAAACCACAAATGCCTGTCTCTTGGGGACTTTTCTTCGGCCATCACAAAGTCCAGTTCATCCAGTGCATAGTAATCCAACCAAGTGTTCTCCCACTTTTTGTTGAAATCACAATAAATATTCTTCATTAGTGATTTGGTGCAAACAGATCAAGAGAAGCTAGATTTTACTTGTAGCTCATTTTACGTCCTCTGACCCTCGCCAATTGTTTTTCCTTGTCTAAAGAAGACGTATTCTTACTTAAACATGAAGCCACTTCTGCTTTAAGTTGTTTCCAAATAATAAATGCAGGAAAGACTGAAGAGGAAAAAACTAATGCAGGAAGAGCAGTCAACATTGCCACTTTCTAATCATTAGGATCTTCTCAAAGGAAAAAGGACAACTCTTGCATCTGCAGAAATTCTCAAAGACTTTGCAAAGAGATAAATAAAGAGCAGCAAAGTCCCTCATTTCTTTTTGTCTTTTTGTTTTTTCTCTGGTTTTCGGTTTTGCTCAGCGCTGGCCATGCTGCGAGGCATGATGAGCACGCTGCCGTCGCTGCCGTACTGGAGCGAGTACTCGTTGGGGGGGTAAGGCCGGCCCTCCTCATCTCTAAGCTGAGTGAACACCTCCTGGTAAAGGCCGTGCATCTTCTGCTTCATCTGACGGATAGTGCGGATGAACTCCATCTTCTCCTTCAGCAGACGAGCTTTGTTGCGCCTCAGCTCCTGCACGTTCTGCTCCAGGTTGATGATGGTGTCCAGTTTGCGCTTGCGGCAGTTCTGGGCCGCCATCTTGTTTTTGCCACGCCTCCTGATGTCCCGGATAAGAGCCAGCTGAGATTCACTCAAATGATGTTTGGCTAAAAGCTCATTGAATTCCTCAACAGGGAGGTTTATGATCTTTTCATTAGTGAAGGGGATTTTCATGGAACGAGCTCGTCGCTCATCACGGCTCGCATGTTTGTCCATTAAATCCTGATGCGGCTGCAGCTTGGAGCTCTGTTTGTCTCTGATAGATTTCTTGGCGGTGGAAAGTGGGAGCTCCGGGCGCTCTGAGAAGGCAGAGGACAGCTGTAGATTGTATGTGTGATTATGGCTAATGCTGTCGAGCTGTGGCAGGTTGTGGAACTGGGACGGATCCTGGTAACTCATGCGACAGAGTTTACTAAAGCCAGGCTGGTATCCCCCAGCAGCCCCATCCTCAGTCTCTGCTGTGGCCACCTCAGAGTCAGTGCTGTAGCCCACCGCACCTTCCTCTGAGAAGGTGGCGGAGGTGGAGGAGGATGAGGCGGCAGAGGAGCAGGAGGTCTCTGAGCTGCTGGGAGAGGCTGGACTGTGACCAGAGTCCAGAGAAAGACCAGAGTCTGAGTCCAGCTCATCCTCCAGCTGAGAAGCCTGAGCCTGGCTGAAGCCCTCCTCCATCGCCAGGTCCAATAGGCTGATCTCATCGAGCATGGACTCCTCCAGCAAGGCGCTAAAAGGGTCTGGGAGGATGGGTGTGGTCGTGATGTTACTGGAGCTGTTCACTTGAGGCAGAAACACACCAGTCAGGTTAGTGGCTCCAAATGTGGAGTTAATGTTGGAGCTGTTGCCAGAAGCCAGTCTGAGCATGGTGGGACGGGGTGTGGTACTGTCAGAGTCAAACTGTGGGGGGAACATTTGGGGGAAGTCCTGGCTGCAGCTCGGCAGAGTGGCCTGATGGAGGCTGACATCTTGGTTGATTGGAGTGGAGCGAGTAGTATGCACATAGTTGCTGTTATTTGCGTCACGTGTGCCATTAGACACACTGACAACAGTATTGTTCTGGACCAGAGTTGTGTTTGCGTCCATTGTCTGTGGACCAGAATGTCTGACGTTAGCCTCAGATAGATATGATTCACTAAAGGGTTAATAAAACATAGTGCCCTCATACCTGAAGCTCCATGATGGCCATAATGTCTTGCCACTGCTGTTCCAAGTCCAACTGTGGCTCTGCCTGGGTCAGTTGTGTCAGCACCCCCTGTGAAGTGGAGGGAACGTCTTCAGTGGATACCGCCGTTTCTGTAGCAACAACCGGTGCTGGAAACTGAAGGACATTGCAGAGAAGTTCAAAACAAAACAGTGGCATCATATGACAACTGTTTGAAAAGTTTTATTTTACCTCAGTTTCTTGTCCAAATGGGAAAGTGGCCTCCAATAGCCTGAGACACTCCTGAAGAGAAAGTGATGTCTGAGAACCAAGACTGGGCAGCTAACAAAACAAACAGTATGTCAATGGTATAATTAAAACCGCTAATTGTTTATGTGTAATTAATTGACATAGTTTGCTAACCTGCTCTGGGATGCTCTCTCCGGTCTCGCCATCGACAGGCTGAGCCTCCTGTGCATTCACTCCATTCCTCCAGCGCTCCTGCTCTGTCCCATTATTGCTCTCCTGTGGGCGGGGCTTCTCCTCCTCCGTCTCTTTCTGACGGTTACTGTAGTTAAACACTTCTCGTCCAGCACCAAGGTCAATGTCTTGTCGCCAAAGGACATCAATCAAATCAATGTCCTAAATAAAATAAAGCAGGTTCAGATTATCCTGGACCATGAGTCTGTAATAAAAGTTTGATGAGATGATTAAGAGATCCTTTATTGAAAGCAATGTTGAAAGTTTAGTATATAACCAAACAATGCTTTTAAGAAGTTGTGAAATAGTTTATGAAAAGGGAGCCACATGATGAAACCAAGACTCCACACTTAGTCATGGTCATCATCATATGATCAAACTAAACCAAATCCATCTCTAAAAAGAGTAAATACTATCACATAATACTCAAACACTAAACCTTTGATAATGCAATTTATGGGTAACATGGAATCATATGACCCAAGCTTCAATAAACTCATTGTTTTTACAACAAAATGGGCCATTTACTAGATCGTCTCAAAAATAATTATTGTTTGCAAACTGTTGTAGCTTATGGTATATTTTTTAAACTAATTAATACAGTAATGGGTTTTTATTTAAGGCTGTGATGAAAAGCGTCTTTGTTATGTTAACTATACCTCTTTGGAGAGATCTTCCCCGCCATTCCTGCCCGGCTCCTGGTTCTCCTCCGAGGCCACCGCTCCCAGGGTGCTCTCCGCTGCATTCAGGTTGTAGGTGGATTCAGGCGCCCCACTTCCTCCCCTCATGGCCGGGGTCACGTCAGGGCTGTTGGCGTTGTCTAGGCCGGCCCCATTGTCCAGGGTGATACTGGGACTCGAGTGGCTGCCGGCGGACACCACAGTCTCAGAGTCGCGGTGAACTAACCAGGTGTTGAGCTCAGGCGTGGGCACAGAGAGGCGATCCAGCTGCCGCACCTGGTTTAGAAGTCGCCGCGTTGTAAAGAAGTGATCCAGGTCCACACTTTTTGGATGGATGCCATAGCCGTCCAGTGTGTTGCGAAGATTGTGGAATTGGGTTTGGGTGTAGGCTGAGCTGGGGCCGAGAATGATCTCTCTCAGAGGGGGCAGCTGATTGTTTAAATAGGAGTCTACGTCCACCCGCACCCCAATAAGACTCAGAAGGATGGTGAACTGAATCAGGCCCTCTGTGAAGTACTTTTTCAGGTAAAGCATTTCTTTACAAACGAACAAAAAGTGAAAGTAAAAAACAAAAATAAAAAGGGGGCCAACTACTTTGGATGACTAATTTCGCAATATTTCTAGAGGGATAAGGCAAACACATTAATGTAAAAATACTATAGGAAATCAGGGGATTGGGCAGTCAACAAGGCAAGTTTTAAACTGTCATGAATAGATGTTCAGAGTTTAAATGTCCTCTTTGTGAGAAAACTTTTCTTCATACAGTGTTCCTTGTCCAATACCTGGCAAAAGTAGAAAACAACATTACTGAATATTGAATAAAGCAAGACTACACTGGACAATAACAAAGCTTTGAATCCTCGAACAAACCTACTTGCCTCTATATTACGCCCATGTTATAAAGATACACTTGCTGATCTCCCACCAGTCCATTCTTGAAATAAGTGATAACGATATACTACTCACAGTACATTCTTAGGAGTTCATCTACAGAATAACACAAAGCTCAGGCATCACCCCACCCTTGACAGGACCAACTAGCTCGTATATGATCTGGTGAAGGTGAAAGAGGGAGTCTGGAGAGCTCGCAGCCTAGCATCTCACTGACAGCCGCGTTTGGTGACAGCCAGGTCCCTCCCTCTTCACAGCTGCGCCTATCATCGTCCGTATGAATTAGCTTGTAGCCACTATAGTGTTTTGCTCTCTTAACGCTGTAATGATAATAACGGTATTATCTCTGCATTGAGAATAGTGAGCAGAGCTTGTGTACATCCAGCCTTGGGGGTTTATCATGATTTATGCAACTTACAGATGTATTTTCTACTTCTCGTTGTTGCTAACATCAAGCAATCTCCCTAGCAACAAGTGGAGCAAAAATGAGAGGCAGACTTGTGATCCAATCATTGGCCGGATTTGATATGACGACACATAACCCCAGTGTGTGACAGCCAATCACAATGCGAAGGAGGCGGGGTCTGGCCGTCATGCTAATACACTACTTTACTGTACTACTGTAAACTAGCTCTGGAAGCTTTCCCGAGCCACTGCCCCAGATCATTAAACCCACACTAACCACAACAACCAATATCAGCGAGGACAATATAATATCATGCCTGACTGTGGGGTACCAGTGGCAATCTTATACATCGAAATATTACGTCTTACGCGCTTATTCTGTCCGATAAGTATAACTAAATAAAACTCACGCGCACGAATCCAGATTTTGCAGCAGTGTCTTCATGGCAGCTCTCTGCGCTTCCCAAGAACCGCTCTAAAGTCCCACATGAACCAGCATCACAAATTTCCCAAAGAAAAATCACATTTAATCCCAGCTTCATTCAATAGCCCACCATGACTTGCAGAAATGCTAGCTGGCCCGGCTGCTAGCATAGCGGCGCCGCTTGACACCAAAACACGCTTCCACAGAGCATGCGTAGAACATTCTAGTGCTAAGCTTTCATCAGCCGCTGAAATTTCCCATGATGTTAATAATAGACCTTATATACACTCTTGTACAACTACCACAAGAAGCATAATGGATTACTTGTTTATATTTGGTTCATATTTTACATCATTGTATTATATTTTGATGCAGTAATAAATTTATAATGAAAATATGCATGAGGGAATTAATAAAATCTGTATTTTATTTCTGTAGTTTACAGAGGGGGAAAACATGTTTTAATGTCTAAATACTAACTCCCATTAAGTTTACAGGTCTGTTGTTGTACCGCTTTGAAATGTCTGCTTCAATCTGCAACAAAAAATAAAACGTCAAAAGTCAAACTGATGACAGTAAAAAGGTGGTAACAGAATGTATAGTTAAATCTTACAAGTTTCTGTAGTTCCTTGGTGCATTCGGTCAGAACTTCTACACGAGGCTCCAGCTTGGACTGTTCTTCTAATGTTTCTTGTCTCCTTTCCACCATTGCAGCACTTTTCAGCACTAAAATGTCTGCTTGTTTGAGCTTTTGTCTAAGCATCTCTGTTACGCGTTCCACATATCTAAAATGAAAATGAATGTGTTTTAACATGATATCATTTCCAGATATTTAATCAGGCGATACCTTGGTGAGGCCAGGATCATGAAGAGATGTTGCATTCGGAGTGTGGTCAGTCGGCCGAGGATATTGCGGACCTCTGATAACATTGCCTGGACATGTTCAGAGCTTTGGCTTTGTATCACAGAAGGAGCCATCTGAAACTGACTCATGGCCACTACATCTGCCTCTTCACTCATCTCAGTAAGACGCTGCACCAGGAATACCTCAAGCTACACAAAGAATTTTTTGTTTTTGTTTGTGCAGTTAAATAATCTAATTTATTGCTTTTCAAATATATTAACTTAAATATTGTACAACCAAAGAACCATTAAAAGTATAGTGGCATTGAGACATTTTACCTCCATTAATTCATCAATAAATTGGTTGCGTGATTGGGGGTTTTCCAGGATTGACAAGGAATCTTCACCTCTAGCCACACCATCTGGACCTTTAAGGAAAAATAGCATAAGACATGTTTTTTAAACAAACTGTGGATCATTGTTATAACATGATGTCAATGCACAATATATCATTGTTGTACAGTATCCTCTTACAGTTTGTACCAGCATCCACCACTTCAATTTCAATCGGAGCAGTACCACTGTCGCCCCAGTCAATGTCACCAGCATCTGCATCCTAATGAGAGAGAATTCTCAAAGATAGATTCAATAATAAATACAAATTTGTATCCAAGCCTTACCCCAGAATCAACACTGATGCCCCAGTCAATTGCCTCTTCAACTTGAATGTCATGGTTTACACCTTGAATGTCTGAACTTGTACCAAAGTTTCCCCAGTCAATCTAAGAGTGACATATTAGTAACGAGATGCTTTGGAGAGTCCACTACAACGTGCATAATGTAAAAAAGACATACTGCTCCATCTTCTACTGTTTCAAGAGGGGCCTCTTCAACAACTGGTCGCTCAACGATTGTAGGAGCTTTACCCGTTCTCCATTCATAAAACGTAGCATTTCTGCTTTTCGAGACAAACGTCAGCATGGGTAGTACTGGTTCAGACCTATACATGATCACAACAATGGAGTAAAAATATATCAATAACAGAAAAGGCACCATTTATACGGTCAAATCCATTTCAGTCAGTAATATTAATTCATAAACAAAAGTTCTTTGTTATTATTCAAATTTAGGGGTGTCAAACTTATTTTGGTCAGTCAAGACCCTTTTTCTGCACACCTGCAACGCACTTGCAATGTTGCAAGGTCAGTGGAACATTCACTCATTGGTTTTAAGTACATTCTGAGTCCTCCCGACCCGTCAGTGTCAGTGGACACTCGCCATAATCCCGGCAGATCTCAGAGGCTAAGCAGAGCAGGACCTGGTTAGTTCTCTGATGGGAGAGCTCTGGGAACACCAGATGCCACAAAGGGGCAGCTGTTAAGTGCCAAATTGTCATTGTGTCCTTAGGCACTTGACTCACATTGCCTAGTACCACTCAGGTGTGTGGAATGACTGAAAAGTAATACATTCTGCAAGTATAAATGTGCTTTCACTTTCATACTTACCACTCACACACAAAGTTGGTAAATGCAGCGTAAAGTTGAATTTGCTTTTCTAACTTTGCAGCATCTCCTCCAACTTCATCCAGCACAGCTGGCAAATCTTTGACAAGACCTTGTAGCTCCCGAGCCACATTTTCTCCCTGGTAAAATAAAAGCTACATGCATTCCGAAACTGAGCATGTAATGTATGAAATCTGTGTTTTTGGACCTACTGTGATTCCGTACTGTTTACATGCAGCGTAATATCGTTCCCTGAGGTCTGCAGCAGAGTTCTGACACTCAATTTCCCGTCGGCTCAGCTCCTGCTGCAGCTGCTGCGCTTTGGAGATCTGCTTTCTCAGGGCTGGACCTTCATAACTGACATTACGACTCAGCAAGCTGGCCAGCTCAGCTACAACGGATAACACAACAAACAGAAAACATTAACACATTTTTGTGTAGATTAAAAAGACCAATTGTGCATAAAACCAAGTCATCTACACACGCACAAACACACACAGAACTAAAAAAATCGTCCTTTCATATTATGGGGATTTTGTTCATTTCGATGCTTTGCCGTACCTCGCACATGGAGCTATGTAGTGCCCAACCACCACAATAATATGGAAGAAAAAAGAGGCATGCATTTTGAAAAATATTTATTTTAAATGATAGAAAGTTTGTTTGGTGCTTTTTTAACCCAATTGCAACCCCACAATGGATAGTAGCTAACACATAGATATAATTTTGCCTAGTCATGTGTTCAAACTCTTAAGATTTTGGCATTTTAATGCACATTTGTATGTACATATTTATTTTGGAACTGAGTGCACTGCCACTTTGTAGCTTCAAGTTTGAGATAGTCACCAAGTACACAGACAAGAAAACTAACACTTACCCAAATAGACACTGTCCACTTCATAAAGGGAAATAATTTCTTGCCAATCCTGACAGAAATACAATTGTTAACTGCCCTTGTTTCTAACTTCATAATATTGTGGTGAATGTAGTCAACCTTCATTCTCTGAGATGAATATCTGCCAAAGATGTTTTTAGATGAAGCTTCAGTCTTTCTCAGAATTTCCACAATTCGTATACAGTGGAAATAGTGTATGTCTGCACACAAAAACATTTCACTTTAAATGAATAATAGGTATACACATGCAGAGATCAGTGTGATAAAAGACACATACAAGACCCAGAGAGGAGTGCCTTGATCTCCTCATGCTCTGGCATGTCCTGAATGGCAGCATTGATCTTCTCTCTGATTCCTTTTACTGCACTTTGCCATTTCAAATTGCAGTGGCGTCTATCCACCAGCCAGTCTATAGAGACAATAATACAACCAATTATTTTTCAAATAATTCGTATAGTTTTTTAATATACTGAAAAGATATGACAATATGTATCTTACCTAGAAGTTTACTGGTTTGTATATCAATGGGAAGGTTTTGTATATTTTGCTGAAATTAGGAAAAACAGAGGACATATTTCAACAATTATCAAGTCATATCAGGAAACAAACAGCTATTGTTATACATTATTGAGTACAAACTGCTCCTGATGAGAGCCTCGGAGTTCACTTTGCGAACTGGACTTTGACAGTAAACGCTAGCTTTATGTATTACGCTAGCAATGTTTAGCTATGATCACAGGAATACTAAATAAAATCCTTACCTCCATTATTTCTTTATCGATGTATATTCGACTGTGCCTAATGTCCCTGTAGTTACATTACAGAGTGATCAAAATGAGGATTTACGCCATCTGTTTCCCAATGTTTATGACACGTTACAAGATTGAGACCCAATCAGATATGGCGTTGTTGGAAATGGACCAATGGCGTAAGGTTTTACTTTTAGGTGGGTTTTTAGTTGCGGTTGCGTGTGGCTGAAGTTAATTAGTTTGGCCACTAGAGGACGCCATTTTACAACACGAGTTACAGTCTATAGACACGACGTGTATGGTTTTTAAAGTAGGCAACAACCTTTGTTACTTTTCTGGCTGACAGACAACCACCTGATGTTAGCAAGAAGATGTCATGGAACCGTGCAGCTGCTATTCCCCGTGGTCTCCCATTACGGTACTAACCAAGCCTTGCACCGCTTAGCTTAGACTTTTAATCCATTAAACAAAGCTAAAAACATCTCCATGGAGACAGGTCCGTGTAAATTTCTAGTTCACAAAACCGGTTATTATAATATACATGTCTTATAAGCAATTAAAAAAAACAAAATGGTCATTTTTGTATATTGCCGTGTGCCTGAAAGAGCAAAATAACCTTTTTTTGATTTTCCATTTCCCTTCAAAAATAGAAAGTGTATTATAGAAAATGTAAAAGTACACGGACCGAAACAATGCGGAGAATGGATCCTTCATCATGAAGTTATGATTCATAATTTGCATGTATAAAAAGTGACAAACCAAGGCAGACAGTTTTGAGATTAAATGATAACATAAAAATGTAATATTATTAGAATGTTTTTTTTTTATTTTTTTCAGTGATTGCTTGAAACCATTTGTTGCCAAATGATTGTGTTTTCTGTCTTTAAATTATAACATAATTAAGCCGTTTTGGAGAGTTCTCAAACGTGGTGCAGTACAAGGTGCATGGCCCAGGAATTTAAAGGAACTTTTTTTTTTTCAGGGAAAAATGGGCAGCTTTACCATAAAAGAGGATGAAGAACCCCATCCCTAACTGCTACAAAACACTCCACGCTGTCATATGTTGAGGTATGGAAACATGGTAATTCTAGTCCTTTCTGTTGTTACTAATTTGAGAAAACATTTAAACATTATTGAAAACCTGTTTATTTAACAATACAGGGCTTTAACCACTAAAAATGAACAAAGATATATATATATTTTTTTCAACGTAATCATTAATTCATGTATGTACTGGGCGATATAATAGCATTATAATCTAAGCATTGTTTTTTTAAGGTATAAACAAGAGCATTAAATAAATAAATAAAATCATGGTGGTTATGAGGCTTTACTCAACAGCTTGCAGATATTTTGGTTTGACATGAAATTTAAAATAAGTTTCTGACCTACTTTTAAGGTTATTTGAATGTCAACCAAACGAAGTGTGCATTTACTGTGTGTGATTCTCGTCGCCCATGCAAAACATGGCAGGCCCTTTTCCTTGTTCAGACTCCCTTTTGTCTGTGTCTAGTCTTTGTTCTTGTAGCTCAGTAGTAAAAGCTGGGAGGGTTATGTAATCAAAGTCAAAACTCAAATACTGGGATAGGACACGCTTTCTTCTATGGCCAAATTCCATGTTTACACGTGACTGGTTTTCGAGTGAAACCGATAAAGGGAATTTATTTGCCATTTTGGAGAGCTGCCCACCTTTCCATAACACACATTCATTGCATTGTCAGGAACAGAGTAATCTTGGAGGGGACTGGGCAGGACCAAAGAAATGTCTAAGTAAATCACATGCTGGTTGCAACATTAAGTCCCAGACACTTTTGGGCGGTCTTTGAGGTGTGTGTTTGAGGAGGGTGTGGGTTGTTCTAGTGGAGGACAGAGCGGGACAAGGTGAGACAGAGGCGCCAGGGGAAGGGATGCTGCTCCTGCTGTTTCACCTGACAAGATACAACAACTTCAGTGAGAAATAGTGCAATCATGTTCCCCGCTTTTTCCCTATTTGGTGTTTGAACCTTCTCAATTCCTCTGTAGCCAAGGTAAGTGACATCCCTGTTTTTACAATATTAGTACTGGAAAAGTTCACACTGTTATCCATCTTCATCACACTCATATATAGTACTGCATTTCTCCATTGTGAGATCCATAAAGTAAATATTATCTCACAGCTGTGGTCAGGCTTAGGATTTTGTAGACATCTCACATTTTGCTTAACAATATAATACAAAAACATACATAACAGATTTGGTTAATAAAGTATTTCAGCAGAATCTATTCAAATGGATATGCATATTATAATAAAAATGTTTGTATTTTATCGGCGGACAAAACCTATATTGTCTGGTTTGTGGGCAACACAGAGGAGCTTTTTGAAAACTTTTGAAACCTGAATATCTGATGGTGACTTTTAATGGCCTTTCTTACCTGGCAGCTTAAGTGCTTCTAAATGTCGTCAGATCTAGCTAGTGATTTCCAATGTGTGTTATTCTGGCCCTCATAATCCCTGAAGCTTGGCAGAGTGGCTCTCCCACACATAACATAATACATAGTAACTTATTAAAGAGAGCTATGGAGGGCCTCTTTTAAGTCAACACCACTTTTTGTCTCAAAGGTCACATCTAACTCAAACACGGCTCACCAAATGACAAACGCATTGATATTATTTCATTTTTATCTTCTCTCAACAGTCAGCGAAAGTGCCGTTTAAACCTTAGTTGTGGCTTGTAGGAACTGCTTCATGGAGGCAGGACAACAATACTATGCAAATACTTTGTAAATATTTGTTGAGGAGCAGAGATTTAAAGAAGGAAAAATAAAACACTCATTCCCAAGATATACCAGGAAAAAAGATTCAAATCCAGCTTGTAAAATTACACAATCTTGAAACCGAGACCAGGAAGTAATATTCGGAAATTTCAGCCAGTGCACCATAAAACTGGCCGCAGTGGCTTTATGTGCTGCAAAATCTAGCTGTATTCCCTCTTGGAAACAAACAACTTGGATGCCATTTTCACTGTATTGTGTTAAAAAGATCAGGGGCTATTGTTGAAACGTTTTACACATAATTTAAATCTTGCATGACTCAGAGGCAGTCAACATCGGGGAGAGCAGATAAGAGTGTTCCTTGCAAAGGGCATGAGTATTTGCATAGGTGCTACATGATAAAATGACCACACAAAAGGGTTAGCCGTGTTGGTCCTTACATGCTAGCTTTAATACTACAGTGTTTGATGTCTGTCTGCTTTTCAAATCTTTTTGTATGGAGATTAAGCAAGTGGTTTGTTTGCCCTGTGTTTCTACAATCAGGAGGAGGTTGTTTAACATGAGAGTAAGTCGTGACACACGGCCAATTGACAGAAAGATGGATGGAAATTGTCAAAAGTATTTAACAGTTTTTTTTATTTTATTTTTTTATATGTCCAATGCCCTTCTCTTCACATTCAGCAACAGCTACAATTCCACAACGTTGGTTCTGAAAACACAATGTTTTAGACTCAGCAATTTGGGAGAGTTGTTTTGCCCAATGACACAGGAACACTGAGCTGAGCATGAAGACACCCACCACTACATTATACAACACTTACTACTCTGTGGGTCCTGGCGCACTGCAGACTGATTGCTCATCAGTGTAAGATGTGAGTTCAAATATCAGATCTCATGAGCGGGACAGTGGATAGGGGTCTTATTAATTTATCAGCTGAGCCACAGTGTCAGGTGTCATGGCCCATAAGGATACACCACCTGCTGATTATGGACCAGTGCAGCAGCCACAGCCCACGGTTCTCTGCTTTCCAAGGATTCTGCTCAGTGCAGCAACAACTTAGTCACAAAATGAATTAAAAAGACCGATTAGCATAATTCTTTAGCTTCAAAGTCTCAAAGCATACAATATGACTTGCTCAATTGGTGCAAATATTTATTTTTATCATTTATGATTGGGAATCATTTAGAAATGTTTGATAGACACCAGAAAGCCATTTCAGTGATAGGTTCAATTTTCAGAATGAAATCTATTTTCACTTGATGTATAATAGCTATTATTGAAAACGCATGGACCAAAAAACAACTTTAGAAACAGCGTTTTATTATTATTTATTATTATGTATGATATTTCATGTAATAAAAATGAAAATGAGTGCTGTGACTGTGACTGCTGTATTAAAAAGGGCAGTCGCCTTTAGTAGAAGGTGAAATGGATATTTGATCCTTTTAAGCAGGAAGTAATAAAAAACTCACCTCTACAGGGGTTACAGATATGGTATTACAATTACACATACAATAAATGCATAGTATAGAGAATAGATAAAGAATATGTGTGAGAAATCCACTCGTGACGCCCAGGGCCGAATAAAATAAAAACACAATTTGTCAAATTATGCTGAACTTGTAGTTTATTTGAGTCATATACTGTGTTGCTCTACCAGATATCACTTTGTGTTTTAATTGTTGTGTTTTGTGTCAAATAAAGAGCTAAAATGAAATCTCACAATCCTTATGTCCTACACCCCACTTTGAGAACCACTGACATATTGTTTCTCAAACTGTGGTATGTCGACTGGTGGTAGTCAAACCTATTCTAGTGGTCCTTTGGTATTGATGCAGTGGTATTCTTTAGATATGGTGGTACTGGAGGTGAAAGCGTTTCTTAGGTGGTACGACTTGATTTGAAAAGTTTTAGAATCGTTCACTTGTTTTATTTAGTAACATCTAATCTTAATCCCTGGCAGTTAGTGTCCACCTAGGCTTCAATCCAGTTCATCGTTAACTCTGGTGTTTGTTCCTAGGTTCTCCTCTGTTGGTTGGTGCCATGGCGGACCCGAGCTGGTGGAGACTAACCTTCTCTCGTAAAAAGAAATCTGAACCCAAAGTGCTGTACGAGATCCCCGGGGAGCACGGCAGCAACAACGGGAACAAGGAGCATTCGGGCATTAACCCGCCTCAAGAACACGTGGACAGCCAGTTCAATGCCAGACTGGAAAAGATCGTAGACAAATCGGCCACTAAGGGGCGCCACGTCAAGGTGTCCCACTCTGGCCGCTTTAAGGAGAAGAAGAGAGTGCGCGCGACTTTGGCCGAAAACCCTGCGCTTTTCGCCGAGCACAGTAAAAAAGACGAGAACCATAAAAACAACAAACATGCAGATAAATAACCATTAAGAATGAAGATACAAGCACATCCACAGTGGCTGCAAGGTGCTACACGCTCGTTTCGAAACGCCACGCCCAAAAGATACTGAGACTCCGCAGCAACTGATGTGAGCCTAAGCATTACGCATTCAGGAAAGCCCACAGCAGCAGCGCCCGTGTCTCTGCACCTGTAAAAGTTTATATTTACTTTTGCTGTCTGTTCTGTAACTTGAATTTTATGTGACATGAAGGTAAATGCCTAAATTTTCAGCAATTAAAGATGTTTTTGTATCGTAGACTGAAGACAATCTTTGAAAATAGCTTTTTGTATTCATTTTACAATCAGCTTGTTTTATTACAGGAAAAGAAAAGTGAAGAATTTATGTACAATACTTTATAAACAGAGTGTAGATATGAAAATTTTATAAATGATGTATTTACAGATATATTCATTGAAATTATTGAATTTTATTGAAATAAAAAGATTGATTATTGTAAATGGTATTGTTATTTTTTGTTATTAGGATCAACTGGAGAGTTTTTGATGTGAAACCGACAAAAGGTGGAACTATGTAACTTATTGTAGTCTGTCTCTTAAGCCCAGGAAAAACAAGAATATCAGTAAATTTAACACAAATATGTAAGAAAAATGCAGGGAAGCGTTTGTGGAGAGCCAGGTCGCTGTATAGAAAGTGTCCTTGAGTGATAAGCTCATGGGGGTCATTTACTTATTTTTACCCCACGGACCCCGATTTGTGGGTGAGCGGCCCTGCCATGCATTTATATTTCTCTCCCAGACCCAGTTTTTCATTATAGAAGTTATGAATTGTAATGTTACAAGCCCAGGTGCTGTTGTGCCACTTTCGATGCCAAATCAAGGATCTATTGAGCCAAATTGAGAAAAATGCTTCTCTATTTTTCCTTATGCTTAAAATCGACCTTTTTCAGACTGTGCAGCTCCAGGTTTGGTCAAATCATATAAAGCACCTTTAAAAATGTCTTTAATGGCACTTATGTAACATTTTATCCCACAAAGTTCAGTGAAGTGATTAGAAAGGGAAAGGAAGGGTAGGGATTTGGATGCAGCCTTATTTTAGTTTCTTATCGACTCAAAATTGACCAATAGCCAAATTAACCACAACTAGTTACTGACAAAGGAAACCCAGTCGCATTTATTTTATTACCTCTTCTTGTTGCCATGGTTGCAGAAAGGGGACACTGAAACTGGATTCCATGTCTCTGCGCTTCATAAACCACAGGCTGAACTGAAACGGTATTACTCACCACCGGCTTAAGTGTATTTCAAAAGATACCGGTCTCATTCCCTGGCCAAACTCCAGATGTAAGCGCACATGATGTAACAGAAACAGATTTTGTTTTTCACGTCGGCCGTTCTGTTTAAAGAACAGGATTTGGTTATGGTTCACTGGCTGCACATTTCCTGCATATGCAAAGGTTGTGTTTGAAGCCAGATTCTGATAAAGCAATGATTTGTGTGGATATTGCGACACTAAGAGACACTTCTAGGTGAGGGCGTCAACTTAGTCAACAATATCATTCAGTGTTAAAGTAAAATCTATTTCCTCATTTGATAAACCAGTTAGAATGCAGAAGATCTTATCACACAGTTTTATTGCTGTATTAAAATCATAAAACACCCTCTATGTGAAAATTATACTTTATTAAAATTATTGTTGGCACTTTTAAACACACATGACTGTACACATTATTCAACACGTAATTATTTACATTTAAGTTAAGCACCTAGCACTTTTATAGCAATGTGAAAGTGCGTCTGGAATCAATATAATAATTACACCATTTACATATTTAAGTTGACATCCTATCGGCATCTACCACAGAACACAACCAAGCCGCTTTTGTGCTTTTAAGATTCTTTCACTTGTCATTTTTTAACCAATTGTTGATGATTGACATGAAGTGGAGTTGGATCAAACCTGAAAATATTAACTACGATAGTCCTAACACAGACAGTCATATGATGTGGATGGACACTCAGCAAAAACCTTTAGCAGCAGCAATTAACATCAAGTAATACCCATTATTTATTCATATACATCAAAAAAAATTCTCCTTTTAAGTAAATCCATTTTAAGGAGACAGTCTTTGATACACCCACCCTTCCTCTCCCATGTGCTGAAACTCCCCCAGCTCCTCTCCAGGCTTTAGTTTGGTAAACACGATTCGGTCGTGAAGTCTGTTGGTCTGACCCTGCCAAAACTCAATCATGTAAGGCTTGACCATGTAGCCTCCCCTGTTGGCAGAAGTCAAGAATCATGTTTGTTATGTTGAGAAGCAATTATTTACACAATTATTCACGGTAAAACCCTTTTTTGCAATTCTCTTTCTCATATCTGCTTGTCACACGGAAAACATAAGCCAGAAAGTATACACTATGGCTGGATTACCATGGACAAAGCTGCAGGTGTTGCCAGAGAAAATGGTAAAGGGTGAGGCTTACCAATAGTCAGGCATCGGTACTTCACAGTCCTTGTATTTCTCCACTAATTCTGCATCTTTCTGCCTTAGATACTGAAAGGCAATAACAACAATAACAATACATTCTGAAACATGTTTTTAGAGATTTCTTCTTCTGGAGTATTGTGCTTACATCTCTGTTAGGGACTGGAGTGCTCTGACGGCTCACCACGGCTCCGATCTGGCTGCTCTTTGGTCGAGAATGGAAGTAGTCAGAAGAAAGCTGATGTGGGATCTTGTCTACGGTTCCTTCAATACGAATCTGAAAATGAAAACAAAATTAAGTCCCAACAATATTAACCTTGTTTTCATAACTTTGTTCCAATAAAACAAGGGAAGGTGGTTACAGGATTACAGGATTTCTACTTCGAAAGCATCTCCTGTTTATACTTTTTCTATTACAACACACACACACACTTTCAACAAAAATAAAAACCACTTTTGTCTTGCCCCCATTTTTCATAGAGTTGAACTTAATGAGACAGAAAACATTTTGTGAACACACCTCAAAGATTAGACATGAGAATTACACAGGGATTATCACAACAAAAGATCATTCTATAATATTAACGGCTTATTAACCTCGCTTGCTCGGTCTGTACAGAGAAATATCAGACCGCTGCCTTAATGTCTGTGCAAAAAATAAAATAAATGTTTTATTATATGACTATTTTTAATTTATGCAAATTTCGATCTCTGACTTGATTTTCCTAATCGTGTTTTTAGCGTTCTGATCTGTAACGAAGTTCTTCTCTTGACTTCAGGAGTTGTGTTTTCGTCGTTATTTGCTGTTATTACTTCCTCTGGCTCTTCGAACTCGTTCGGATAATAGAATTCACTGGAGAATGCTCCCAGTCGTCGCCCATTATTTCTTTTTTTACCGGGGAAAGATATCAAATCTGATGCGTGCTGCGGGCCGATCGTCATGGTAACGGTCCGAGATGGGAAAATATCAAACCGCAAATCAGCCAATCAGAGCGCACGTACGGTCCAAGTCATATAATAATCAGTTATATCATACAGCACAATGCCACTGACGTCGCCTCATCGGGATCTTAACTGTTCAGGGCAGACGGTGTGAGTGGTGTCGTGGGAAAGAGGTTTGCCGAGTTGTGTATCGGTGATTGGGTCATGGTATGGGCAGATATGTGGAATGGTAATGTTGAGATGTGAAGTAAAATGGGTTCTCATTAAGATAAATGCTAACACAGATTAAGACAGATTTGTGAACATGATTTGAGAATGCAATATTTTAGTGTATACGAAAACATGTAAACTTTTTCAGCTCATGAAAACTGGGAGCAAAGGATGTTTAGTTGGATTGAACTATTCATTTTTGTGACAGGATGAATATACATAATCTAAGTTATTTCAGTTTGTAAATGTAACATAACTTGGTATTATGACTACAATGGTGTTACCTGTCTGTTCAGAGGTTCCCAGTAAAACACCAGACATGCATATGGATTGGTCTCCTGAAACAGAACAATACAATATGAATGACATACAATGAGGTGTACTTTCGATGGTCACTATACTCACCAGTTCAAAACCTTTTCTGCTCTCGTAGTTTGAAAAGAAGCGGAATCCTTCATTGTTGTAACCTTTCAGAAGTACCATTCGGGCAGATGGGCGTCCTTCCCTGAGAGACAGTAGACAAAAGTAGTATTTAACAACAGGCTCAGTCAATATTGGTTTTGCACTTCCCTGTTATTGTTCTTACTTTGTGGCAGTGGCTATACACATCGCATTGGCTTCTCCAATTTCAGGGCATTCTACGGCTGCATCAAACCAGTTCTTAAACTGTTTGATGGGGTCCAGGGATGCAAGCTGATTCTCCTCAAAGCACTGCAGAAAACAAAACACAGGCTGTTTTATAAATGTATATTTTGATGTGCAGATGTCACACAGATGTAAACATTTAGACCATGTCATTGATCTAATTGATAAACAATCCAGCAAGGAGAACATAATGTACTAAAAGGTTTGGACTTAGATAAACATAATTGACCCATATAGGGAAATTACTTGATAGACATCTCACATCATATAACTATATCAAAACTATCAACACGTAAACATGGTACAAAATGACCACACAGAAGATGCAGAGGAATGGACAAGATGGATAACTTAAGGTAATCCTTCTCTGATGGAGGAGAGATGTACAGCACGTTGCATATTTGAAAGAGTACTTTAATTATTAGGTATTTGGCCTTTCATATAGCAGCATGAGGCCACAGGAGAAGGTCATGAATGATTATGAATACTCACGTCTTCATCTCCCTTGTATTTTTTCCTCATGCTACTCAGGTCCATCTCTGCAGACTGAAGCGTGGATTTTGTACAAAAAGGCTTTATACAAACGCGAGGGTACCGCACAGTCAAGGTGCCATAAAGACTTGGATTTTTACTGAATACACCAATACTTCTCAATACAACGCTACGGAGAGTGCTCTTCATGCCTGTTAAATAAAACCAACAGTGCGCATGTCTTAAAATTATTACGAAAGAAAGTTTTGTAATGTTGTGATATGTTTCTCTTCCATTTGAAACATATCTGTGCATTAATACCTTCTATAAGTATGTAAATAATGTGTGTCTGTGCAAAAAAAACACAAATAAAAACATTATATTTGGTTTGCCGGAAGCGCTGCTGGGTCACGTGATCACAACTTCCGGATTTCTATCAAAGATGGCGGCGACCTTGTGTTCAAAAATAATACCGAAACAAGGTAATTTACCGTAAAACACAGATATATTAACTATTTTTGACATATATGTTCTTCCAAAATGGCTTGAATGTTTTATTTTAGTATATTTCTAAATGGAACGAGTTATATTGTTCTTAGATATAGTTTTTGGCATGCCCGTCTATCCAGTAGAACCAAATCCTGGAGATACAGGACAACAGTCTATGTACAGGACCGAAAACCTATGAAAAAGAATTGGCAGCATTTTAATCTCCCACCTACTATTATTATTAGCACTTGTATTTTGTTTTATGTTTGTGCGTCAGTGTAGTAGTATTGGTTTGTAGTATTGAATACATTTCTCATGTATATTGACTTTTTGCATTGTCTATTGGGGAAAAAACATTGTTTCGAAGTTTCAAGAGTGTACCTTCTAACGTGTGCTGTTGACATTTGTGATGGTAAATAATGTGTGTATTTCACCAGCATGGCTTCCTTTGGCTCAGAGTGTTCGACATGGCTCCAAAGCTGTGACTCGCCACAGAAAACCCATGCACTTTCTTAAACAGAAACTGATGGCAGTGACCGAGTACATCCCTCCCAAACGTGCTGCTCCTCTGGGTGCATTTCCCCCTCAGACCACAACAGTTAAAGAGGTGAGATGGCACTGGAACATGTATCATCTATTGCTACATTAATGTTGTTTGTGGTTTTCAGGAAAGTGGTTTAGCTTTACTGAAGAAGAAACAGTTGAAGGAAGTTTTTGGGACCAATAAGATGATTGCCGTGGCTCAGAACAGCGGCAGCAGCGTGGAGGACATGCTGGTTCTCAAACACAGGCTTCATAAACACGACATCAGTGTCAAATTCTTTCCAAATGAGGTAAATGTTTATGACATGCACTGAAATGGTCTTTCCCTGTTAAATGTAATTAATCTGAGTTCATGCCCTTTCCTTATAGATCGTACGATCATTTCTTAGTGACAGTATGTATTGTAATTTAGCTCCTTTGTTCATCGGCCCCACTGTGCTGCTTGTGAGTAAAGAGCCCAAACTAAAGGAACTTCTGAGGACCGTGAGAGCCAGTCAACAGATCACACTCTTAGGTGAGTTACATGTTGTGTAACAGAACTCGTTTTTATTATTTTGACCTGTTCTTGAACTGACATCGCCCAAAGAAATTGATGAACATGTGTTTGTCCCAGCATCTGGTACTAGAAATATTTACATGATTTTTTTCTCTTACGTTAATTACTGACATTGTGCAAAAACAGGAAAGAATGTATTAAGACTTCCAGTTGTGGGACCTGACTTGTACAAAAGAGCCCTGGTGTTTCAGTAGGGTTAGGGTAAGCGTACATTACAGTCCAATATGGGCTTCTATCAGTGATGCTACAGTGTTATTAGGACAATAGATGCGTGTTTTGTGATGTGAGTGCATCCATCAGCCCTGTGTCTTCACATCACATTGACTTCATGTGTATCTGTTGCAGGAGGCTGTGTGGAGGACTCCATACTGAGCACACAGGGCCTCTTGAGCTACTCCAAGCTCCCCTCACTGACTGTTGTTCAGGGGGAGCTGGTGAGTGGTCTGACCATGTTGACGTCTCAAACCACTGCTCTGCTCCAACGACACCCCTCGCAACTGTCTGCTCTGCTCACACAGTATGTCAAACAGCAGAGCGGAACCACGGAGACAGCTTCTACATCTGCAGAATCATCCTAGATATTATTCAACTATTGTCCTAGAACTGGGGGAAAACAAGAACATTTTTATCTGTCTGGAAAAGCTGTGTCTTCTTGAAATGACTGTACCAGGAGCCTCCTCTCAGACTCCATTAAGGACATTTTCAGCTATATGCTCACAAAAAATAGATATTTATATCAAATTGCAAGTTACAATTAAAACCTTCAATGTATCTTGTTTCTCATTCATTGGTTTTCCTCATGGGAGAAACGTTGATTTCTATAAGACACACGCGGTGGTCACCAATAAAATGTTATTATTTAACATTTTAACAACAAGTGAGAGTATTCTACCTAATTATGTTTTGGCTCTACATTCCCGTCGGCACAGTCCCACTTGGACGCAGATCATTTTAAAGACATAAGTGGCATCATGGGAGCTGTGCCAGTCACAATAACGCCCAGTGGTCACAGATCCTGACATTTTAATCTGTGGATTAGTATGTTAATCTTGGTCAGTCTATTATGGCCTGCTTCATTACTGTCAGAGCACCTGCCACAGCGCCACCACCGCTGACCCAAAGCAATGACTTTATTCAACCACAGGATGGCGCTGCAACCACATATGTAATGGATTCATCTGTATGCATTGAGATGTTGTTTTGAAATGTTTTTTAGGTTGTTTGTGGTGACACTTTTGGAGCGAGTATTGATGTGTATCTCAAGGTAAATAGAAAACAACTTATTTGAGAAAATGTATTAATGCTGTGTGGAATTGAATTTTGAGATTCTTTACATTTGCATAGTAGTGTATTAGTTTAAAATGCCATTATTATGTGTAGTTTTTCTCCACTGAACACAACCAAGCCTGCACCAGTGTTGCAGGCTCCACACGTGCAGGTGATTTGGAAGTGGACTGTGGTGTTTTTAGACAATGTAGAGTCAGTGAAGGATTGTCCCTGCTCTATATCCCCGCTGCTGCTAGACACCGGGTAATTCCCCTTAATGCGGATAATGCCCAGGACACATGCGCGCAGCCTGGACGCTCAGCTCCTTGGAGATTTGGGTGCGTGTGTCACCCACCGACAGCAGAGAGACGACCCCGGAACCAGCACCATGTGTGGACTCAACATGTAACATCCACTTTATCTTTAGTTCCTTGGTTTTCATCACGCACGTAATGGACGTTTCCGCGTTTCTCTGGAATCATGACTTTTTGAGAAGTTCACCTCAACAAACGATGTTCCTCTGAGAAGACTGAAGGTATGTTTTATTCTAACTGTTTGTGTGTGCAAGCTTTAATTACTGTGATGCAGTACCGCAGCTCATAAGAAAACAGACTGGCCTCAATTTGGTTATTTCCTTTCCCGTAATACTTTTCAGAAGGAAATATAAATACATGTTCAAATTAGGATTCATGAAACAGGAATTTAAAAAAGAAAGTGTGTCTTCTTTTTCAAGCACGCCCAGATAGAAACGCACAAATCCTTTCATCCTGTTTCCTTCGTGCGCTTTGACCAGTACAGAGGTCAGTGTCATCCCTGATCCTTACGCAATGAACGACAGCTCTGCTGTGAGATCCACCACTGCCTGCTCCTGCTCCTGCTCCTGCTCCTGCTCCTGCTCCTGCTCCTGCTCCTGCCTCCCTGCTCCTGCTGCCTGCTCCTGCTCCTGCTCCTGCTCCTAATGCCTGCTCCTGCCTCCCTGCTCCTGCTGCCTGCTCCTGCTGCCTGCTCCTGCTTCTGCTCCTGCTCCTGCTGCCTGCTCCTGCTCCTGCTGCCTGCTGCCTGCTCCTGCTCCTGCTGCCTGCTGCCTGCTGCCTGCTCCTGCTGTATCACAACTAGTGCTGTGTGTGGACATTATTGTTTTTATGATCCAATAATAATCACACTCAATGAATGCTGTGCAAATCTTTTAATGTTCTCGTTTGAACAGAATACATCCTGCATGGTCTGATTCTGAAAGAACCGTGTTCTCTCTCGTCGATAGGAAACAGTCACTGTGGCTCAGTATCACTGTTCAGGAGAAGATGCTAAAATCATCCTTCTGAAAACCAATTAAGCAGCGTTAACTAATCCTTCAGGCTGCACGGCCACTGTCACCTAGATTGTCATACACTAGATGTATTTACCCACACTGTTATTCTACAGCTTCATACAGACAAAAGTACTTATTGCTTCTGGTTCTCATTAGAAAACAAAACTCTCTTTTTCATGGAGGCTGTTACAAATGTTTAGTGACATTCTTGACAATTCAAAAACGTCTTCGCAATGGCAACCCTGCTCCCATCTCTGTAATCTTTATTTATTTATACATTAATCTCTGTGTGGAGTGAGAGACAAATGCCCATAACAACTGGAAAGCGCTTTGTGACTCTGGTTTGTGAAAGGCACGATATAAATAAAGATGACTAACTTACACTGGGAAAGACATCAGTGAATTGGTAAAAACCGCAGGTTATTTGAAGCAGTAAAACATTTTGCTTTTCAATTCACACAAAGACAAACACAAACAAACCATATGTGCCCATTAAGCACATTGTGTGTGAAGTATGAGCTGGTCTATTCAGGGCCTTGAACTCGGCCTCGAGGTCTCTGCTCAGTAAAAGGATTACTTTCTCTCTCCTGTTGCTTTGACAAATCTTCTGGATGTTATGTTGTGCTCTATACAACCGAGTTATGTCAAAAGAACCGCTTTAGCATCTGCACTTTTACACTGACACCATGTTTAGTGATTTAGTGGTCAAATGCATCAGAGAAAGATCCTGCACTCTGGTCTTATACTGGTCCTACACTGGTCTTACACTGGTCTTACACTGGTCTTACACTGGTCTTACACTGGTCTTACTCTGGTCTTACACTGGTCTTACACTGGTCTTACACTGGTCTTACACTGGTCTTACTCTGGTCTTACACTGGTCTTACACTGGTCTTACACTGGTCTTACTCTGGTCTTACACTGGTCTTACACTGGTCTTACACTGGTCTTACACTGGTCTTACACTGGTCTTACACTGGTCTTACTCTGGTCTTACACTGGTCTTACTCTGGTCTTACACTGGTCTTACTCTGGTCTTACACTGGTCTTACTCTGGTCTTTCTCTGGTCTTTCTCTGGTCTTACACTGGTCTTACACTGGTCCTATACTGGTATTACTCTGGTCTTACACTGGTCTTACTCTGGTCTTACACTGGTCTTACACTGGTCTTACACTGGTCTTACACTGGTCTTACTCTGGTCTTACTCTGGTCTTACACTGGTCTTACACTGGTCTTACACTGGTCTTACACTGGTCTTACTCTGGTCTTACACTGGTCTTACACTGGTCTTACTCTGGTCTTTCTCTGGTCTTACACTGGTCTTACACTGGTCTTACACTGGTCTTACTCTGGTCTTACACTGGTCTTACACTGGTCTTACACTGGTCTTACACTGGTCTTACTCTGGTCTTACTCTGGTCTTACTCTGGTCTTACACTGGTCTTTCTCTGGTCTTACACTGGTCTTACTCTGGTCTTACACTGGTCTTACACTGGTCTTACTCTGGTCTTACACTGGTCTTTCTCTGGTCTTACACTGGTCTTACTCTGGTCTTACACTGGTCTTACTCTGGCCTTACACTGGTCTTACACTGGTCTTACTCTGGTCTTACACTGGTCTTACACTGGTCTTACACTGGTCTTACTCTGGTCTTACACTGGTCTTACACTGGTCTTACACTGGTCTTACACTGGTCTTACACTGGTCTATACTGTCGTGCTCTTGTGTAAACCATGGTCTATAGTAATTGGTTCATACAGTATTTTACTAGTGTATTAACACCGTGACTTCTTACAGGGGCTTTCAGCAGCCTGTTGAATAAAAAGCCAAAGGAGTCTGAAGCGATTGCAAATGGATCTTTATGGCTCTGCCCTGAACCGGAGTCACTCTTTGGCCAGCGGTTTGGAGAAATCATCCCCGACATGGAACAAGCCTCCGCACTCTCGCAGCAGCAGCACCGCGTCCTCCCCGCACTCCAGACTGGTCAGTCCTGTTCATAATTCAGGATTTATTCTGAGAAACCAACCTTCCAGACTCCAGCAGTCACTTCACTGCTGGAGGAACGGGAGGAATGAGAGAGGAAATGAAAATAATATCTTTTTTGCTGAATCCAAAATCACAAATAACAGTCAAAGTATGAAAACTGTGAAGTCGAAAAATAATCCACATCCGTAAAGCCGGGTTGTGGCATCTTTTAAACGTTTATCTATTTCTTTAGTTCAACAATTCACAACCAATTTATGATATAGACTCATCACATTCTAAGTGACATAAGCCTTTAATTCGGATTATTGTATATAAATATTCTAATTTCCTTGTTCCTTCCTTGTTTGTTTTTACAAGCTGAGAGCCATAATTATCAACATTATCACAACTAAAGGCTTGATATATTTTCCTCTGTGTCTAATGAGTCTGACATATATTAGTTCCACATTGTAAGTTGAATTACAGAAGTTAATGAACTTATAAACATATAGTTTCACCTGTATTTTACACATTCATGATATTAGGCCATATTATTGAGATTAAATTATGTCACATTTAGCATTTCATTAGAATCACAGGGAAAAGTACGAGTGGGAGTAGCTAACATTTGATTTGTTATTGATAAAAATGAATGAATCGCAAAAAAACTCTCCCGGATCCAACTGTTTTACCTTTTTACTCATAGATCATCAAAGACTGGGAGATCCTGGAGGACGTTCCGGGTGAAGCACAAGCAGCAGGTGACATTCTCCAGGACATTGCCCCGGGTATCTGTGAGGGGTATCTGCTCAAGAGGAGGAAGTGGCCCCTCAAAGGCTGGCACAAGGTCAGACACACACACACACACACACACACTGCTATTCCCCCATTGCCCTTTGTAACCATCTTTTAATATGTACATGTGTTGTTATGGTTTTACAGAGGTATTTCATCTTAGAAACTGGGATTTTGAGATACTCCAAAAGCCAACACGATGTAAGGCTCTCACTCTACACGTTATCACTGTTTCTGTGTTTATTTAACATTTGTAATCGTCTCCAGGTCTCAAGAGGACGAGTGCAGGGCTCTCTCGATGTTAGCCACGCCGTCATGTCCATAAATAAGAAATCAAACCGGATTGATTTAGATGCAGGGGACATTCTTTATCATATGAAGGTAATGCACAAGATAAGGAGGAAAAAATGCGTATAATTATTAGTTATAGAGAAAATATCCGCAACTAATATTTTTTTTTTTTATCTTTCAAGGCCAAAAACCATGAACTTTTTTACATTTGGGTGACAAAGCTCCAAGCCCATCGTTCATACAAGAAAAATGAAGCGGCTCAACTTAACTCGGGCCTCTTCATGTCTTCACTGAGTCTAATCCAAACCAACGGAATCGCGGTAGGAGCAAATAATGATACATACAGTAGAGACATCTACAAATATACAAACCAGAAATATAAAAATGCTCCATCATGGCTTTGTTTTTGCAGAGCTCTGTAAACCTGACCGCCCCGAATGCACCAAAACCCCCGTCTCCTTATTCAGCGGTCAACAGCAAAGTGTCGGCCTGGCTTCAACAATCCCACGCCCCAGAGACTTGTGCGCAAGGTATCTGTCATAATCACACATTTAACGTCTCGAAATGGAATCTTTGGAATGCTTTGTTTTAAATATTTGCTATTCTTGTCCAGAGTTGAACCGGTGCCATTTGGACCTGTCAGAGTTAAACCGTTTAATCCAAAGGCTGCAGGTTCTGGAATCCGGCCAAACTGTCAGTAATGGAGATCTCCAGCGGATCATTAGCATTCAGGTAGAAAATTCTGTTTTTAATGCATGCCTTTACCTCTTTTTACTCTCACAATTGAGCCAAAGCAGATTCCTAGTTTGTCACTTCCTGTTACTTGAAATGGCATTACAAAATATTCATTACAAAATATTCTGATTCTGATCTGAACATTTTGTCTTTATGCACAGAATTTATCACTCGAAAAGCCCAAAAGACTGAGGTCGGCAAGAATGTGGGGTCACTCTCGCACACTGTCCAGAGTGGAGGCCCTGGGACTGGTACGCAGCGTCTATGTGGTTAAAATAAACACGAGATTCTGACATTGTTATACAATCATATATTTATAACTTTCTGTCCCTTTACAGCCTATTCGCGGGATGCCAAAATCAGTGAGTACTTTACTTAAAGGGGCAGTATGTAAAAGTGGTACTGCAACCTCTCCCTGACTCAGGTTGCCAGATATGCAGACGAATCCAGCTGGGACCATAACAGCTGAATAGACAAGAGTTTTGTCAACAACAAATCTATAACCAACACCTTTTCCACAAAGATAGAAATCCTGGTTTTATTCTTTGTTTTGTCGTTAATGATTTGAGAATCATAACAAGACATTTTTTAGTTCTGCGCCACATGGTACTTTACCAGTGAGATTAGCTTGACGCAGTGAGTTCTGGCACCCGGATCACAGACTTTCTGATGAAACAGTGGAGGGTGGGACATCAAAATGAAAACAATAACAAAATTTAGGGGCTGTAAAACTAATTTTGAAATCCAAATATCTCTGAACTAGTGTTATCAGTGAAAGAAGAATAGGAAAAGCATGGTTAATTAATACATTTTGACAGATTAGGGCCCTTTAATGATGACTTGACATGAAAATCTTACATGTTGTTACTTTAAATAGTTATAATGTCGCTTGTGTTTAATGGCCTCCCTAATTGTTGCATTAGTGTTTTTATCCCTGATGTTTTGGGATTTTTACATTTTAAAAGACCCTCCATGTTACATTGCTTTTAGAATAGAGTGGACTATAATAACATGTCTCACAATCATATTACACCAGTCATCTAGGATTTGTTTAGTGCCATCTAGTGTCCACTCACGTAATTACATCTGAAGAGCAGACAGTCAAATCCATGTGTTTTCTTTAGTTTCAGAATAGTGTTTGTTCTAATAAAATAATGTGTTTTTACTAAAGTTGCAAACCTGTTATTGTCAAAGACTGCGTTTATTTGAATCATGTTTTGTTTGCTTCTTTGTAGCTGTCTTCCAGTCACTTGAGTAGCTCCTGTCACTTCGGGGAATCGCACCCCTCGATACCGGACTATGTTTACTCACAGTTAGCCCCGCCCCCGTCTTTGTCCCCCGAGAGCAAGAAACTGCAGCAGGACATTTGCACAACATCACTGCGCGGTGAGAAAACAATATTATTGAATATAATTTACGATTTGTGAATAGATAGATACTGTAGATAGATACTTTGTTGATCACCGTAAGAGAGATCCAGGTGTCTAGTAACAGCAGAAACACATTCTTTCTTACAAAATAACCCAAATAAATAGATTCTAAAAGTAGCTAACAATAGTATTAAAATGCAACAGCACTTTTGGTCATAGCAGCAGTGTATTCTATGCTCTGTCTGCTTGGTTCGGACCATGAATCCTCTGTGCTCTGGTCTGGATCAGTGTAAAACCATGAACACAGAACTGCAGTAACATTTACAGGTAGAAAAAAATCAAGAAAAATAACATTTGTAAAGCACAAAACAAAAACAGTTTCAGAGAGACTTAGGACTTGCTGCCGTTTCCAGCAAATTCAAACTAAATGTTTCTTCCTCATTGTTCCACATCAGTGCTTTCCTCCCTGAAGTCTGTCCACGAGACCCTCTCCCAGGAACGACACAAGCTTCAGGAAGTTTGGGAAACTAACAACTCCAACCATTGCCTCACATTACCTCCAGTAAGTCTCTATCCTCTGCTGTAAAGTCTCTGTATCCTGCTGTAAAGTCTCTGTGTCCTGCTGTAAAGTCTCTGTATCCTGCTGTAAAGTCTCTATATCCTCTGCTGTAAAGTCTCTGTGTCCTGCTGTAAAGTCTCTGTGTCCTCTGCTGTAAAGTCTCTATATCCTCTGCTGTAAAGTCTCTGTCCTCTGCTGTAAAGTCTCTGTGTCCTGCTGTAAAGTCTCTGTATCCTCTGCTGTAAAGTCTCTGTATCCTCTGCTGTAAAGTCTCTGTGTCCTGCTGTAAAGTCTCTGTATCCTCTGCTGTAAAGTCTCTGCATCCTCTGCTGTAAAGTCTCTGTATCTTCTGCTGTAAAGTCTCTGTATCTTCTGCTGTAAAGTCTCTATATCCTCTGCTGTAAAGTCTCTGTGTCCTCTGCTGTAAAGTCTCTGTGTCCTGCTGTAAAGTCTCTGTATCTTCTGCTGTAAAGTCTCTGTGTCCTCTGCTGTAAAGTCTCTGTCCTCTGCTGTAAAGTCTCTGTGTCCTCTGCTGTAAAGTCTCTGTCCTCTGCTGTAAAGTCTCTGTCTGTTCTGCTGTAAAGTCTCTGTCCTCTGCTGTAAAGTATCTGTGTCCTCTGCTGTAAAGTATCTGTGTCCTGCTGTAAAGTCTCTGTATCTTCTGCTGTAAAGTCTCTATATCCTCTACTGTAAAGTCTCTGTGTCCTCTGCTGTAAAGTCTCTGTATCTTCTGCTGTGGAGTCTCTGTATCTTCTGCTGTAAAGTCTCTGTATCTTCTGCTGTAAAGTCTCTGTATCCTCTGCTGTAAAGTATCTATATCTTCTGCTGTAAAGTCTCTGTATCTTCTGCTGTAAAGTCTCTGTATCCTCTGCTGTAAAGTCTCTGTGTCCTCTGCTGTAAAGTCTCTGTGTCCTCTGCTGTAAAGTCTCTGTCCTCTGCTGTAAAGTCTCTGTCTGTTCTGCTGTAAAGTCTCTGTCCTCTGCTGTAAAGTCTCTATATCCTCTGCTGTAAAGTCTCTGTATCTTCTGCTGTAAAGTCTCTGTATCCTCTGCTGTAAAGTCTCTGTATCTTCTGCTGTAAAGTCTCTGTATCTTCTGCTGTAAAGTCTCTGTATCCTCTGCTGTAAAGTCTCTGTGTCCTCTGCTGTAAAGTCTCTGTGTCCTCTGCTGTAAAGTCTCTATATCCTCTGCTGTAAAGTATCTGTGTGCTCTGCTGTAAAGTATCTGTCCTCTGCTGTAAAGTCTCTGTCTGTTCTGCTGTAAAGTATCTGTGTCCTCTGCTATAAAGTCTCTGTGTCCTCTGCTGTAAAGTCTCTGTATCTTCTGCTGTAAAGTCTCTGTATCTTCTGCTGTAAAGTCTCTGTATCCTCTGCTGTAAAGTATCTATATCCTCTGCTGTAAAGTCTCTGTGTCCTCTGCTGTAAAGTCTCTATATCCTCTGCTGTAAAGTCTCTGTGTCCTCTGCTGTAAAGTCTCTGTGTCTTCTGCTGTAAAGTCTCTATGTCCTCTGCTGTAAAGTCTCTGTGTCCTCTGCTGTAAAGTCTCTGTCCTCTGCTGTAAAGTCTCTGTCTGTTCTGCTGTAAAGTCTCTGTGTCCTCTGCTGTAAAGTCTCTGTGTCCTCTGCTGTAAAGTCTCTATATCCTCTGCTATAAAGTTTCTGTGTCCTCTGCTGTAAAGTCTCTGTATCTTCTGCTGTAAAGTCTCTGTGTCCTCTGCTGTAAAGTCTCTGTATCTTCTGCTGTAAAGTCTCTGTATCTTGCTGTAAAGTCTCTGTGTCCTCTGCTGTAAAGTCTCTGTATCTTCTGCTGTAAAGTCTCTGTGTCCTCTGCTGTAAAGTCTCTGTATCTTCTGCTGTAAAGTCTCTGTATCTTGCTGTAAAGTCTCTGTGTCCTCTGCTGTAAAGTCTCTGTATCTTCTGCTGTAAAGTCTCTGTGTCCTCTGCTGTAAAGTCTCTGTATCTTCTGCTGTAAAGTCTCTGTATCTTGCTGAAAAGTCTTGTCCTGTCTCTGTCTCCGCAGACTGAGGCGCTGAGGTCTCACGGAGCTCCGTCTGTGGCTGATTCCGCGGCTGAATATTTTGACGCCAGTGAACATGTTCTGTGTGGGAGCTCCTCTGAGGTCACCGACGAATCTGGACTCAGCGATGGCAGCACCTCCAACTCTGAGCCGGAGGAGGGCCACGGTGCGTACTGTGGAAACACTGATCACTGTTTAAGGAATTTGATTCATTGAAGCAGAAATGTTCAGTATTTATAATTTTTACATTGCTTATTTTACGGGACCTTTTGTACATGTTGCCTTCTGTGCTTACGGTATATACTACACAATCAAATATATAAACATAAATAAATAATCAAGCAACAATATTTTCCCCAGTTTCACCATGTTTTGTATAATTATGATTTCACTATGTAGTGGGAAAGAAGTAAAAACTTGTAGACCCCCGTAGTTAATTAATTTAGTTCCCAAAAACGTGTAGACCCTGACTCCATGAACATAATTCAAATATATGCATGAATTTAGTTATGAATTTACTTCCCAAAAACAGAGTAAAACTGACTCGTCATAAAGACGTGTGACCTCTGAGGAAACCAGTCTGGTCTTAAAGTTGGAATCAACCTGTTTATGACTCTCTTCTGTTGTCATGGCATCACTATTAATCAAATAAACTGTGCTGTCCTGAATGCAGCGTTGGCCACTCGTAAATATCGTGCCAGTATTTCCAAAGCCCCTCAGAGCATCCCCCCGAGAAGCACCGGGCGGCGGACGACTCTGCCGGCGGTGTGTCCAGACAACAGCCACGTGGGGCTCGTGGCGATCCTGTACAACAACATCGGTGTGTATCACTCAGATCGGTCTGTCGCACACTCTGCAAACTGCACGTGTGTTTGAACGTGTGTTTCTATCTTCAGGGAAGGATCTGGCTCGAGTGTCGATGCCCGCGGCTCTGAACGAACCTTTGAATCTGCTGCAGAGACTTTGTGAGGAGCTGGAGTACAGTGAGCTGCTGGACACTGCTGCCAACACACCCGACCCCTACCACCGGATGGTAATGCACACAACTATAGGACGTGCGATAAATACTGTATCTAATGTAACATACTTTGGTCATATAAAAAGTTGGCAGGATGTCACAAACCTGAATGAAGACATCATCAAATGGACACATAGATTATCATCGATTTTGTAAGAATTAAAACATAAAGACAAAGTGCAGCCAGTCTAATCCTGCCAGTCTGTTTTATTCACATAAAAGTAGTTATTGCTGCAATGTGATTGAGAAATTATTCAACAAAATAAGTGCATTTGCCCCAAAGTATTGGCTGTTTGTTAAAGTGCTCAGTGGTAGGGAGTAAGTTCTATAATGTTGTTTGCTGACCAATAAATTCATGGAAAATGCACAACAAATGCAGTCCCTGAAATGTGTAATGTATGGATCCAAAACAGATGTATTTAACCTTTGTCTCCTGCTGTATAGGTTTACATAGCTGCCTTTGCCATCTCCGGTTATTCCACGGCCACTTTCAGAAACCGGTACAAACCCGTGAACCCGGTGCTGGGAGAGACGTTCGAGTGCATTCGAGAAGACCGCGGCTTCAGGATCATCAGTGAGCAGGTAAAAAACCAGGGTCAGGAGTCACAGAATTCACTGATTATTATTGAGTATGAGATTTTTTTTTATTGCTTTTAAAACTAGACCCAGATGAGAAAAGATAAGATTTATTCTGACCTTAAATTATTCAGTTCTGTTTTAAAACCTGGTGTGAATGTGCTTTGGGATTTTTTAGCTAATTGTCTTGATGCTATCATTGATCACTGTTCAAATGTGTGTAAAAAATAAAAACCTGGTCAAATGTGAAACTGTATTTTTGCCGTAAACAATAAAGTAAAAAATGTTATTGTTTTGTAGTGACGGCGAACCCTACATGTGCAGTGCTGCTATTAACCACAGGATGGCGCCAAAACGCATTCTCTCGTTATGAAAAACTGATTTCAAAAGCAATCTTCATACCTTCCATACTCCTTGAATACCATTCCTGGACACATTTTGTTGTTGTTAAAATACATTTATCTTTGTTGTGGACTTCCTGGCTGTAGTGGGGCTTATACATCACTATCACATTGATGAGACTTTGATGAGACTTTCTAATGGTAACAGTTCAGTTTGTCACAATGGCTTTAGCTGTTGTAATGTCTTCCAGGTTTGCCACCACCCTCCCATTTCAGCCTGTCACGCAGACTCGGACAACTTCAGCTTCTGGCAAGGTGAGTAAATCATTGTTTGTTCAGTTGTTGTACGGTCCATAAATGTGTAATTAATGTCTGTTTATGTCCTTTCATCAGACCAAAGGTGGAAGAATAAATTCTGGGGGAAGTCTCTGGAAATCGTTCCCACAGGAATGGTCAATGTCATGCTTCCAAAGTAATGATTTATGATTTATTTGTGCACTAATGAACTGGTCAGCAGCTGATGACTGGGGATAATACCGATAATGTTTTAATGATTATAATGATTTTTTTCACAGATACGGGGATCACTACGAGTGGAACAAGGTGGTGACGTGTATCCATAACGTCTTCAGTCAGCAGCGATACTTGGAGCATTACGGAGAGGTCACAATTCAGAACCTCAACAGCAGCGTCTGCACCTGTAAGATCACCTTTGTCAAAGTGAGTGACTATTTGTATTATTGTGCTTTGAGAGAGTGTGAGGTCAGGACTGTTGAAAGAAGGATGGGTCAAAAGCAGAAGACACATTTCCATACGGAGACAGTATAGTGCGCCTTAGCCTTGACATTTAAACAGGAAAGAGGAATGAATAAGTCCCGGAGTCAGTATTGATTATGTATGGATCCCCTTCCTACTATTGTTTGTTTTTTAATTGTTTGTTTTTTAATTATTGCAGCTGAACTCAAACACTTTTGCTGCACGTTGCAAAGTATTGTGAAGTCACCGATGGATTAAACAAGTTTTTTTTTAATTTTTATCATAGTCTCGGTATTGGGGTTCGGAGACAAACAAGAACGAGGTGCAGGGGACGGTGCTGGACGAGAGCGGCAGTGTCATTCACAGGTTCGGAGGTCTGTGGCACGAAGGCATCTTCTGTGACACCCTGCCCTCTCCCAAGTGCGTCTGGAAGCCAAGTGAGTGCTGCAGTGATCAGGGCCGAGTGAAAGTCTTTAAAGAGCGACTAAACACCTGTGCCCAGCCTTACTCCGCCCACATGAAGATTTGAAAATTTTCTCTAAAAAGGGCGTTGCCTGGAGAACCAAGGGACAAGAAGGGGGGCTTAGAGTTGGGCGTGGTCTGGGCTGTGATTGACAGCTCACTTGTCACACACAAAAAAACAGACAGTTGTCATTGCTGCTTAAAGCAATAGTTTACAGACCAGAAAGTCTCATTCCACCCTTGTTTACATACTAAGATAATTGTAAAGCTACACACCTGAACCTAATCACACTCAATAATCTCAGAATGACTCATGTAATTTAATTTTAATCCACTAGATGGCGCCAGAATACTCCAAACTGCAGCTGGGGCGTGTGTGAGAGTTGAATGGGTTCACATCACTGGCTCTGACAGACTGACGTCACACAAAACAACTGATGTCATAGAGAACTTCAGAGTCAATGGAGGCCAGAACCAAATTCAAATGTAGTACCACCAGAAAGGTTGAGAGGGCGCCACACAGCGTTTTTTGGCTCAAAAATGATATTTTATCTAATATAAACTAAAATGTCAAAAAAATGACCAGGATATGTAGACAGCACTACAATAAACATATTTATGCAGTTTATGAGTTAAAAAAAGTTGATTTGGTGTTTAGTCGCTCTTTAACATGAGGAAGTTAAACTGAGTGTATTCTCCCACAGACCCTCAGCCAAAGAACCACCTGTTGTATTATGGCTTCTCCTCGTTTGCAATGGAAATGAACGAACTTCCCCCAGAGCTGGAGGCGCTTCTGCCGTCGACCGACACCAGACTGAGACCAGACCAAAGGTGAGCGCCTGTGTGGAATTGGTAACATTAATCTGACTTAATTTTCTTTCCACAAACATTGAATTCTTACTTAAATGTGTTTTTAAGAATAGCAGAAATTATGTGCTCACTTTTGACCCCATGCAGTTGGAGTTGAATATTATTTTTTTTTTGAAAAGTTATGTTTCATGTGAGCCTATTGCCCAAGAGGGAAAAAGTTACTAAAAAGTGTATGTACTTTGAGTTGATTTGGTCATTTTTAAACAGAATGTTGGAAGAGGGCTTGGTGGATGAAGCAGACAGAAAAAAAGATGAGGTGGAGGAACTTCAGAGGCTGCGGAGGAAGGAGCTCTCCAAAATGGGGGAAGAGCATGCTCCTAGATTTTTCAAGTAAGTTAACTTTATCACAAACCCATAACGTACAACTTTTACAATAGTTTCCTTCCCGTTCCTGCTTTTGACGCTGAATAATTGACATGAAACATCCTGTTTTCAGGAAAAGCAAGGACCAGTGTGGGCGGGACGTGTGGCTGTCTAATGGGACGTACTGGAATCTCAGAGAAGACCCCGGTTTCCAGAGTTTAGAAAGTCTAAAGCTTTGGTGACTTTACCTGCGAGTTTAAGCAAACCTGAATACACTGTTTAGAAAGCATTCATAAACCTCTCTGAAGACGATGGGGGAATGTGCACGTGTTTTAGATTATTCTTATAACATACAACCATGACAGGCTCATGGGAAGTGTCTGCTAGACAGATTGAGGTGTTTCAAGTTACCATAAGATTGTAATGTTCAATTATAAAGAAAATGTTCTCAACCATTTCCATTCTGTGTCCATTCTTTGTTTTAAGAAAGCCTCTCCAATCAATTTAATAGTAACAATTTATTTTATTAATAAAAAGAACAATGCCACCTAAAATAAATTACAGATTTCACTTCAAAAAATTGCATTATATAATAAATCAACTTATATTATTTGTGTGATAACGATTCCCCTTCACTTAAACTGCGTATCTGGCTGTACATACAGTGGTGAAATGAGATCTAATCCCCCTGGACATGGATCAATCACACACAAAGAACATGCGCATCAAACACTCTTGTTTTTACTAATGTACAGTTAAATACTATTATTTCGAACGAAGGTTAAAAACAGAACAGGAATCTACTCCAACATCACATCACATGGGTGTCGTTGTAATACTAAAAGTAACCAGCAGAGGGCAGACACTTCTCATTTGAGGCAGTGTCGATCCACAACACCGCACTTCAATGATCAGCGCGAAACTCTTCAATCCAATGTAATTGCACTTTATTTACAGGTCCTTCAGATTCTAGATGATCCACAAATCATTTACACACAGGTCCAATCACTCATTAGGCTGACACACACACACACACACACACACATTGAATTGCTTTTTAAAATAACAGTATCAATAGAAAACATTTTCGACATTATTGAAGAAATATAATTTACATTTTACAGCGCACTGTTGGGGTTGATGGTCTTGAATGATCAGCCACAAAAACAATGATGGCTCATTTGGAAACCCTGTCATGTTGTTTCTGTCTGGGATGGTTTGTGGCATATGAGTCATGACTGAAAAGACTTGTATTGGGGCTTTTTAACCTGAGTGATGTGGGGGCCGGTGTCAGAGCTGCAGCGGCTGAGGGGCAGTAGTGAGATCAGCTCAGACTCGTGTCAGTCCTGATGGAGTCTGTGGAGACGCCCGGACACTGGGCTTCCTGCTCGTCTGCAGTGAAGGCGACACTGTCCTCTCTATTTACCTACAAATGCAGCTGTTTGTGTGAGTGACCCACTTACACAGGTCACCTGCTGCTGTCTCATGTGCTGTGGCCACAACAAACCTTATACAATTTATGATAAATACTGTCTATATTAGAGCTTAGAGCTGTCCCCCCAATCCACACTCTTCTAAAGAAAATAAAACATTATAAATATATTACTAAATTGATCCAAATAACATGAATATGAATTGGTTTGTGTAAGCCCTCAGTCGTACAGGGATTAGTCAAAGCAAAGCAAACCTTCCTTTGCTATGAATATGAATTATTTTTTAGCATAAATGTAGTACCATAACTAGGAATGTACAGGTGCAATCCTGGTATCAGAAATTTTAAATATTGTTGGATCAGAATCAGTTGAATGATCCTGGTGAAGATGACACCCAGATAAGGTCTGTGTACTGCTGAACACACTTTGAAACAATTTAGCTGTGATTTTTTTCAGGCCGTTCTCTGGTGTCGGTTCATATCGAGTATTAGCAGATGTTGAAAGCCAATGTATCGAGATCGGTGTCAGTCATGAAAAGCTGGATTGGTGGATCCCTAATTTTAACCAAACTGTAGCAGAATTTAAGTCTCAATAGCTCTGGGTCCCGCTCTGGGAAGCTCTGTACAAAGACCCAATAGAAACATATTTTGAGAGAACTAGAAGAACACATTTACCGTCAGTCATGTGTGTATGGTTTTTTTTTTTTTTTTACAAAGGAGAGTTATCCAAGTGTCAGCTATTAAGATCTGATTTTATTGGTATCCTCTTTTTCAACTTTAGAATATTACGTATGTTTTTATGTCATTGTGCTTCCAAACTCTGGAGTCTGGCCACTGGTCGCATGTGGTCCAGGGTTGAGGACTTAAGTGAAATGCGACTGTGCTGCAGCAGAACCATGAGGGGAAATGAATGGCAGCAGATTGTGGTAGTCGGTGCAGAAAAAAAGTGCGAATGGTTTTGAGTAAAGTGACAAGAGGAAGAGAAACGAGCAGACAGAAATGTTGTTGCAGAAAGAACAGAGCACTTCCCCAGGGCGGCTGCCACACTCAGAACATGTCTTTTATTAAAGTATGTTTGGAACTCGACTGTGAGGTGTTTATGTGGCCCCAGGACAGGGGCTGACCGCTCCCGTCTGCTCGGCCTGTTGTGAGAAAATAACTCAGACATCTTTAAAAACTTATCTTTTGACACTTTGACAAAGACTTTGGAGTTGTATTAGTTTACTGTCAGCCCTGCTTCCCTTTGCAAAACACAAAACTAGCAACAGCTTCATGTATATATATTATTGTACATCTAAAATGATTGGATCAGTTATTTTAATTATAAATTCAAATGGATCACAATATTGTAGAAAATATTTTAATTCCCACAATTTGGCAAACTTACTTTTGCAATAAAAGTGAATGGGTCAAACTAAATTATTCCACTATAACTATAATAGTTTAATTAAATTAATGAATAAGGTTGAACTAACTTTTGTATTGTCATTTTCTACCCCTCCATTTCTGGGTCGGGGGGGTCTCAAAGCAACTTTTATATTATTTTTGTATATTTTGGCCACCAATAAATAACAAATATTGCTGCTGCACTTGAAAGTTTGTTCTTTTGACAAAGATCTTTTGACATCAAACCACAATCAATACTATTTGTTGTCATCTTGAAATGCAAGTATGGCTTGAGTGAGTCTTGTGTCTCAGTTGAGTTTTTGTAAATACAGGACAAAAGTAAAGACCCCCGTGTCCGACCCTCAGTGCGTGTAGTAGCCGTAATAGTCTGCGTCACTGTTGTCCTCTCCAGCGCGGGACGGGGGCGAGTTTTCAGTGCTGGACGTGTACGGAGACACCCGTCTTTTCTTATGGTCCGAGAGTCCGCTTTCAAACAGCCCAGAGTCCACCGAGTCTGCGGACTTCACAGAGGCCGGTTCCAGCCAGGTCTCCTCGCCCCCTACGCCATCTTTGGCCTTGTCCTGTTGCAACGGCGCTGGGAGGGGCTCCAGCAGCGAAGGGTGTAGTCTCGGGTTTCCGGGCGATATGGAAGAAGACGAAGACGAAGAGGAGGACGACATCGGTCTGAACCAGCCGAGACCCGTCGCAGTTTTACTCGAGTGGCCGAGGTATTGCGCTGAGGGCCTGGTCGCGCCCCATCCCGACGTGGCAGTGCCCCCCGCCCCAATAGCATGATCGGGATAGTAGGTGAGCGGAGAGGACTGCAACGGGAACGGCTTGTAGAAAGCGTTGGAGAAGTCCCCGTCGTAGGAAGAGGCGAAGTCGAGGCGGTTTGGGGGTTGGTACCAGCGGCTGTGAGGTCCGGGACTGGGGGAGGATGAGGAGGGGTCTTTGGGCGGCTGGTGACACATCCCTCCCAACACGTCTCGACTGAAGAAGCGGCTCTGTGGAAGCGGGGTCATGTACTGATCAGCGAGGTGGTGGTAGCCCTGAGGTGGGTAGCAGGTGGACGACAACAGCTGCTGGTTTTCGGAGGGCGAGGGGGTGAGGCGGTCCGAGTCAGGAGGGGCGTACAAGCTGTGACGGAGGAGGAGAGGAGTGGGGGTGGGAGGAGGGTGGAAAGATGTTATTTCCTGTGCGAAAACCTCAAGCTATTGAGCATCTTGTAGCTCAGCACACCTCGCCAAAGAAGGAGGTAATGGGATCTGAGCTGGTGTGATGTGAGCCATTTTGACCGCTTTGGAAATAGGAAACTTGGCCACAATGACACATTCAGGACTTATTCACAAATGATAAACATAAAAAAAGCGTTTATTTTCAGCGACTCGTTGGGATTTTTTGTATCATTTACGTAATAAAAATGCAGGCTAGAAAACAACTTACTTACACGTTTATATTCATTGACCAAGAAATCTTTTATTTATATTAATTAGCCCTCATTTTCCAATAATAATCATAACAAGGAATAATCCCTGTACAACTGAAAGCTCACACAAAAAATAATCATATTAAAAAGGATATTAAATCATATCTGTCTTCATCTCTTTGAGGATGGATTGGACGGTTGTATTTTCAGCCTGTATTACAGTATCATTATTATGTGTGAACTGATATAATGAAAGAAATATGTCTTCTAAAAACAGTTGATTATGTCGTTGAGGCTTTTATATATTGGATTTTATATATTTAAAAACATTTTCTCTGCAACACTTTGTATAGTGTGTGGTGCTGTTGAATAAGAGTGTGACGATTTGCTCCAAGATTTCTTTGCCCAAAGAGTCCATAAATAAATTAGCTTTTGTTTGTCTTAATAAATAAAATAAATAAATACATAGAAAGACTTGAATAACAGTGTCTCCTTTTTAACTACAACATAGGATAAGATAGACCATTGATCTCACACTGATAAATTTCCATATTTGGCACAGATAGAGTCCCTCAGATTGTGCATTAGTGACTTAAAGTGACTTATTGTACAGTCTGACAGCGGTGCGGATAATAGAAAACTACCTCTACTACAACACAAACTGATTGACTTTACTTACGTGTCATAATTGTCTCGGAAACCTTTAGCGAAGGGGTTATGGTCTATTTTCAGCTGAGTGATCTGTGTCGTCGGAACAGGAGGTGGGCAATGACAGACGCAGAGGAGGGAGAAAAATAAAGAGAAACAGGAGAGGTTACAAAGCAGAATTAACGATGTCTTATAATTAAACTCAAAACATACCTGAAATTGGAGTCTAGGTTTATAAATATACAGTTATTTGTGATTTATGGACGGTGCGATGTCTCTCACTATCTGTGGGTGATCTAACATCTACATGAACTCGCCGCATATACACGGACTGTGGCATGTAGAAATATTCATTACTTTTGGATGCATTATTGACAGTACCATGCATCAACCGCCGTCTCCGTGTTAACACTGTACATGCATGAATCATTGAGCTAAATCAAGATGAAAGCCTTCAGTATCTTTTAAATGTATTGAAAACATTGTATGGAGATTGAACGTCACCATGGCAACGTGCAACAACATACACACAGTACATTACCATCAAATATACATGTGTTTTAGGGCTGAAAGTTAATCGCCTGAAATAGCAGTCAACTAATTTAGTAAGAGATTATTTGTTTTTTGACCCTTATAAATAGATTGAACAAAGGAAAAAAATAGGCTTTGTTTCTTGTATATTTCGTTTTACTCATTGATTTGTTATAAGCCGAACAAATTCAAGTCCAATTTATTTCTCATTCGGAGGAAGAATTTTCTTGGATATTTTAAAACAAGTCATTTTCACGGAGAGTTTTGAGACTTTTTTGGAAAACATACTAAGAGGAGGATTTAAGAACTAGAATTACTAGAGAATGAGATGAAATTGCTTTAAGAAATATTTCTAAAAACACAATTACTTTACATATAGTTTCTTTGATGTACTTGAGTGGCATTGCTTTGTTTTGGTCAAATGTGTTAAAAAAAAATCTAAAATTCAAAAGATTTTTTACAACTAATCCATTATCCAAACAACAGTTAATCACAGCCTTGTGTGTGTTGTTCCAAACTTCCAAAGTAAATTAAAAAGATTTAAAAAAATTGGTTTAAAAACTTTTATTTGCCCGACACTCAGAACATTGCCGACCTGCCCAGTCCAGAGCAGTAGTAAAATAAGACTTTATAACTACAGTAAATGGTGATGGAGAGACTCACGTCTGCGTTTTGATAAGCAGTGACAGCGATGAACTGTGTCTCAGGAAACACAAAGGTCTGAGCCTTGGACGACATGAAGGAGTCCTCAGATCCATCCTCCTTCACCTCCACAACGTGCAGCCGAGGCTGGTACTTATGCAGCGACTGCAGCACCACCATCTGAGGGTCAGGAGCACAGACACTGAGGGTCAGGAGCACAGACACTGAGGGTCAGGAGCACAGACACTGAGGGTCAGGAGCACAGACACTGAGGGTCAGGAGCACAGACACTGAGGGTCAGGAGCAGACACTGAGGGTCAGGAGCACAGACACTGAGGGTCAGGAGCACAGAGACACTGAGGGTCAGGAGCACAGAGACACTGAGGGTCAGGAGCACAGACACTGAGGGTCAGGAGCACAGACACTGAGGGTCAGGAGCACAGAGACACTGAGGGTCAGGAGCACAGAGACACTGAGGGTCAGGAGCACAGAGACACTGAGGGTCAGGAGCACAGACACTGAGGGTCAGGAGCACAGACACTGAGGGTCAGGAGCACAGACACTGAGGGTCAGGAGCACAGACACTGAGGGTCAGGAGCACAGAGACACTGAGGGTCAGGAGCACAGACACTGAGGGTCAGGAGCACAGACACTGAGGGTCAGGAGCACAGAGACACTGAGGGTCAGGAGCACAGACACTGAGGGTCAGGAGCACAGACACTGAGGGTCAGGAGCACAGAGAGACATTCTCTGAGGGACGAGGGATTCGATTCACGCATTCGTTGTTATTTAGATTCAAGATTCAATATAAATCTATTATGTCCCAAAGAAAATTTCTCTTACACTCACACTACTACTACTGTGGCCACAGCTGCTCTGGGGCACACTGATAGAAGCAAGGCTACCAGTATGTGCCATAGGCCCCGCTGAACACCACCAGCCATTCACACACACACACACACACACACACACACCAGAGTTATTCTGAGTGAAGTGTCTTGCCTAAGGACACAACAGGAGTTTGGCACTTTAAAGTCGCAGCCGCCCCACTGTGGCACCTGGTGTTCCCAGAGGTCTCCCATCACAGTCCTAACCAAACCCTGTGATATCTGGCTTTCACATTGCAGGTATGGCCAGTAAAGAAGGTGTGAGGATCTGAGGTGCTGTTTCTACATCTGAATAATGACCTGTGCCACGTTGTTGGTGCTGCCCTTGTTGTTGGTAAGCTTCAGTTTGCTGAAGGACACTTCCTGTCTCATCCAGTGAGCTCCAGTGTTGGGAGAGTCCGGGTGCATGTACGTCCGGTTTCCTGTTGCGACAAAACAATTTGGAAATTTCAAACAAGAAAAACACCTGAGGCCTGTCAATCCCTGCAGAGCATCACAATTGTACAATTAGATGTAATTGTGAAGTTGTGTTACCAGTTTCCACAGACACCCTGAAAAGTGTGATGACACCTTTCTCTCCAAATTTTATTTTCAGAAAAAATCTTACCAATTTGTGTGTTTTGGTTAACCAACATATGGTGAATGTGTGAAAAGTCAAACAAAGAGGCAAAATAGAAAGGAGACTTATTTCAGTAAATCAACTTTGAGCTTTCAACTATGCTCCAACTTTACTACTTCATCAAAAACAGACCTTGAGTTGTTTTTTGATCCATCCATGCCGATATCAGATACTTCTGTTAACTCTACCCCTTTGTTTCTAAACACTCCCATCTCCGTCCTGTAATAGTATGATGTCATTGTATCACTATGACATCACACTCAAAGCTGACTTTCAAAACAAAATTATTGCTCATAAATTAAGTTAAATTACCTTCTTTGAAAAAAAATAAAAAATCCCCAAAAACTCCCAAAATTGCATGGCTGTGTTTGCAGCTGGTATTTTTTTTATTTCAAACAAAATCCGATCAAATGCCTCCCCCTGGTGGTAGCATAGGGAATAACAAGTAGATTTGTCACCCTGTTTCACCATATAAAAAAGTACATCTCATTCTCATTTTAATGGCAAAACTAATGCATAATATTGCTTGTTTAAATCTGTAGTTTTGGGAGTGTGTACCTGGCATGTTCCCCTCAGCCTTTCCGCACTGGACCCACTTGCCGCCCTGGTACCTCCAGTGGTGCTGATCGGCCAGAACCACATCCACGTAGACGTTGTAGTGAGCGGATGGATCGAGGGAGCTAATGTTGAAGCTCAAGAACGGAAACATCCTCCTGCGACAAGAAACAAGCACTCAAGTTGATCTACAGCCGATATTTAATTCATCCGACGTGTGAATATCTAACGCGGTGCAGAGTTCCAGCGTCAATGAGAAAATGAGTGAATGAGAAACACACCAAACTGTAAAAGAACTTTGTGTAAGGCCTGGTCAGTCGAATATTATACTATTTATGGCTCGGACTTTACTATTCACCTTCTCTCTATTCATAATCCAACATTCCATTGCATAACAAAGCAGGATTAAATACAACTAAAGAAAATGGCTAATATCGTGAATGTGGTTTTAGAGAGCGGCAAAAATGTGATATTGAGAAGTTTACTGTCAAAAAAACAGCAAAATGAGCCAAAAATGTTGCAAACAAAACAGGTATGCAACGTTTTCGGTTTCCAGAGTCAGGACAAAATATGGGGAGGCAACAGTTTTGTTTAGCTATGCATACAACTGGGATTTTAAACTTTTTTATTATCTTTTTAATGTATTGTGATCATTTATGATTTTAATGATTTTGATGCCATCTTGATTTGTTCAGCACTTTGAGTGGCCTTGTGTATGAATTGTGCTATACAAATAACCTTGCCTTGCCTAGCATTTCAGATCTATGCTGCTTGGATATGGAACGGTCTTCTGGAGGTTGTGAGACAAGCATCTACCTGACCGTGTTCAAAATTATTTATTGCCTTAATCTCCCTTTTTAAACCCACAATTTAATGAGAGTTTTAAACCCCATACTTTTATACTGCCCTGTTTAAATATGAAATTATTCTATATTTATTTTTTTATTGCCTTGTACATAAATTGTGCTATACAAAATAATTATTGATTGATTTAGAGAGCGTAGTTTACTATCCAAAATGAGCCAAAAATGTTGCATACAAAATAGGTACTTTTTCCATGTGCGTATGACTAATTTAAACAACAAATACATTTTAAAGAAATTTCTGATGAATTGACGTGACTCAAAGTGAAAACACCTACATTAAAAACATATTCAACATTTATACAAGTTATTTGTTTCACATGATATTAAAAAAAACAATACAGTCACTATTTACTGCTTTGGTCTGAGAGTGAGTTTAAGCCTTTTTGTTTACTTTTCTGTTTGAAAAAGACGATCTAATGATGTGACAGACACAAAACACAACTGATTTGAGAGCAAGAAACAAATTTATGACTTAAAAAAAATATATATAGTTAAAAATGAGGCACCGCATCTTTGAGAATGTATGTCATATGTTTGTTTTATTGGAAAAATGTCGCTATTATTGTCCACATAGACATTATTGATTGCAGAGCGTGTGCACAGCGGAGTAATGGCGTGAAAGCAGCGATGGGGGGCAGGGTGACAGGGCGCGGGAGCAGGTGAATATTTAATACTGCTCTTAATAAAACATGTCCCTGCAGTGTGTCCTGATTGGGGAGTTACATGTTGGACTTATTTTGATCACAGACGCCTTCAGTGAGAGGGGGTAAGACACAGGTCAGGACGTCCCACAGGAGCACAGCTGGGTGGCTCAGAGTTCAGTCTGCAGACACACAAACCCACACAGGAGTCCAGCAGGCGACTTCTCGTGTGGTCCAAACAGCCAAAAGATCATTTAGATATGTCATTCATGATTATTTGTTTGAATTCATAGAAGATAAACAAACTCCAACTAAATTGAGTAATCCGAGTTTCCAGCCCGATACAAAAACAAGGCAAGGCAAGTTTATTTATATAGCACAATTCATACACAAGGCAACTCAAAGTGCTGAACAAAACAAGAAAGCATTAAAATTATAAATAATCACAGAACATTAAAAAGAAAGATAAAAATATAAAATCCCTCAGTTGTAGCACAGCTAAACAGAACTGTCTTTAACCTGGTTTTAAACATTGTCAGAGAGGAGGCCTGTCTCACATCTTCAGGAAGACTAACTCTACTACTGCTTTTTGTGATGAAGTGGGTACTGTAAAGTTTTAACTAATTAAATGTTTTGTTAGATTGTTAACCACATTAAAAGTTGGAATTATTATTAGATAGCTGTAGTATCATTTGACCTGCCCAGTCGTACAAGTGAAATAAATCCATTGCATTTTTGTACAGCCCAAAATCACAAAAAAGGTCGTCTCAAGGGACTTAACACAATTGATGAGTTCTGGATGAAAAATATTTACTGTACTTAAAGTGTAAGCAAGTGTATATAATATTGATGAATATAATAATGTATGCAGTTAATTTGCCAATTGCAGTGAAACCACATTGGAATAACTGTGCTGGACTACCCCAGTGTGGAACAATTTCATAAATCAACCTCTACTTTGCATCTCATTTGATAACATTTGTGCAATTCATAATGACAGGTCGCTCTTTCAAAACAGTTTGCGATACTAGCACTAAGAGTGAATATACAATCCAAATATGTGTAGTTTATTCTGACAAATATGAGCATGTTTTTTAACTGTGTGAATACATAATTTGTGGTGGGAACTCATTGATAAACCAACTAAAAACATTGAGTTGAAAGGTATAATATAAATGTGTCCATGTCCAATATAAATACGGGAATTTATTGTTGGTATAAGTGATAAGTAAATCCAACAGACAATTGTACTGTCATTAAATCCTTCCATACATTTCTATACAGTCAAACAAACTTGCTGTGCCTCTGGATCAATAGCAGCTATAATGAAACCAGGCAACATATTTAGCTTCTGACCGCACTGTTTTATACCATCGACTGCTGAGGCCATGAACTATTTGACTGGAAACTTCAGTCATGTGACCCAAACCATGTCCAGTCCGGATTGGTTGCATAATGACATCAACAATATGCAGACGAGGCGGACAAAGAAATGCATTCTGTTTAATTTTCCAGCTTCCCGTGTTGCAAAAGTACAAATACGGCTTTTTTAACAAATTTTTCAAGTTTTTAGAGCAGCTGTTGCTTTGTATTGCCCCAAACTAACACAATGTATCCATTTCACTCTGTTTGTCACATAGACTGTATATAGATGGACAATGCTAACCCGCTAGCTCAATGAAGCCCAGTAGGGAAGTGCTCATGGACAGAGTTTTGCTCCAACTCACCCTGGCTCCTATAGACTTACATTTAAAAGTAAACTTAAGTTCAGTAACTGTTTGTGTCACACTCACCATTTTGGGCTTAAAAAATGTGGTTTAGCGCCTTCTATGATCCTGGTGTTTGAGCAATATAAGGATTGACCAATCAGATTCCTTCATTTGAGAGGAAACCATCCTAGATCACACCTTCCCCTGTTACAGTGCAAAGCTAAGGCTGATCAAACAAATAAGAAACTTGGCTCCAGCTATCTAATGCCCGAATTAGCTTCTTCTTCATTTGGCAAACACTATGGTGACTCCTAATATACAGTCTATGCTTTGCCAACTACCACAAAAAACATTAGCAACACTTCAAAACGACCAGAATTTAGTTTACCAATAAATATTATTGAGTAAAACATAAAATCGTAGTCTTCAATCCAAAACATGGAGCTTCTTTTCAGGAATCAATGGACAGTATTATTTCATTTGTTAAGACTTGCTGTGACCAAGCTTACGAAAAGCATTTTAAATTTGACACTCATAGGAGGAGAAGTGTTGATAAACGTTTGGCATTGAATTCATAATGCTTCTGGACAAACTGGGGTTAAATAAGTGTTTAGCAATGCGCCTACAGCCCACATTTGTGTCCACCAAAATGAATCTAATTTATATTCAGCGCTTTTCCCTGAAGCTTGTTGGTCATTTAACGGAGTAAACGGCTGTGGTACAGAGAGGAGGCAGCAGCCAACACACCAGCAGCAGTACCAGCACCTGCCCAATTGACTTTTTCATTTTTTTTTTTCTACAACGAGGCTGAATAATGGAACCAATATAGATGTTTTACCAATAATGTAAGAACTTGTCTAAATAAAACAACATTAACTTATTTTCCCAACAATGTAGGTTTACAATAGTCAAATTACAAACTAGTTTCCCTAATTGCTACAGTACAGTACATCTTCAATAACAAATACACAAGATAAAATTAAAATAAATATACAGTTTGAAAAGGAGTTGGATGAAGCAGATGCCAAAGCCCTCTCACACATTCAATACAACACAAGACAAATACGCACACAGACACATATATGCCCACGCACACACACACACACACACACTGACCTGACACTTCTCTCCCACTACGCCATGTTGAGGAAATCACTCTTTCCTCCACGTGTTTTAAATGGAATCTAGTTTGACTATGTATTTGGATAATCTGGTACGATGTCTCCTGTCGTGTCTTTGGGCAAGACACTTTACACGCTTTATGCCTATCTTCATCGAATCATCTCCTTACACTGAAATTCAATTTAACCGCATATATATTTGTTCCTCTTAGACTGTAATCACGGTGTAATCATCTCTATCATGAAATATAGAAATAAACATGTAAGTTTGGACTTGTTTGTGAAATAGGTGGTCCACAGTTTGTTTATGTGGTCCTCTGCCTGAAAAAGTATCATCCACTGGTATCTGTGGAAAAACACTGCCACTTCAAGAAGCTAGAGAACATTATCACAAATACTAGAAGACGGTCTCGGCCGATATACTCATATAAAGCCTTAAATCTTCCCCCTTCTTATATTTCTAATTTACTACATATAGACAAGCTGTGAGATAATGAATACAGGCTTGCTATATCTCACTGCATGTAATGAGTCAATATCATATGTAAATGGGCTTTTGGAAAACATTGTAATTTTCAGAGTTTAACCTGTACATCTCAGATCTTCCTGCCATTCATTATGAACAAGTATAGGGGAAGCAGCTTTCTCCCATTATGCTCCCTGTAAATGGAACTCTCAGCCTAATGATATCAAATTGTGTTTCGACACCCATTTCGGAAACAACTTAAGACTTTTTTCTTTGTTAAATTGTCTCTGTTTTTCTATGTTAAAGGTTGTGTTGTGTTTTGTGTCTTTGAATAAGCCCATTGACCTGCAGTGTGTGAAACGACCTACAAATCACTGTCATTCCTTCCAAAGTGACTAGATACTAAGTCAAACTGCAATGATGCCAACATAAAACAAGAGAGACGACTTCTTGTTTTAGCTACGAATACTCATTACGGTCCCACATATAAGTTTATCCTAGAAAACAGTTGGTATCCTGTGTTCAAATCCAGCTTTATATTGAGTTTCTACATCTCAATCCCAGCAGTAAGACAAACCAGGCCAAGAGCGCTCCCAGTTGTGTCTTTTGGCAACACGGCGAGTCCTGTTTTACAATCAATCATATTCTCGTAGTGAAATAGAAGCATAGCTGCGGCTCTTTAGCGAGTCGCAAAGAACAGGTGAAAAGGCTCCTCTTCCAATGCTAATACAAGTGAAAGGAGAAACTAGGCCCAAGCAAAGTCCAGCACCTCCTCCTATGAATGCATGAATGAACAAGCCAATATCCACACATTATTTTATCATAGTATGAGCTTTAAGGCTGGGGTACCTAACTCCCTCCTCCCCATAAATAACACCAGTGGTTTGTCCTCATAGAAAGAGAAAGAGTCATGTGAAAGAAAAGCATCATGAAGATCTCAGACCACAAAATCCGGTCTTTCTAACTTATTATCATTTGATCTTTTGTAAACTTGTAAAAAAAACAGCCACACTAGTCACTATTGGACGCTTTGGGCTGATTTGCTGAGCAAGAGTGAAAAAAGGGGTATTTGAAAATGCTGAATTGAAGACTTAAAATACATGCATGTTAAAACTAATGATATAAACAAACTTTTGACAGCACCAAAATAGATATAATTTTATTACAATTTTCTGTGATTTGCAAACTATCCCCCAGCTTAAAAACAAAACAAAAACAATGATGCGACAATGATTTGAAGGGGAAATGAAAAGCCAATGAGAGAGATATTTGCATGTGTGGTGGTCGTGAACAGCAGTTTGAGAAGATGGCATGTTATTTTTGCATGCAGACACAAGCAGAGCCGTGGTTAAAGTGGTGCAGAAGTACAGTAGCGCTAAAACGGTTTGACACTTCAATAAATGTGAGAAATGCAGCCACAAATGTGCAGAGAATACACACCAGAGCTAGATACACTGTCTGGAAGATATGATCAAAACCAAATGAGTGACTCTGTTTAAGGTTTATTGATTGGAACCGCACACTCCAACTCGTACTCTTTCAGATGCAGGTTCAGCACATAAAAAAGAATGCAATAAATAAACTGGATTTAAGCATATGTGAAAATGTAAAGGCTAAAGGTAGAAGCATTGATCATGGTCTGGGCACTATACCATTTGTCTGTTCATCAGATTTATATATGGCACCTAAATTGTATTATCGTAAAATTAATGTTTTTGTATAGTGTTATATGTATTATGTATTCTCCTTTTCTGACCTGAAGAAATATACTGTGGTATGTGTGTTTACTCACAATATTAAATATTTTGACAATGGAGGTGAGAATTAATATATAATTTTGAGATCATGTCCAGTCCATGTGTCCTGCCACTCATAATAATTCAATATAAATCAATGGAACATAAAATTACCAACTTAGATTCTGTAATGTATTAAGTGTATTAATCTTCATTTTAAGGCTATTCTAATGCCAAAGATAAAACACTCGTATCTCAAGTCAAGTGTATTACATTAGAATTGTTTTTCTTTCCTTTGACCAAACACATCTGCTTTGGTTTTATAGTGCCCTATGAATGTGGCATTAATTGTAACTTTCATCAAAAGCTTTGCTCCACTTTGCATCATAATATCAATGACTGTATCACAGCAGGTTACAACTAATGTACTTTTCATATTTGAAGAACTGTGCTCAGAGGCGGCAATCGGAACACAGGAAATCATAAGTCAAATAAACATGAGGGAGAAATCCAAAAGACAAAATAGCTCATATGTTCTGTCATCTCATTGTTATTAGCTGTGAGTTCATGTTTGAATATGGACCACTACTCTCTGACTCGTTATATGGAAATAACCTATAGCTATTAGACATTTATAATGGAAATGTATGTGATTTAAGTTATTTGGGGGAGACTCAAGGAAGAATTAATATATACATAATTCAGTGTCCTTAAACAAATGGTATAACAACTACTTTAACAAAATATTTAGGAACAACATATTTCTAAAACCAATACAAAAGGTAAGCGTTAGTTCAATGGCACATGAGAAAAAATGTTGTGGTATACTTATACTACATACTCAACTTTGCACTGCCCTGAGTATGAAAATGGCTCTATGTCTAGCCTGCATTTGTGTGAGAAAAGCAGATGTAGCTATGACTTCTACATTGGTCTATTTCCGGCAATAGATTTCAAAGCTCAGGTGTGGTACAAGCACAGAACATCTGAGAGATCTGACAGCGGTGCACCAGCCTCTGCTGTCAGAGCCTTTGCTTCCTTTACTTCAAAGTGTTTCACCTCGGCCTGGCTGAGGGCTCACTGCTCTTGACCCTTGAGTTTACACTTTTTTTTCAAGACCAGCTTTTTCATAAAAAATTCTACTCCTCAGTCTTAACATAAAATCTCTGCATATATGTCTTTACCTCCTAAAATGTATCCTACTATTCAAATGTATATTTCATTATTTGTAACAAAGTTGGTCTGAAGTTATAAAGGATGTGAGAAAGTGCATATGGTTTTATTTTGTATTATGCAAAAGGAAGGATGCAAACTTTATAGATTATATAGGAATACTTTTGATTGTAAACGTGACGCATTTACGCATGAGACAACATACATAAACCCCAACATTTCTACACCACAATTATGGATATGTTTTTCTTGTATAATAAAAATAACTAATTCCATAAAAAAAAGAGTTTTAAACACTGTGCGTAAAAAGTTGGGCCCTTTTTACAGATTTGAAGTCAAGCCGCATCATGGCATATCAGTGCCCTATGATGTGACAGACGCATGTATTGTGCACAGATCCGCGCCATGAGAATCTATGGCCTGAAACCTTCTGTCAAACTCAAGTGTGTCGTTTTAGTGAATTAATCCCCATCGACGTGGCGCGGGCGTAATGCGCACTGACCCACGCAGGGCCCCACAGCAGCGTCTTCCTCTCATCCTCCAGAGAACACCGCGTAAACTGTTCATCAATATTTAAGACTTTTTTGAGACTTTTACTCAAAGGGAATCTATAGGCTCTGTTTATGTAAGAAATGATAGCGGCCTTTGACAGGTTGCACTGTAAACCCTAACTTCAATCGTACTTCAGATATCAAAGTTATTTTAAATAGATTTTTCCCAGTAAGTAAATGTTACTCATTTATTGTTAGTTTATTTAAAGCTTTCCTATGTCACTCAGGGTTTTCTTTGAATTGAACCGTTTCCGTTCAAGTAAGCCTCACTTTTGACATCTTGACCCACCCTGGTATATTAATGCCAGGGTGGCCTGGTGGCTGAGTGGGTAACACCACAACTACAGGGCACTGAGTACGAATCCCGGTCGGATCATAAGTAGAAATTTAAACTTTATTGCAATCACTTGAGTAACTTGGTAATATCAAGTAAAGGATGTACTCGAGGAAGTTAATACGCAATTTATTTCCATGGTTTTTTCAAGTAAACTTTACTTGTCAGGGTTTACAGTGATGGGGGAACTAAAGAAAATTAACAAAACTAAAGTGCCTGCATTCCTTTGACCTAAATTTAACTTTAACCTCAATGTCTTAATGAGCGCTAATTTTTCATTAATTTAATCTTGAGAACAAATTGAAGGGGTAAAATAGGTTAAAAGACAAGAATGTTTTAGGGGAACTTTTTAAGGATTTTTCATTTAAAATGCTACAAGCCTATATCAAAGTTTAATAGGACGCTCTTCTCCAAAGACCGCACAGACTCGTTTGTTTTATTTTGCTCTATCTGACTCTTAGAACTGTGAATTAGCGGGATTAAGAAGAAAGTCTCACTTTGGAGCAGGCCTCGGACTTATATTTAAGTGTTATTTAAAAACTACCACACGTGTCTCGTGCGCTGTGCTGTAAAAGACAAAACACACGGTCTGATCGATTGACCGAATCTTTTTTAAATATACTCAACTTGTGCGTAAACAATTCGTTACTCGCTCACAGCTTGTTTAGGAAGTAAAGGCCTATAGCGGCACTAACTTTGTGGGAACTCGGTACAAAGTGTTCGGCCTCCTACCTGCCCTGTTTGGTGATGATCATCTCGGTCTGAAACTTGTGGAACTTGGCCCATAGTGGGTAGTTATTAAGCAGCGCCTGCGTCTTCCCGCAGAGCTGCAGCCCGGGCAGAGGGTAGAGCGGCGGCCGCTGGAAGCCGTGCTGGAAGCTGCTGGAGTATTCAGGGGAGGACGGGTGGTACAAGTCTTTGCCTCCTGCGGAAAAGCCGTCTCCCGGGGTCGGTGCGGGGATGTATCCCTGCGGGTGTCCTGCAAGCGGACAGCTGCTGAGGGACTGCGCGTAGAAGCGGGAGTGCTGTCCCCCGTAGCCCACAGTCTGCTCTGGGTGAAAGGGCAGAGTCAGTGCCTCTTGTGCGCCCTGCTCTGCGTAGTAAAAGCGGGGCTCCTGGATGCCCATCTTGAAGTCACTTATGTCCTTCGCGCCACGGTGCAGGTGAATGTCAGCCGGACTTTTCCCGAAAGTTTGAGTTTCAGTCCCATTCAACATGCTGAGGTAGAGGTTCCCGCCTATGCCGCCCATTTGCAGCTTCGCCGTGTCTTTATCACTAATGGCATAAGTTTATCGTCCATGAATCAGAGAAGCTCTTTCTGTCACTTCAACCACCCTCTTCCAAGTGTTGGCGACAGTCACGTGGTGTCCGTCTGTGGTGAACTCTGCGGGTCCGAGACAGTGCTGAGTCCAACACATGTCCCACTGAGTGATATGGCCCATACATTCATACATTTGTGCGTGCTGATATTTGGAGGTGTGTCTGTGGCTGAGCAGCGCAGCGATAGGCTCCACTAGGACAGAGCCAGCCCCTGCTCTGCAGCTCTGCGGAGCATCTACTGCCTCTATGTCAAGTTCAAAATCTAACTGCAGCAGACTATTCATTGAAGAGAAGCGTGAAATAAAACATCTCAAATATTTATTACATATAGTTAAAATAAAATACGTTTACAATTGATACATTGCATTGATGTAGGATAGAAGCATTATTTCAAGTTCTAAAAAAGTCTTGAGTCTTGAATGTAACCTGATGACATTATTTAGCAGCTTGTAAAATTGCAACAAAACAATTTCGACCTGGCCACGGATGAAGCGGAAGAAAATGGATGGATGGATGGCAACAAAACAAAGGATGATATCCTAAACAAAAAACAGATAAACAGATGAATAGCTGCATAGATAAACATGTAGCATTTAATCTCCAAACATTTTGAGATGAAATGTGACATCTAGGTATAAATGTAATACAAGGTTTCAAAAATAATCTGCACCGGCATCATCCTGCCATTTCTGGGATTTTCAGTGGTGTCGTGAGCTTATGTTGTGAGTTGAAAAATAGATCTAAAGACCCCCAGACAATAGACTCTTAGTCACATGTTGATTTCATAAAGTATGGCTTTGAATATCTTTGTGGCATAGTTTACACCAAAACCGAAACTGCTGTGGAGTGTGTCAAGGTTCAACACAGCTCTTTAAAGCCTTTTAGCTTGTTTAGTTTGTCACTTTCTGCTGGGCCAAAGGGATATAAAAGATTGCCCTCTGGTTTTAATACACGAGTTGTAAATATAGCCACACACAATACTAAGTGAATCCCTCCAGCGCAGGTATGACATGGTTATACCCCTCCACACTGTCACTGCCCTAATCTCATTTCCTGTTTCTCTCGTAGCAAGGTGAGCTCGCAAGGGCAGTGGCTGAAGTCATCCGAGTTGACACTGGAGTTGAGAGAGTAGCCACGCGCCTGCCCCGAGCCTCTGGGACATCACCTTCAGAGGGACAATCAAGTCTCATTTACTGCTGTAGTGTCATTAGCAGGTCACACATGAGGCTGGACATGCACGGCTGTGATAAACCAGGGTCAAGTCAACCCGCCGAGCCTGGGATAGAGTGGGAGTTTACTTTAAAAACGTTAACGTATTTGCTTTTTAAAAATGACAATACTTGCAGCCATAAGCGCGAAACTATAGCGACATACAGAATCTATCAAAGACCAAATGTTCTGTACTACACTGAAAAAATTTGAATTTGGGCTGTTGCTGAGCTGAGGTACAATTATACACAAAGCCAAAGAAAAATGTTCAAGTTCTGAATGTAAAGTACATTTATGGTTCAGAATAGCTTAACGCGCCATCACACAATTCTCAAGTGTTTTATTAGGTCAATCTAACTTACTATAATTAACACAATGGTGACGCAATCACGTTTGCGCCTATGCTCCGACAGAGATTTCTGAACTTCCTGCTACACTTAAGGGTAAGTATTGCAACAATTTGTTTTTAAAAATACATATACTGTAGTAAAATGTGTTTTCTTGCTAAAAATGTGTAAAATGTGTTGTTAATTCAAACATAACAGAGGTAATGAACTTGTTTATCACTATTTGCGAAATCCAAATCCCATAATGCAATGCGTCCCGCTCTTTTTCCTATCCCTTGGACTCTGCGGTGAAGCAAACTGGTGCAGTTCATCTTTGTGAGTTTTCTGAAGTTGTATTGTCTATTAGTCGCTTATTAGACATTTTCTAGTGGTGTACGAAGCACGTGGATGTGACAGTTAAGCTGGAGTGGGTTCGTGCGAGTTATTTTGTTGTGAATGTATTAATCTCTTGTTACCTAGCATTATCTGTTAGCTATCACAACCTGGATCAGTGGATGCAGATAGCTAGCCTCGTCTAAAAATACTCTTTACATCTTTCGTGGTGATTTCATGCCATGGTCCGTGTGGGATAGATATCCGTCTAGCAGATGTAAAAATATCATTGGTTCAAAGGTACCCAAGCTAACGAACGTATGTATTTCCAATTGCTGCGAACTCAAAATCCCATAATGCAACGCGTCCCGCTTTTTTTCCTATCCCTTTGACTCTGCGGTGAAGCAAAGTGGTGCAGTTCATCTTTGTGAGTTTTCTGAAGTTGTAATGTCTATTAGTCGCTTATTAGACATTTTCTAGTGGTGTACGAAGCACGTGGATGTGACAGTTAAGCTGGAGTGGGTTTGTGTGAGTTATTGTCGTGAATGCATGTTACCTAGCGTTAACTGTTAGCTATCACCACCTGGATCAGTGAATGAGTGTAGTTAACCTCGTTTGTTGTTTAAAGTTGGCTTGAATGATCAGTTTAAAACTCTTAATCTTTCGCTTGGTAGTTTAATGCTATGGCCCGTTTTGCAGATGTTAAAACTCGTGGGCGGAGTTCAAATGCACACGCTGTCTGTGACACGCGCAATGAAGCGGATTTCCGATAAATATGTAGATAGAAAATATGAACTGATTTGTTGGGAAGTGTAGGTCACATGTGCCTATTTTGCCTTCCTCCCATGCCCGTAGTCTCCGTCTGTGCGCAATCATCATTTTTAAATTGATATGAAAAAAAACCCAACAACTATATTTTCATATTGTGTGAATTGCGAACAATAGAAAAATAAATTGATTTGATAAGGTCCGTGATTGAATAATGTATTAAAAATCTGTTAGGCTATACGCTCTTTTTTCATTCAATACTTTTATTTAGGAAACACAAGTTACAGGATATGTGGATACAAATATAGAATATAAATTTGGAATTATCATGAGACATGCACTGATAAATTAAATTGTGTTAAAAATTAAATGGCTTGAGTTTCCGTCCTTTAACTTCACCTGCCTTAATTTTCTGTCTTTACGTAAAATATTCTCATTGATGAAATGTTCTGTGAATGTAGCCAATTTTAAACACAACTTGTGTTAAATCCATATGTGCGTCACTGCATATACAGCATTGATGTCAATAAATGAGTCATCTTGTTAAAACAATGCACAATATCCCCCCAGACATTGTCCCTGGTGCCTAACCCTTTTGAAGCGTGAGTAACTTAATTCTCCAACTGTAATGTGGTAAATTGCTCACTTAATGGTTTTTATCATGTTTCATTTTTGCATTTTGATTTCTTGATGACCTAGACATCCGGCCTGGAATTTCATTGGTGAGCATGTGTATGACTACTTTTGCCAAATTTTGCGGAATTGGCTTAGTGTATTCGGTGGATGTAGTTGGTCAAATTGTTTAATGTAGTACTAGAATTTACCATGCTGCTATCCAGAATATATAATTAATAGTTACCTAATGTAACTTAAGTTCTACGAATAGGTGCGTAGTCCCTTAGCGGACTTCGCTAGTGGGATATCACGTGACCCCCAGGGCACAGACGCCAGAGAGATCTACAAAAAATGCTCCAATCACTAGCCACCCTCCTCTATAAAGGCCCCTGCTCCATAGCCGCGCCCCCTCTTGAACTCTGCCAAGCCGGGCTGGCCTGATGGGCTCGTAGCTAAGGGACTACGCACCTATTCGTAGAACTTAAGTTATATTAGGTAACTATTAATTCAACGTCATGGTGCTACGTCCCTTAGCGGACTTCGCTAGTGGGACACAACGCGGAGGCCGTAGGAACATGTACTCCCAGCAGGCCAGCGAAGAGTGATTGGATCTCCGCCCGAGCAAGACCCTCACAAGTGAGAGGACTCAGGGCAGAAAAAGCAATTGTGTGTTACAGGGCCACTCCTCCCAAGGACACCCCCAAGTAACACAGACCAAAGGCCACCCGTAGTCCCAGGATGCCTCTCCCAAGAGCTCCTGACGTGGACTACCTGACTGACCAAAGCACACACATATATCGCACCTGCAGGACGCCACTCCCAAGAGCTCCTGAACCAGGGCGGAAAGTCAAATCGGCCCCTAAGAGGGGAACATAAAGGTTACAACTCAGTCCGCTGCACTAAGCACGGAATGGGCCACCGACCGGTCCGACACATCCAAAAGGTAAGACCGGACAAAAGAAGAGGAACGACGCCCAAGAAGCCGCACGGCACACGTCCTCGACCGAAGCCCCCCTGAGGAGGGCCGTAGAGGCTGCCACCCCACGCGTGGAATGCGACCTGAAGCCCACCGGGGGGGCCAGACCCTGAGCCTGATACGCCCGCCCCACAGCCGTGGCGACCCAGTGCGCCAGCCGCTGAGCCGACAGCGGGGCGCCCCTGTTCTTGGGGCCCAGACACACAAACAGCTGATCAACCAACCTGAATGAAGACGTCATGGCCAGGTAATGCCTAAGCATTCTGACAGGACACAGAAGGTGCCGCCGCCGCTCCTCCTCGGGGGAGGCATGCGGCGGCGGATGGAATGCCCTAATCCTGATCACTCTCGACCTGAAGGCCGACGTGATGACCTTAGGGAGAAAAGCCGGATTGGGCCACAACTCCACCAGGCCGTCGCCCTCTCCAAAGGACAGGCAAGACGCATGGACGGAGAGCGCACACAAGTTGCCCGCCCTCTTAGCAGATGCCAACGCCAGCAAGAGGGCAGTCTTAAAGGCAACACACTCGGGACTCACCTCCGCCGCCGGTTCAAAAGGCGGGCCCGACAGACCCCTAAGGACCACCCTGAGGTCCCAAACCGGGGGCGTTCTCTGAAGCGGGGGCCTCCTCCTGCGCGCCCCCCGCAGAAAACGTTTGACCAACGGATGAGAGCGGGCTGTGAACCCCCCGAAACCGTCGTGACCCGAGGTAATGGCTGCCGCGAACACCGCCAAGGTGGCGACAGCCCTCCCTTTGTCAAAAAGTTCCTGCAGGAATCCCAGGACTCCTTCCAACGGGCAACGCCTGGGATCCCAGGAGCGAGAACCGCACCAGTCGCTGAAGAGCCTCTCGTGAGCATCTCGTGGCGTAGGCCTTCACAGTGGACGGCGCCCTCGCCCCCTGAATAGTCTCCACCACCGCCGGGGGAAGACCCAGGTCTACGAGGTTCCGCCTCTCAGCCTCCAAACCCAAAGCCTGCGGCCGATTATCGGGCGTGAAAACAGGGCCCCCCCCCTGGACTAGAGCCCCCGGCTCGTCCGGGAGGGCCCAGGGCTCCATCACCGCCATGCCCCTCAGGAAGGGGAACCACCGGGCATGTGGACTGTCCGGAGCCACCAGGATCACCGACCTCCCCTCCTGTTCGATCCTCCGCAGCAGGACCGGCAGGAGACACACTGGTGGAAATGCATACAGTAGGCCCCCTGGTCAGGGGTAGTGAGCCAGGGCGTCCACCCCTAAGGGCGGCTCGTCCGCGGCCCTTAAGGCAAACCAGGACGGGCACTGTGCGTTCTCTGCACTGGCGAAAAGGTCGACCACTGGACAACCGAACCTCCGCCAGACCTCCGCAGCTACCCGTGGGGCCAGGGACCCCTGGACATCCCCTGGACCCCTGGACATCCTGTCGGCCCCCACGTTCCGGGCACCCGGGACGTGGCGCGCCCTCAGGGACAGGGACAACGAGTACTAATGAAATGCCGGTCGGCCTTTATTGAAAGAATTCTTGCCACCCTGGCCTCCTCTACCATAGGGAGGCCGGCGGTGGGTGCGTTGCTCCCGCGAGCTACCCGTGGGTCTGTCTGGACCCGGGGGCCTCGTCGAGGGGGGACGATGGATGACGGAGCAAGGATACGGGTCAGGACGCCTCCCGGGCGAACGCTCTCTGCCTCTGTCCCGGCTCCGTGATGGCTGGTGGGCCTCGCGCCTCGGTGCTAGGTGCGGGGCTAGCCTAGCCGAGTCCTTAGCTGCAGACTCCAGTCTCGCCACCAGGGCCTGCATATCCGGGCCGAAGAGGGACGTCTGGGAGATGGGCAGGTCCAGCAGCTGCCTCTTCTCCGCCTCCCTGATATTAGCCAGCCCAAGCCAAAGGTGCCTGGCCCCGACTTGGGCTGCAGCCATGGAGCGGCCACCATCCACGGCCAACGCCTGGCACATGCGCAGGATCGCCGCCGAGGTGGTCCTCGCCTCTGATAGGAGGTCTCCACTGAGCGCCTGGCCAGAGGAGAGCGACCTATCCAGGGCCCCCGTGATGAACGCCATGTTGTTAGCCAATGCGACGACCTGAGCCGCATTGGCATAACATCTATCCAGCATCGCCAAAGACATCCTGTCCCGCTCGGAGGGAAGGAGAGGTCTGGTGCCGGACCACACGGATGCGGAGGGCTGCAGGGCCATGCGGACTGAATCCTCGATGTCCGGGACACCACCGGTCCAGGACCAGTTCTGCACGCTGCAGTACATGCCGTACCCCAGAGCAGGCCTCTTGGCTGCTAGGGGCTTTGGCGATCGGGTCCATCCGCGGGCACAACGTGGGTTGTCTCCTCCTCCTCCCTCGAGTGGTGGCGCCCACAGAGGTGAAGTCCTCCACCGTCTGGACCGGCTGTGGTGGTAGAGGAGCATCCATGATGGCCGCCGCGGAGGAGTAGAGACCAGGCATGTGGTCCAGCGGAAAGCGGTCCGGCTCCGGGTTCGACACCACCTCGTCCAGCGTGAGGAGAGAGCCGTCCTCCGAAGCCTCTCCAACCTCGCAGTCACCCCATTCCGCGGGCACGGCGGAAGGTCAAGTGGGGCCCAGTCAATCTCAGACTCCTCGTCCTGAGAGGAGTCCGGACGGGGCGCTGCAGCGGCGAAGAACGCGCGCCTGCGTTCGCTCTCCTCCCTGGGGAGAGCGAGACACGAGGCGCAGCTAGCGCTCAACGCCGCATGGCCCGGACCCAGGCACATGAAGCAGCTGGCATGCTGGTCCGTGCGCTGGAGCCTGACCCGACACGCCGAGCAGCGACGACGTCCGACGCCGGAGGGCGAAGGGGAACTCGGACGAACAACGGAGGATATCTCAGAATGAAGTAAGTACTGTGGTAGATCTCAATCGGCGCCAGACTGAAAGAGGGGGTGCGGCTATGGAGCAGGGGCCTTTATAGAGGGGGGTTGCTAGTGATTGGAGCATTTTTTGTTGATCTCTCTGGCGTCTGTGACCTGGGGGTCACGTGATATCCCACTAGCGAAGTCCGCTAAGGGACGTAGCACCATGACGTAGAACTACAATATGTGTTTATAATATTTCGGGTGTTCATTTTGACATGTTCAGATGAATTCTCAGCGTACCCAACAGATGCCCACTTTAGTGAAGTGGCAGGAGCATTGATCTGCAAACATCCTTGTTTGAAAGAACCAGGATCCTTCAATGGTGCCTATGGCTGGAAGCAGAGGCTCAAGTATAAGATGGGCAATTATAGAACCCAGCTCAAAGTTCTCGGCTGCCCAGAGTTGTCCATCAACTCCAAAAAGGAAACACCCAACAAATCGCCAGCAAGGAGTGTGAAAAGGCCGAGGAGGGCAGAAGCCAATTTCTATCTGTCCTTGCCTACTGGAAAGACAAATGACACTCTTGAAGAGGAGAGACTTGCAATCCTGAAAGAACTGCCGAAGAGAAACAGTGATCGAGTTGTCATGAATTAAATGGCCCACACATTTGCATACAGAAGGCAGGAAGTGGTGAACACTGAGCTAATCATTCGTGACTTTAAGGACAGATGGCCTGCACTTTTCAATCCACTCGAGGTATTGAAAACCACTTTGTTCATTGCGCATCAGTGGTCAGATTAGTTAATTTATGTAGTGTCTCTTTCAGATAGATGCGGAGTTCCAGAGGCTTATGGCGCTTCCTCTAGAGGCCAAGTTTTTTGCCCAACTAGACAAGCATTCGACAGCACTCTTGGCACTGGCACGAGAGAAGGGAGGAAAAATGCGGGAAAAGCTGGCCCCAATCATGCACACCTATGACCAGGTAATCAACCGGGCCTTGTTTGACTGTTTGTCTATAGATGAAAACAACAATGAGTGTTTAATGTTTCAAAGAGACTCGATGTAATCACAATGTTACAAGAAAAAAACACCCAGCCCAAGTGACAAAGCATGAATCCTAAATGGCACCTATGGCCCATATGTACCACAGTCCAACATTGCTGCTTGATATTTCATCTTTATCTGTATTCAGGCTGAAGACATCCATATGAAAAGAACAAGCATTTTGAAGGCCCTCATCATCATCATTGGAGAAGATGTGAGCAACCTCATCAAGGAGTATGTCGTAAGTAAATGTTATACTATAAACTTAATATCTTGAACTCAAAGGTTCCTGACAAATGGTTCTAAGCAATGTTTCCTCACAGAAAAAGTTTTGCAAACATAAAATCAGATTTACCTGCAAAAATTATGCAGAATGCCATTTCTGTCAAAGCGTTAATTTATCCTGCTAACACTTGACTAACCTGCTAACACCACAATGGGTTGCCAACCAAAAGTCACATGACTGAGGTAGGGTTTCTCCCTAATTCTCCTGTACCTTTTCTCTTCTCCCTATTCCTCCTGTACCTTTTCTCCTCTTCTCCCTATTCCTCCTGTACCTTTTCTCCTCTTCTCCTTATTTCTCCTGGACTTTTCATCCACTAATCTTTTCTCCCCCCTCTACCTCCTCTCCTTTATACTTTATCCTTTCCATCTATTTCACTATCGCTGCTTTTTCCTCTAGGTTTTCTCCCTCTCTCTCCTCTGTGCTCTGTACTTTTCTCTTTGCAAAAATACTAGACAAATGGAGGGAGAGAATAGACCAAGAAGAGGAGCAAAAAGCTTTTCAGTTAAAAAGGTTTCAATGTATTTTCTGCACCAGATTTGTTTCCAAATGTTATGTAATGAATGTGTAATTTGTGTTGTACCTTGTGTTCAAGTCCAATTTTTCAACTTGAAACATGTTTTAGTGTTCATACACAAATGTCCACCCTAACCCCCACTCATTTGGAGTAGATGGTAGACTTGTAGATAGCTTGAGGAGTGTTGCTCCCTCCTAAATCATTGGTATTTGTTTTTTTATCTATGCCAAAGAGCATCAAGGAGGCTACAGAGCAGCAGGTTGTTGACAACTGGATAAGGGGGAGTTTTTATTTTATTTATTTTTTCTCTTAACGTTAAGTGATTAGTACAGTGTCATGGTTGATAGTTGGTAGGAAAACACGGCATGTATAAATGGGTTTAGTAAAATCTTTTATTCAAATGCAGGTCTCAAAACCAACACTTTTGTGCTCCTCAGGACTGTCAGGAAGATGACCTTCAGGGGGACTTGGAGCTGGTAACCATGGCGGTGTTTTCCATCGGATCGGCAGGTGTGAGGTGCAGTCTCCTGGTAATATTGGTGTTGCCATTGAAGGAGTCAGACTCTTGACTGGACTTTACTCCATTACATCTGCGTGTGCCCTCCTTTTTGGCTTGATCTATGAACTGAACCTCGCCTATCCAAAATGTCTTCATTACACGTTTGTGTTCCAGAAATTTCTTATGGAGCTGAACACTCACAAGATGTCGCCAAAAGTGCACACGCTTTTTGGGAAACTTCAAAATGCCAACTAGTCCTTGGCTATTGTATATGTTACATGTCCCTTAATGATGTGAATGTTATTTGTTATTTTAGCAGAATGTCAGATTGCTGTTTGTTTAGAATAGTCAATAGTTTACTCCTGACTGTTGTTTTAATCATTATTTTGGTCAGTCCATTGGTTCAGACCAATCAACAAAGTTATGTTGAGGTTGACATAAAATGTACTTATTTTTTCACTAATGCCTGCCGAAATGGTGACGGTTCACGTGAAAATGTTTAATGTAGACTATTGTTAAAGATTGACTGTATTTTTACAGTATTTAACATTAAAATTTACCAAATGATTTGTGTTTTCATGTTTGGGGGTATGGCATTTTTAGAATTCAAATTGGCTAATCTTTGAATTGCTTTAGAATGGTCCTGTATTTTGAGGTAAAATATTTTGTAAAACAAAATTATTAATCATTGAAGCAATGTTTTGCCTTAAAAAAAGGCTAAATATTAAGTTGATTTTAGGCATAATTGAGTCTTAGGATAAATGCATGTTTTGAGTCCTAAAAGCGCTCTAATGTAAGTTGGTTTTGAGTAAAATTCTTCTTTAGAAATGTTGACATATTTGGATTAGAAAAAGTGCTAAAATTTAAGTTGGTTTTCTATATATTTTAAAGTTCAAATAAAGTAGTCTGTTAGGTTCATCCAAATTATTTCAATTAATTCTGACTCTAAAATAAGTATGCTAAACCTTTAGTGGGTAAGTTCAACCAACCTAATAAAGTTGTGTGTTACCAAGTAGTTTCAACTAAGTTTCAACTTTTTTTTCAGTGTTAGTTACTTAGGTTGCTCCTTATCCAAGTATTTGAGGTAGTTTCCTAAACACAGTGGAAAAAATGTACACTTGGACATAATTTTGATGTCAACTTCCATCTGAAAGAGAACAACAGACCATCATTCATAGCATTTTCATCACATTAACTTGGATGGATCTCAAACCCCCTTTGATATATGACAGACCCCCTGTCAACCCAGTTCATCTACAGTATAGATCAACAAGACAACCCTTGTTATTGGACGGACAAGGTTTTTAAAGGTAAATGGATTTTGCCAAATGTTAGGAAAGAACCGCCCACTCTTCTTTTTGAACTATCTGGTCTTTTTTTGACGTATCACCAAATTGATTGACAACTGGGAGGACCAATAGTTTTGATGATATGCCTGGAAGTGGAAAATCCTCCTTTTTACCTTCAACTAATACTCCAACACAATAGTATAACAAAGCTATAGGTGGTGAAAAACAGGAAAAATCTTGTTGTCTAACGTCCGATAAGTAAACGAGGCCTCTTGCATTGTGGGTAAGCCTACACGGGTATGAGCAGTTATAAATAGCAGATTGTAATCTCGTACACTATCAAAGACACAGCGGCTGAACTCAACGCTGCAACTAGAGCCTGGTGTAAAATCTTGATGGTTGTACAAGAATGTAGTTAAAGGGAGCGGGCCTGACGGAGATCCAGCTCCTGTGGGTTTACCGATTTAGACGTGATAGACAGGTTCATCAGCGGGTGTCTTAGCCTGTCTTCATTAACGGCAACTACCACTTCATTTAATCAGAGTAGTCACTGCCACTTCATTGCAGAGTTGACAGACAAAAAGTAACTGTTTTGAAACAATATCATGCATAAAAGTGAAGCCGATCTCATTGCCAAGATCTGTTTGTGTTGTTTTTATGTATGTATAATTGTATTTATGTATTTTTGGATCCTGTTTGTTGTTGAATGTGTACTCAAGTTTGAAATACATATATTGGATTGATCAATATCTCTCACCATTATTTTGTTCCACACATAGCTCAGACTATAATTGAAAATTTTATATTGCATTTACGCTACAGTAATCAATAATCCTGTGTTTTGTGTGTGCGTGCTTGTCTGCATAATGTATTGTCTGTCCGTCTAGATCACTGTATATTTGTATATAATCTGTGAATATGTACCGATGTTTTATAATGTATATGTACAATAGGGAAAAGCTCAACCAGGGACAGGAGTTGAGAATTAGCTATGACTCTAACACTAACACACTATAAATCAGTTGCAACTATTGCTATATGTCTGCACTGTCCAGGGTTTTATAAATAAATAAAGCAGTCTAAATAAAGTTATACATTGAACCATAATGGATCACTTGATTGACTTTCTCAGCAAGAAGGTCCTGGGTTCAAATCCCAGTCGGAACAGGGACTTTCTGAGTGGAGTTTGCATGTTCTCCAAATGTCTGCCAAGGCACATAAATTAAGATTACTTACTATTTACTTCCATCCCACGACCCAAAAACCATTGTCAAATTTTTCTATGATACATTACCCCAGGTCAAATGACTTTGCTTGTCTATTTCACTTGTCACCAGTAGCCTCCATGTTCTTCCCTTGCTTCCTAAGATATCTCGATTGACATGATGAAGAGACAATCTGGCATTTGCTTCACCTGTCAGTGGTCGTAATTTTATGGCTTATCGCTGTACCTTGCAACTTGTCCAACTAATTTTGCATTTCACAAGCCCTCAAGTGAAATCCAAGCCACTTTTCTCGAACCTAATTCATGTCAGCAATGTTCACTATGCCAAAGTTATATACGGTTGTAGTAAAAACGCACATATTTGTCATTTATTCACCAAAACTTCGCAGAGTATGTGACTAAACAGTAAAGATTTGCAGTGTATATCATCTGGTTTAGCCACTCACTAATGTTTTATGGTTTTCTGGGACCCTACCCCCCCTTAAGACCATAAATATCAGTGTCTGGACATTGCTCCGATGTGGGTGGGCATGGCACGGCTGTCACAGAGTTCACAAATCACATTCAGAGTACAGGCTGAACAGTTTTGATTTCACCTGAACCCTAACATGAGCCACGTTTAAAAATATGACATTATCGACCTACGAGACAGTTATACGAGATTTATCACATGCAAAGAATGAATGTTGGTAGGAGAGTTATGGATGGTAAACTGTGGTGTCACACTGCAAAGGGGATGGATTTGAACTTGGAATTTGGAGGCACAGTTAAGATGGGACTATGATTTGTATTTGATATCCAGCATCTGCCACTTTAGAATGTTAGCACTGTAATTATTGATATAAAAAGACACAAATAACTTACCTAATTATCTTTATTAAGAGTCAAGGTGGTGGATACTACGGATCTCAGTCTTGTTTTACACTTGTTTTACAGTTTATTACAGCGGCACGTTTGCTTTCTCTTCTCAGCAAGAAGGTCCTGGGTTCAACTCCTGGTCAGCACAGGACCTTTCTGATTGGAGTTTGAAAGTTCTCCCCATGTCTGCGTAGGTTTCCCCTGGGTGCTCCGGTTTTGCCTACCACTACAAACTCTTACAATTGGACGGTGTTCTGTCGAAGTGGTCTGCCCGTCGAGTTGAGCTGCCTCAGCTGTTTATGATGTAATGCAAACCTGTGCATGCGATTCTCACAGCAGCCGAAGCAATACACGATGGCGGACATAAAGTCCGTGAATTGTGTAAAAAGTTTAAATACGAACGAATTAAGACACAAATGTCACTTTTAATGCAATAACGATAACGATATTTAGAAAAGTAGTTAAGTAAAAATTCAATATTGTGGCCAGAATATAAGGCTGCGGTCACAGGCTTTAGGTGCAATGTGATCGCGGCTATCGAGCCTGGGCACGATTGCACCAACTGCGCCCAGGCTCGATTAAAGACGTGGGCCTCAGCCCCCTTTCCAGCGCGGATGAGGGGGGGTCAGTGTGGCGAGTGGTGGGGACGTGATATTGTGCGTCACATTACGTCTTCCTGTGACAGGCATTTCCGTATTCTCCGCTTGTGTTAAACCTTTCATAAAAGCCCCCGGACCGTGGTTGAGGGGCACTGGAGAGTGTGTGGCTGCGCTGCAAGGCCAAAGAAAAGCGTTTCCTACAGGAATAACTCTTTTGTGTTCTGACCCTCGCTCACAGTGTGGTGCTATTGCAATAACACTTCAGACATTCAAAAACACACACACACTAACTTAAATCCTCCGGCTCCGGTCGCTTTGCTCGTACGCCACACTTTTCTGTCTTTCATTCTCATTCATTCATTCTCAGCGCTTTACGCTCGTTACTATAAAGGTGCGCTACCGTGTCCGCGGCGCGCCCGCACACACAGACAACATACACGTGTCCCACCGCTGCATTTTGGGGAAAGACATCTCAAACTTGTTCACATTGCTCTGATGCAAACAACGCGTTGCATGCTCGAGCCTGCTCGCTGCAGAAGCAGAATGTAAACAGGAAGAGAAGCGGATACTCAACTCGTACAACGTGGTAGTCGCTGAAGTTATTATTAGCGCCACCAGCTGGACCGGGCGTCGTACTACAGCAAATTTGCACTGGCACGGTTCAGAGGACACGTTCATGTGACCGTGGGCCACACACCCCTGTGGCGACGATCCGGGTCACTTGGCCCAGTTCGCTTGTAAAAACCTATGTGACCGTGCCCTAAGTCAGTGCATGTGTATTGTACAGCAGCACATACTTGTGTATTAAATTAGGAATTACAGATATTAAAATATTATATATTAGTTGATATAAGTCCTTATAGGATAATTTGAATGGTGGTGAAGTCCAAGAAGCTGTTTTAAACATAGTTTACTCAAGGTAAAGAAAAATAACTTGAATAAGCAGTATACTTTTTATTGTTTCACTTCTGCTTCCACCTCTGATTAGGCTGAATAAGCTGCAGCTTATTCTTCACAAAGAGTCTTCCTGTCAGACACTGGTAATTAACACAACATATGTTTATTCAAATCACTTCTGGATGTGTGAAAGAGAGCTGGA